GATCTCATCTTGTCTGTCTTCAGGACTGTCGCCAGTTTTGTCAGACGGCCAAGTCAGTGCAAAGAAGCAAATGTGGGCGAACATAGGGTGTGACGATTCGGGTATCTTGCTAATGGGTGATGATTGATGAAGAAGTGGCAATAGTTTGGCCGTGGTGGTTTCTTGGTGGATGTTGTTATGCTGTGTACTTGTTTGCCTCAGAGAGTCCGGACCTGAGCTGAAGCATCTTACATTCTTACTTCTTGGCTCTCCATCCGAGCCATCTTACATTCGTTGCGAAGGATGTTGTTTAGTGGTGGAGGGCTGCACGCGGGATGTGTGTCTCGACTGGGTGTGGCGAGCTGATGCCTTCTGGACGTCGACTATTAACCTTCGTCTGGCTCCTGTATAGTCATGACGGGCAACACCTGGTTACGTAAGAGATATGATAGATGCTGGATGTAGCTAAAGGCGATGAGTCATGATATGCTATTATATAATGTCATGAGTCATTGTATACCATGGTATGATGTCATACCCTACTTCATCAAATGGACGGGCACGGATGCCTTCTCACCAGGCCTTCGACCATAGGCCATTGGTCTGGCTCCTACAAGAGATGAACAACGTTTACAAATACACTTGATCAAATCAACAGACAACGATTCCTTCTCACCAGCCCTTTAGCCTGGCACCTACAAGAGATGATGGAATTTTTTGAAAACTAAGTCGGACAGAAACAGAGAATTCGAATGAGCAAGTATTATGGAGACCTGCATTTCGGAGGATGTCAACATTTTCGTGATGTGTGTGAAGGACAAGACGAGGAAATCACCCGGCACGGAGTACGCCTCACCAGCCCTTTAGCCTGGATTCTACAAGAGCGGAGGATATTGTACTTTCTCACACCTCACATCAACCATATCTAGTGCAGGGGTTGCCTGCGTGCAGCCATATTGCATTATTCATCAAGGGTAATGTCAATAAATTTCCATGGAATCGGAGTAGGGCGGAAGTGATCCATATCAACAACAACAACAACAACAAAAACAAGATTGCCAACAGCTGGCAGAATCAATACGCCCGCAACTAACGAAGTCAATACTGAACTGAAATTGATAAGATGAGAACTCCACGTGTTTCACACTAGCCTACTTTACACAGGGCCATAATTATATTAGTGAGGCAAGCACAAGGGCAGGTGGGTGGGCCCTTGCAATCCAAGACAAAAAATGAGACCGATTCAAGATGCGTACTCGCTTTCTAGCGCTTGCGTGACCTTCTGTGTCAGTACCATGGCACCAGTATAATAACTATTCAAAAATAAATAAATAGAAAAACACAAAAAACAAGCATCGGAGATGTTCGTCATTCGAAAGAACAATGCTTCTCGTTTATTTCAAATATTCAGCCAAAGAGAAGTGTACACTATTAATACTAAGTTGGTCATGAACAGAGAAGACCCAACAAGCAAGTAATGTGAACAGTCCCAAGAAGGCAAATCGCAGCATAGCAACATGTTCCGTGATAGTGCAAATTATAAGACACAGAGACAGAAACAGCTGAAGGAAATGGGATATGATCAGTGTGAAATTTGTGACTAAAATGATGCCATGCACGTGCAATACGTGGGAAACATGCGAGGAAACTGATACCATTATAATGTCGGGGGAGCAATAGGCAAGGAAGAATGAGGTGAGTGAGGACTACCAGCATTCAGTGCCTGCAATTGTATGGGGTTTGGTGGGTATAAACAAAATTATCTACATGGAGATTATGGCTATGAATGTGCATACCGTGGTGTCTTGTACTAAAGCCTATCTCATAGAAGCCTGTTTTGAATGCAAGCGTGATTTTAAGATACATTGTCAGCACATGAGCCTGGTTTTAGTGTTAACACACATAGAAATACTTGGTTTGAATAGAAGCCTAATGTGAATAGAAGCCTAGCATTGACATAATTACATGCTTGGAATTGCTAGTGCTGCAGCAGCTTCACGACCATCTGGACATCACACCCGGAGAAATTCCAAATGAACAGTTTGCATACAGGCGGAACCACAGTACTGAGGACCTTTTAACACCTGCCATCAATAACTGGCAGAGAAGCATGGATACCGGAGACTACACGGCCGTACTGCTGCTCGATATGAGCAAAGCCTTTGACCGCGTCCACTACCAAACACTAATAGGTGACCTTCACAATCTGAAGATCCGTGGAAATGCTCTAGAGTGGTTCAAGTTGTATCTGTCTCACCGACAGCAACGCGTAGAAGTGAACAGAACCACAAGTGACTGTAGAACCTGCACTAGAGGCGTTCCCCAGGGTTCCGTCCTAGGCCCTACCCTCTTCAGCATCTACGCTCGACTTCTCCCCACTCTGCCATTGCGTTCCCAATGCCTTCTTTATGCAGACGACACCACCTTGTATTTCTCTGGAAAGTGTCCACGAATTCTCATGTCTTACTTAGAAGAAGATTTTTCAGTGGTGAAGCAGCACCTCACAGATGGCGGCCTGCTCCTGAACTCCAGCAAGAGCCAAGTACTACTGATCCCCAGCAGACGCTCACATACTCCACCTAACCTGAGCATTGTCTGTGGTTCGACTGTTATTGCCCCGTCTGACGAAGTTAAGTATCTAGAACTGACTCTCGATTCAACTTTAAGTTTCAGTGCCCGCGTTAACTCCCTCAGGGAAGACATCGGAAAGAAACTAGGTGCTTTTCGACGTGGAAGGAGGAACCTTGCTGTCCAGGCCAGAAGGCAGTTCTACTTGTCAGTAGTCCAGTGCAAGCTCGAGTACGCCAGCACTGCCTATGTCCACTGCCTCGCTGACAAAGTGAGAGATCAGCTGCTACGCATAAGTAAGAGAGCACTTAGATGCATATTTGAGCATGACACATTCACGCGGACATCATACTTGCTTGAGCGATACCACATAATTAGCTTAGACAAAAGATATCATACTAAGTCCACATTCTTCGTGTTCCGTTGCATCCACAATATCTGCAGTTCACTCCTCTCTGACATGTTCTCCCTTGCCGTGACTGCGCTCACACAGATAGAGTAACCCGCGGCCAAGTCAATTATTCCCTTTCCTTACCCATTGTACAAGCTCAAGCTGGATACCGATCTATTTCATTCCTTGGTGCTGACCGCTTTAATGCGCTTCCCGAATCCCTTCGCACAAATCGCATCCCCAATTCATTTCGCCAGGAGCTTAACAATTTCATTAATCTTGGGCACCCTGTAAGAAGACCTTAGGGTCTGTTGGGAATGCCCAAGTAAAATAATAATAATAATACAATACAATACAAAAATACATGCTTTTACAGGAATAAGCCGGGGTTTAAAACGCGACATTACGGTATCTGTGCACTCATCACTACATACACATTTCAAAGCAATGCAGGTAGGCATGTTCCAAGAATGTTGTCCTATATTTGTCATCAGTTGGGATCGCATCACAATAGCATTTTCGTGGAAAAAGAGATTCTAAATTAAATGTTGAACTAAATATCGAGTTGTCCAGCCTTTCAATACACTCGTATGATCCATGGACGAAAAAATTAAAGTACAACTGGACGAACTCCCATTTTTTTGGAGTTGGATGAAAGTATTGGCTGACGGAATTTTCTGCCTGTACAGTATAGTTACAACACTGTGCTTTGAGCGTGCTACAGGTATAAAAATGTGAATAAAAAGATAACTATATTCAACTTAGGTTTCTCCATATTTTAGCACAAACCTATAGGTCGTTTCTTAGCTGGCGACGGCTCATTTCCAGCCGAAGACTTGGGTGCCAGCATGCAGAGTGTTGGAATGCTTGGAACGGGGACTAAAAGGAACTAAGGTTGTATGAGCGTTACAGCATTATGGTCTTCTGACATCGCATGATGCAGGTGGCAATTTTTAGTGTGAATTCCACATCCAGCATAAGCTTTGTCGCATAACCGCCTCCTCTGCGTCATGCCTGCAAAAACACTTTCGTTGTGTTCTCTCTTGCTGTGTAGGTGCAAAGGGTTATGCTCCAGCGGCCGCAACACCTGCCAAGGCAAGGGTGCTGGTGCTTGCTGCCATGGCTGATGCCACAATGCTCCTCATTCGACCAGTAGTTATAGTAACAATGTGGCGTTGCGAAGTCGCGGCCTTCACTACAAGGGCCTAGCCAGCAAGAGTACATGAAAACCAGAGTGTGCAGCTTGGGGCCTTTTCTGCTCTGGGTGTCTGTCACGGCGGAATTCCGTGATTACATCATATTTGGTGCAGATCTGAGGCGGGAAATGGCGGAGTGCGTACAACTCAGCAGCAGTTGTGCAGAAAGTGACCTGCTTGAATCCTGCTTGTACGCACTACTCCACTAAAATGATGTAGTGACGGAAATCCGCCGTGACAGCAACCCATCCGAGCTGTACACTCTGCTTTTCATGTAGTCTTGGTACAAGTGTGGATGAGGCTGGCGTGGACAAGGATAAAGCGGGCCAGAACAATTTTGGTCATGGTTAATGCTGCTGAGAACAATTACACAGCACACGCACACACACGTGCACGCATACTTTTAGCTTTTATAGGTTGCCATAGTTATAAATGTTGCCATGGTGACGTTCTTAGCCATTGCACAATAATAAAATGTAAATATGTATTTAAAGTAGGCGTAATCTGGTCATGCCTGTACGTACCGGCGGCAGTGATTGTATAGTATTATAGAACAGTAGTTTCGCTCAATTTCATACGTGACCATTCGTAAAAGCCTGGAATATAATGATTTACTAGTTGCCGAGTTTTAAAGCATTTTGACAACAACGTATAGACCACAGGCCATTCATAAAATGTAATGAAATCTAGGTTTAGTGAGACTGTGAATGGGATCATTTCCGAATCCACCCAGAGTTTGGGGATTCCAGGGGCTTGGGCGGTTCAATGGCCAATTGAGTCTTTCCAAGATTCCTTTTGAATTTCTCTCCCCACTCCCGACGGAGAGACCCACATGTCCTGTTCTGGCAGTTCGAAAAACATACCAGTACATATGTGTATTCTCTTATCCTCAGTGGCCAATTAATGATAGGCAGTGTGACTAAGAGAATAATAACATCAAAAAAAAAGAAAAAAGAAATTCACGGTTCGCGTGAGACTCGGCTGGAAACCGAGTTTTCCGCATCCGTAGGAACGCCACCAACCTTCAAGGATCAAGGCGCAAATGCAGCTCCTAAAGCGGTGGGAACATCAAGAGAGTACACAACTCAAGACAAATTACGGTTGTTCATTTACACGGCCGTTATCCACTGATTCTGGTATTCCGAGACTTTCAAAATCGGTTCCAGAGCACGTACTCAAAATAAAATAAATAATTAAATATAAGTATACGGTATCGGCCAGAGGAATCCAACACCACGAATAAAGTAGCGGCGAGCGTCACACAGCCCTATCACTACACACTGTTCTGTGCACTCGAACATGATGCTACAATATTCAGGAAGTCAGACTTTCCTCGCTATAAGTGTACACGTGGTGTGTTCTCACATCACCACTGGCGGGAACACTGGCATAGCAATGTATCGACGTGGAGTGTCATCCCCTCATCACTGCTTGAAGCACTGGCGTAGCAATGCATAGACGTGGAGTGTCATTACATCATCACTGCTTGAAGCACTGGCATTGCGATGTATAGACGTGGCGTGACATTACATCACCGCTGGCGGTAACACTGGCATTGCAATGTATCGACGTGGAGTGTTATCCCGTGACCTTTGCAGAGAGCTCTGGTACATTAATGATCTCGGTTGACATAGAAGTAGAACAATCTGGATCCTGCGTCGGCCGTACGGAAAGACGAACGTCACAGTTGGCCACATTCACCGGCTTCTCCACTGCGGCGCGATTGACGGCGTCCACGCGCTCGTAATGCTGCTCGGCTGTGCGCCGCTCGCGACACCCCCTCATCTTGCGCAGTATGGCGCGTGGCTTAGCCACGCTCTCCGCACAGTCTACGTACACTTTGAGATCCCAGAGGGGCTGCAGGGCAGTGAACGGCGCGTCGGTGCAGAGTGCATGCACACCCTCCACCAGGACAACACACGGTGCCGACCAGACCTCAACCTGGTCGGCTAACGGCTCGTGAACTTCACGGCTGTAAGCAGGCATCTTCAGCGTGCCAGCTTCCGTGCTCGTGAGCTTCGTAACGTCAGCCACAAACGATTCGACATTGAACGTTGACGTAGATCCCTGCAGGGAATGTCGGGACAGAAACAATAAAAAAGCATGGAACTGCATAAACTACCGGTGAACTTCCTTTGATTAGTTGCGCTCGGTGAAAGCCGACCCAAAGTGCATATCTGGCGTCCTCGACTTGCACAGCCCTTGAAGCCCTGGAAGTGGCACGAATGCAGCTGGACGTACACATCTACAAATACAGTGATGTAACTGGAACTGGTGGTGCAGGACCAGGGCGCCAGGCTTGCACTCCGGGTCGGATTTCACCGAGCACAAAGGTAGCTCATTCACAGGGCTAGAAAGCTGGTGTTTATTCAACAGTCTCCATGGCGCAAATACTTTTCAACCTTCACTGATCAGACATATAGTAGTCGAAACAGCGTTGTATGGAGAGGGGAACAAGTTGAAAACTAATTTTTTCAGTATCTACAACTTGGAGTCATGTTGTTGCTGGTGAGTGGGGTCGGCCAGAGAGCGCGTTTGCTGGAGGTGGAATTACCTTTAGTTTCCACGGCGCAAATACTATACACGTGCTGGGAAAGCTCCAGCAAGCGACAGGCATGCATGTGCGTGACGAATTGACACGCTGTTTGTCATGTACAAGCAGTGAGCGGCATTAGCAGTACACTGCTGGTACACAAAAACACTACAACATACGATAAATCAGAAGAATAAGTACATGTACTTGAAAAGAAGGACAAAATGTTACGAGTTATGACTAACATCTGAGTTCAGTATAAGTACTTGAAGTATGCAAAACAGACGGAGCCGGTTGGCAGCTCTGCGCCCATCACAACAATCAATGGTCTGTTATCAGAGTTTACTCTTGGTAACCGCTCACAGAGAGCTACAACGCAGACGCGAGCAATATATTCCTAATGCATTACATCGCAGAGATGTGCATTCGTATCAACACGATCACTAAAGCTGATGTTTGAGCGCACATACACGGCAATTTCAATTATCCTGAGAAATTCAGTCAGGATCATGCCCAAGTTGCTTGTTCATTCTTACCTTGAGCTGTTGAAGACAGCGTTCCTTGAGTTCTTCATTGGGCAGATGATAGGCATCTTGACCCATTACACTGCACCTCACCGACGATATGTCAAGTGGGCTAAATGAGGATTGAGGTAACCTGGATGGGAGTGAGAGAGAGAGAGAGACAGAGAAAGAGAGAGAGAGAGAGAGAGAGAGAGAGAGAGAGAGAGAGTAAGTTACATTTATAAAGACAGGTAAGTCTAACAAATGAGGACTGAGACCTCTACAACAGGGTTTTTACGCCTGAAAGCAGGTGCATGATTTAACAAGCCGGTTGTCAGTCTAGATTTTATGCGCAGATGGAGAAAAAAATGTGCAGAATTTTTGTAATGAGATGAAAAGCAGAAATAATAAGAAAAGATGAAATGAAAGCCTGCTCACAACGCAGCCCAGCCTTGGGAACTGAGAGAGAGATAGATAGACAGAGAGAGAGAGAGAGAGAGAGAGAGAGAGAGAGAGAGAGAGAGAGAGAGAGACAGAGAGAGAGAGAGAGACAGAGAGAGAGAGAGAGAGAGAGAGAGAGAGAGAGAGAGAGAGAGAGAGAGAGAGAGAGAGAGAGAGAGAGAGAGAGAGAGAGAGAGAGAGAGAGAGAGAGAGAGAGAGAGAGAGAGAGAGAGAGACACACACACACACACAGAAGTAGGCAAACGATCACTCTGAAGAAGACGATCGTCACACGTTCATTAACTTATAAATAACCCTTCTGCCGAGTTCCCATTACGCCAATTTTCAGCCGACATGGAATCGTATAAAAAAAACGGTGAACGGAGTTGTCGTACAAGGTTCCGACAAATCTGCGGAGATTTTGTTGTCGCACGATTTATCGGCCAGGTATCGGCTGAATTTAAAAAAAAAATATCGACTGGTCTATATTTGGCTGAAATGACGGCTGGATTTATATTACTGCACGTGGTGGAGCGGGCATCCAACTAATCACTGCCGGCTTTTCACCATGACAACAGGGAGCGTCTGTGCAGACCGCGACTTGGCGGAACTGGACCGGTACTGCTAGACTAGCCTTTGCTGGCTTTTGATCCTGCCCTTTACTAGCTGTACCCCGGGTAAAAAATATCTCGCTTCCGCTCCAGTGCCTATCAGTACGAACCAGCATGGCTGTGCACAACGTGTGTGTGTGTGTGCAATGCGTCTAGCGCCTACAAGCAAAAATCGCTCTCCGCTGTGCGGGAACAGGTGGTCTGACTCGTCTGACACAGTGGACCGATTTTGTGTCGGAGCATCGGCTGAAACAATCGGCCTACTGGGAACCTGGCTGAAGAAACTCCTTGAAAACTGAGTAGACCTTGCTGTCCACCACAGGAGTGTGTACAAAGCCAGTGTAAGTCTTATCAGAGTACGAAACACTTCTGTAAGTCAACAAATATTTGGCGCATATTTATTTTCGGCTATTTTGGGCCTGGTCATGTTTGGCCGAAAATTTGTTGCTGGCGAAATTTTGTTTCGCAAGGTTCAGGTGACAGTGGATGCACGAGGCAGTAGTATAGGCCGAAAATTTGATGCGGCCGAAATAGGTTTTAGCCCTGGGAGGCCGACATTTGAATGGGCCGAAAATTTGTCGATTTACAATAATTTTCACTAGTTTGAGGGAAAGATAATAATTTACAATAATTATATCTCTTTCCCTCAAACCAGTTAATACAATAATCATGTGAGTGATTGTCTATTGGCATGAGTAAAATAGCGTAAAATAATCAGAAGAGAGTTTAAGTTGCACGCGTTATTTGGACGTGACGCACAATTTCACGTCAAATGGGTCGAATTTGGCATTAATACGCCAACTTTCGACGTGAGAAGCAGCTCGCTTGCGTTGTTTTCTAATGCGCGAGCCAAATAACGTGAGCGGAACTTTCGCGTCACGTCAAAGTAACGTGCAGCTTAACAGCTTTATTATCCTATCTCTTACTTGTGTTTTGTTAGCGTTGTGATCAGCCTTCCCAGCACCGTACATAGGCTAGATTTGCCTGAGCCGGCTGCTCCACCAACACCGACAATGTATCGCTGTCGGCATTCCTGGTATTTCTTACAGCACGACGTCACCAATAGCCAGCACAGCGGGTAGATAACGAGCCACAGTTCCGTCAGCGAGAAAATCAAGCGCTTGTCCATCACGTCCACTTCACACTGTATTGTCACTAGCAAATCGCGGTCGCTGCCGTCACGGCAGCAGCTCTGCACTGAAGTTCCGTCAATGCCCGTGGCAACTTCGCTGACTAGCGTAGAAAACGCGTGGATGTGATCGGTGAAGACACCATCGAGCCCATCATGGCTTTCCCCAGCCAGTAATCTCCACAGTGCGCTGTGCTGCGTGGACAGCGCTAGAATGGAACCCTCTCCGGTACTAGAACAGCCTGTCGCTGAGCCGACGCAAGCCACGGCACTGCGAATGAACTCGGACACCGAACTTCTTGTTCGTTCCATTTTTATACAAACACAAACTTTCCCTGTAAAGTTCCAGTACATGACATTGTAATAATATTAATATTAATATTATTCTAAAATTATTATTATTGAAAATATTTTAAAAATAGGCGCCAGGCTTTCTAAAACAAGGCACAATCATTTTTAGCGGAGACATTATTAATTTTACACAGCGTCACGTGACACTGACAGCACAGCGCACTGCCACTACTCCACTAGTCTACAGTACAGACTAGTGCCAGGGGCCGTGGAACATTTTGCTTTTACGTTTTGGATTCTACATCGCCATGATCACTAGTACATGTACTAGTACTACACTAGTAGTAGTACAGTGCAGGAAAAATAGTACATTGTAGATCTACAAATGAGAGTCCTCCGGCTCGGTAGAGTGCTCATTAATATTCGTTCCGAACGGTTCGACTAGAGGCTCTGAGCTAACTAACGTTACTTACACACGTACACACGGCCCAGAGCACCAAGCATCGTTCGTTGTAACTAATACTAGTATCATGCCTATAGGCAATCATCAGACAACTAATGTACATATACATGTAGCTAGATTTTCGTTGACCTGGACTGAAATGTCGTGTGAACAAGTCATGTACTCGACGCATGGACATACATTATACATGCACATGTACATGACCGTACACAACGAAAATACAAAGCAATAATCGAAAACAACGACCATCAACATTTCAAACATGAACCCTCGAAGTGAAATTTAATGATGGCCTCTTTTACGGGCAAAGTTTAATCCAACAAAGCAGAAAAGCCAGCTGCTCCAAAACACTCAAAAAGACCCGGGGAGACAAAAGAAAAACCGGGCCATGGCGAGCACTTTTAACATTCAAACACAGATACAATAATTCAATCAGCCACAATGGATGCCTCCGCTGCGACTACGGCCGGCTGCAGATGGTGCGACAGGGGCATGAGCAGAAAACATGGATCGACTACCACGCACACACATTACACTTGCCCGTATTAGCGCTACGCTAAGACCTCACGGGATGAACGCCATGGTGAGGGAGTAGGACTAACCGGTCTTCTCTGCAAGCAATACAGCAATTCTCTTGTGCAGAGCTGATGCACACTTGCTCATGCCACCGGTCATAGAGAACATGTCCGGGACAAACGGGGCGTGCTACACTTCACGCAAGCGCTGTTCGTACGAGCGCTTCAGGTCCTTGGCCTTCTTATGCCAGTTATGGCGGGTGTAGGCTGCGGAGACGGAGGAGGAGTGATTTGAGGGCGCAAATGGGTTTAAACCCTTACATCAATATACCGTATTTTCCCCAATAAATGTACAGTGCTTTTATTTTTTCAAAGGTGGTCAGACCTGTACTACTATAGGAGACTGTACTAGTATTGGAGACGTGTACATTTATTGTTTTTGGGAAGATTGATTGCCTGGGTTAGGGGGTAAACAACTCGTGATAATGACGCTGTAAGGCTGTAAATACACCCAACCATGGTATGAATCGGTGTACAAAGACACACAGATAATGAACGGGTAAGAAAAACGAAGTAAGGTGGACCCTGGTACCTGTACCACAGTAATGCCCATCACATCATTCTGGCATGTACTATTATTAGAGACGTGTCCTTTTATATTTTCGATCCACACCCAACATGTACTAAAATTGGGGACGTACTAGTAATGGAGACGTGTACGTTTAATGGGGAAAATACGGTACATGTACATGTACGTGCGTTCAAATCATCCTCCCCATATGCCATTAGCGGCCACAGGGCAGAAGAAATAAGAGACAACCGGTTAGATCATTGATGTAACGCTGCACTTCATGCACATAGCAAAGCTAAGGCAATTCTCAGACAACTGATTCTGTCCATCATGTGGCTACCAACTTATATCCAGGCAAGCATAGTGTGACATTAGAGAGGTTAATTAAGATGCACGTTATTTCAGACTTGACGAGAAAGTTCAGCTCGCGTTATTATTGCTCGGGTGTTGGAAAACAACGCGAGTGACCTGCAGCTACGTACGTACGTATTCTTTATTTTACTGCGCAACGTCAAACGGGATCGTTGCCCAATAGTATGATAGCTCACGTGGAAATTTGGAGGTTCACGCCAAATATGACGTGAAATTGCGCGTCACGTCAGAGGTTAAGTTCTTAACCTCTCAATTAGGCTGCATACACACTGTAACACAATGGAGGCAACTACATGTACTGCATTGATATTGTTGTAGTGCTGTTTAATTCGATGTTTGTATTTCAAAGTAGTTTACTGAATTTGAAGTTGTTTGATGATACATGTACATGTAAAAGAAAAAAGAATAGAATGGGATACGGGGCTTGGGTTGGCTGTGACTCAGAGTTTCATGCCTATGGCGATCATCAGACAGCAGAGCTCCGTATCCCATTCTATTCTTTTTGTATGAAGCTCTGCACCCCGGTGCATTGAGCACTCTTTCGAGGACCACACCCCACTTTCCGTGTGTACATGTACATGTATGTGCAAGCCCAGTTTGCCTGTACAAGAGGCTTTAACCGGTTGTAGTACTGTAGCTCCGTGCACTCACAATCACATCACACGAACACACCCATGGGGTTCAGATGGCTGAAAATGTTCACTCATGGATGGAAGCAATCAAAAGAGAATAACTTACGCAGAGAAGGGACTCGCGCATGATGCCAAAGATAAAACAATAGACGTGAGATCTCAAAGGCACATGTACATGTACACTGTGTTCACATCAGCTATGATGGGTTGCCTTGGTGATGGGTTGCCTTGGTGATTGGTGGCATGGACCATCATTTTGGAAAAGGCACGTACATTGTACAATCTGAAAATAATAATTTTTAATATTCTTTTATTCCGCGATGGTGTGACGCCAATAAGGATGATTGATAAGTGCGATAGAACTGGTACTAGCCAGAAACAGCTAGATGGAAATTAACCGGGGAGGCAAGAAGCAATGGATCATGAAAAACAAGCGGGGGGCAATAACGTTAGCAGGGGTGAGCGAGATAGTTAAGTACACGTTCGAGATATCAGAAACCATATAATAATGATGTTTTCGCTTTGATAATATACATTTACATGTACCTGTACATGTAAATCCTTTTGATGCAATTCAGCTGGTATGATTAATGATGCAAACCCTCATCTGAACGGTGCGCAAACACTGAGGTTGCAAGGAAAATAGATACTGAGTTAGTGATCTCTGAGAAGATGTCAGAGGATGAAGAGAACATGCGATCGCGTAGTTACTGCGGTAGTGACAGGATAGCCCAGCAGTTGTATGAAGCGAAGTGCACCTTCAGCTCCGCCGTTGCAAAGCAGGGTTGTTAGCCGCGGTAATTGGTCATTGCACCGTGGCAGGTGATCTGAATACCAGTGCGTACCTTGTGCCAGATGTACGGCAGAGTAAGGTCTAGGTAGGTGGCCTGTGGGTTCAGCTTGATGTGCGAGAACACGTGACCGAGCTGCACAGTGCATACTGGTGAACCCAGGTAGCTGGTCTTGAAGGGAATGCGCAGTGTGTGTCCGTGGTTTATCAGGGTTGCACCGCTGGGGACGAAGTTGGCCACACCGCCGACACTGACAGAGCTGTTGCCACCAGCACAGCTCGCGAACTTGCTGTAGGCGAAGATGCAGTTGAGCAGGCTGATTCTGTACGGGTTGGGTCCTTGCAGGGATGGGTTAGAGAAGATGATCTTGACTGGAATGAAGGTGATAGCGCCTGGCGCACCGGGCATACCTGGTTCACCATCCTCCCCATCTTGACCATCCTCACCAGCAGGGCCCATTGGACCTGCGGGGCCCCTGGGTCCCATGTCCCCATCAACACCAGCAGGCCCCATCGGGCCTTCAGGTCCGGTGTCACCCTTCGGCCCGCGGACAGGCTTGAAGCAGGCCTGCCCTGATCCGAGACCTGTGGCGGAGACCAGGCCGAGGGCCAAAAGGACGCAAAAGCTAACGAGAATGACACGCATCTTGTCAGTTGAAACGAGATTCCAATTTTCTCTAACCGTTTCGCTTTGCTCTGAATGCTGTTTGAGCTTTTCGATGACTTTCTCTTGGCCGTAACTTCTGCTTTTATACTCGATAGAGAGTTCTACCCACGAGCACCGCCGACTCTCTGGAGAGCGTTCAGCTGGCGCTGTACAATGTCATGTTGTATGGGCTGTCGGCCGGAAGCTCTGGAACTGCCCAAGGATACCCGGCTGGCAGTTCGAAGCTCTGTATTGGCCGATGACACCCGGCTGGCTGGCGAAGCGCACAGTATCACATTGGGAACATCAAGAGTTTGTCACCCGCAATTCTAAAGACTACGTTTGCGATAGTTGACCAGACTTCGCACACTTGCTGTAATGATCTGAGCCATGTGCGTTGTGCATCTACATGGACGTATTTAATACACATGTACATGTATGCGCAAGAATGTTGCCGGATCTCCGTTGCACGGTGTCTGATTTAGAGAAGGAAAGAGCCAGTACTAGCTGGCTGTCTGTCATAGCACATCACCAGCAAAGTTAAAAAAAGACTAAAGCTCAGTCACCAGCTAACAGAGATTCTGGCTAGCAGGGGCATTAAACACTCCCCACAGTCGTACGAGATGCATGTATCACTCTAGAGCCCAACCGGTCTGCCTTCTCAGTGTGTCGTTCATCCTGGCACTACCCATCGGGCATCACTCGGTGACGATTTTGCTATGCAGCAGCTTATATGGAATAATCCTACCAGCCTTAGGACAGCCTCAAGACAGGATATTGTGATGAGACCACATAAGACCTGTGCGCTGCAGTAACCATTACCAACGTGGGTCCTAGTCTCGTGGTGTCGCACATTGCTTCTTCATATATGGCCCCCAAACATTCCACAGGACAAAAAGACATTTGAGGCGGCGTGTTTGCCGAAGATATGGATGTCTCTGCCGGATATATCTACGATCACTTGGGTCACTTGTTCTCTCCAGGCAGTGCCCTACACAGATACATGTACATGTAAATGTATGACCTACATGTACTCGCCCTGTCTGTTACAAGTACAAGTACAATCATGACGTGTTCGTATGGTTGAGAAGTTGAGAACCACGTCTGTCTCATTCTGCATCTTAATCACGGCTAACACTAGGATACTAATGCCTGAAGCTGGTTGGAAAGAAAGACCAGGGAGCGTGTGAGAAGTATGGATATAAATGCCATTCAGAAAATTAATCTCTTTTGCTCGCAAACAAAACACAATTTGCAATGTAGATTCAAGTATAGATACAAATGGCTAGATGAAGTTGAGTCTGAAGAAGCCCTCTCACTCATGCACTGACCCATTGTCACTCAGCGCCGGCTAGCCGGCTACAATCGTGGTACTTCAAAGTAGAATGGTATTGGTGTGCAGTACTGAGAAGTGGGATTATGCTTCTACACAAAATCGCGGGTGAGTGCCATTCGGGCAGTTTTTTTAGTGTCTGCGAATGCCAGATTGGGGCAGCTGTGGAGCTCTGCAGATGTGGAAACTCATCTAGAGTACTGTTTTGAACTACCTTCCCGTTGCCAACATGCTGTGTGTATTAATAATGAATTTAGAGTGGCCCTGGACAAATATCCAACATAAAAGTATACAGGCATGGACTTCACTGCATGCATTTTCGGAGTAGCGGTCACCGCCTGCACAACAAACATGCAGAACATTTTTTACGATCACCCCGCTGTTTGACTACGATAGTATTGTGGATGACCCCAGTTCCCCAGACCCAAGTGTTCACCGGTACACAATCATAAGAGTTTTAAAACATACATGTCCAGTGTAGCTGGTAGTACCTGCAGTTATGTGCTGTAATACCAGGCATGTGTGTGTGTGTGCGCGCGCGCGCGCGCGTGTGTGTGTATGTGTGTGTGTGTGCAGGCTAAAATTAGTGGCGGTCAATTCATCAGCCTTGCAAGCTGTTGAATAGTATAATCCCAGCACAAGTTGCTATGTCTAACATAGCTGCTCGCTATCATCGCTTCCGCGATTGGCATGTCTGAGTCTGAGTCTGAGTGTGTGCATATGACTGGATGTGTGTGTATGTGGGAGGGCTGGATGACATCGCCAATGGCGTTGATTCAGTAACATCATCATTGTCCTCATCTCATGCCACGATTTCAGAACAGCTATTTCCAGTCTTTCCTAGTTCCATTCAAGAAGCCCCTATGGGAAATTGGGGACCAGTCATTACTTCAGTCAGTTTGTTCATATTACCTACACGTACACGTACACGTATATGTATGTCTATCGGTACACTTACGGCATATTAAACTGCAGCAGTAAGAATTGTTGATACGTACAATGTAGATTGACGGCATGTTACAAGGCGGAGCACGGAGTGTGCAATCTACCAGAAAAGGCTTACATACCAAGCCTATGACTTGTATTCGACTACATTGTAGAACCCTCTTCGTTCCTACTAGCAAAACCTGCACGCAAAAAATACTTCCACATGATGAGGACCAAATGTGATGGCTGTGACACTGATGTGCGCAATACACAATGACGTGCACGATGTACATGTACATGATTGTGCAGGTACATAGTACATAGTGCATGTGTCAATACGATGCACCACATAACAGGTAAAAGTGGGAAAAGAAAGAATCTCAGAGGTCGCCCTGGGACCAGATAGATACCGGTATACAACTTTAGGAATGAACTTTTACTTCTCAGCATGTCTCTTTTGGAAGCAGAGCTACGTTCCTCAGACATAACGCACTAGCTCGACGTTGTCGACAGATGCATGACTCTCATTTTGATTTTCTTTTAAGAGCTACATGCACAAAAGCAAATACATTGTATGTCATCCGGCACTATGCCGACCACCATCATAACCCGGATAGCGGAGACCGCACACTCCTCACTATTTTTGGCTGCGTTTTGTTCCCATAGGCAAGCAAGCCATCCTCCGTGCGTCTTTCAACAGATGCTGCTCAATCTACTCGTGGTACTCATGCTAGTATAGTGTGGAAGAACACACGCAGACACACGGCAGTTCTCAGGCACAGTATGTGCATGCACATGTATATGGAATGCATTTGGCTGTAATGGCGATGGAAGAACGCCATGAATCACACAGAGCTGGAATATCTGGATCAGCCTGTAGTGTAGAAGCCGGAGACCATCAGCGTTGATCTAGGCTTGATCTATCCAGGGTTAATCATCATACCACATCCACTCCTATAAAAGCCAAGCTGGTTGCCAGAACGTTGATAAAAGACTGTAGTTGAGGACAGAATTGTTTCTATTGAGCACATCTGAAAATACAACATGAAGTGTTTCTTGCTCCTTGCTCTGCTTTTGGGCGTGAGTGCTCAGTTAGCCTGGGCCACTGGGTATTCTAATCAGGTATGCCTCAAGCTGCCCCAGGGCCCCAAGGGACCCAGAGGTAACATGGGGCCACAAGGTCCTGCAGGTCCGCAGGGCGAGGACGGTTCGCAAGGCCCCGAAGGGTCAATGGGCCCCGCCGGACCCGATGGTGAGGACGGAGAGGATGGTGAACCTGGCATGCCGGGTAGACCAGGTAGCTCTGAACTGCGCAGTATTCCGATCAGCCTGGCCTTCTCCAACCCATCTCTACATGCACCCAACCCGTTCTACATGAGTCTTCTCTACTCTTACTTCAATGGTCGCTACTTCGTGGGAACTCCCAGCCGACAGCGCTCTCTGGGAGGCAATGCCAACTTCAACCTGGGTCGTGGCGCTGTCAAGCTGGTTCGATGGGGAACGGAGATTCGTATTCCATTGGTGAAGTCCTATGAAGGTTCTCCCGTGTGCAAGGTTCACTTCCAAGACATCTTCAGCCACGCAAAGGTCTATGCCACCAGCACGTTCCTAGCCATCAAGCTGCCCACCATCTGGAAGAGGAGACAGACGCACATCCAGGCCGTTTGCTGGGGTGCTTTCCCGAAGCCCGCCAAGAACTAATAAGAGGTGCAGCGGCAGCCAATACTTGAACTGCCTAGGTATCACATGTCACTTTTTATTCTTCATGTACGTACATGTTTAGAAACTGAATTCCATTATATCGCATCCAAATTATACTTCGCTATCCCTCCATCATTGCTCTTCTTACTCGGTAAAGGGAAGAGTGTTAGCATGTCAGTATGCTTGCGAAGTGTGATCACACTCGGAGAGGATGTTAATTCTGGTATTTTCTTTTAGCAGAATCAGATTTGGAGGCACTTGTATGGATGCGTTTAAGTTCTCTTCAAATACATGTACTGCATATCATATTCAGGATGCTAGCGGCAGTACTTGGTTCTTTTGGAACCGGACACGAAATTTCTTCTTTTTCTAACGCCATTATGGTTTGTGGAAATCAAGTTCGACAATTCATTATGATTATTTTGATATTTTCCACTTATCGCTGTTCATCATGGAGTATCAGTTCACCTGGTGTCCATTTACTGTTGTTTCTCTGAACGAATGTTCGGGATAACAATTACTGGAGAGAACGGAAAGAGGAATGGGGCCTTTGAACTGTAGTTTTCTTGGCAGTAGATTTTTATTTTGACCAAACGAGACAAAACGACGCCAGCAGACACCAGCACGAACCCTGAACCAGTCACACTCCGCAGCAGCTAGAAGTTGCTTCTGACAAGCCTTGTTTCGTTCCATTATGATAACGGGAATTCATCGGCCAAAGTTGGAGGATACTGCCGGCAGAAAAATTAGCAGAATTTCATACTTCTTCAGGTATGTTTCATGTTTTGTACGTGGAAAATAAATGGATAATAACCTGAGGAAGTGCCCGTCATCAGGTGTGTACGGTTCTGCCAATTTCAGTGTTTTTCGAACAGCATTTGCCAATTTTACGAGCATTTATCCACGAAGGGCTAGCTCACATTGCAAACAGCAACTGGATAAACATAGATGTTTCAGCCCTTATAAATGTATTATACTCTAGGACTGAGCCAATTAAGTATAATGTAAAACTGAGCAAGGACACATGGGTTACGAGTTATGAGCAACTATTCACTGCAGTGCCAAGATAATGTTATGCAGTCAGATTTGTTTGATCTGTTTGTTTACGCACTGGAGAAGTGTTCAAGCTACATGTACATTTCCATGTAGGTGTAAGGTCGTTGAATACCTACATGTGAGTAGTCTGTCAGGTTTGTACTTTTTGTATCACTTTCTGACTGCTTATTATCTTGTTTCAGTAGTGGAAAGTTACTCATAACTCGCAACACATAACCCATTTTGTCCTTTCTCAGTACATGCCAGCCTTGGCGGATTTTGCTGGCGTAATATCTGGCCAGAAATTGTGCTCTGGCATGAAAGGACTTCTGAGAGGAGACAGTTGCCATAACATTACGAAGCTGACTGAAAATTAATGCTCCAGGCATATTTATTAATTAGGCATATCACTGGAAATAACCTTGTGAATGTTACCCCTTGTAATCCGTGATGTCATGGTGCCAGAGTCGTTTGCAAAATGCAACAAGAGTGCAAGAAGGGTACAGTGTAGCACCATCATCGGCTTAATGGACCTTATGCCATTTGTACAGATCCACAAAATCCCGAAAATCCCGTAGACCCGGTAGGGTGTTCATTGTGTGCTATGCATGCGCATTTGACCGTTTTAGCGTCATAATTCAATGATCGGCAGTCGCTTTTCCAGCTTCTTCACTTTGGTTAGAACTAATGTCTACCTAGATCTTTGTCAGAAAAGGTTTTCGTATGAAATGCTTTCAGGCCCCATTTCTTAGTGGAAATAGCAGAAAACACAATAGGGTTCGACACCCTACCGGATCTACGGGATTCTACGAGATTTCGTGGATATGTACAAATGGCATAAGGGCCATTCCAGCATAATGAAGTAAAATCATGGCCATAATTTGGGCATAGTGGAAATCATAATTCAGCAATTTACCGATCTCGAGCATAATAATCCGCCAAGGGCTAGTACATGCATCGTACAAGAACAATGTGCATGTAGGTGGGAAAGCTCAACTAACTCCAGCATATCGACATGTCTCCCTGGATATTGTACTATTTATTTTGCCATTTTTAAAATATGGTCAATGTTCGAAGAGGTATCGCCTTTTTCATTGCAAGATCACCCACCATGGCTCATGCTGATAGCCAAGAAACAGGTTTCCATTAGATATCGTCAAATTTATGCTCGATACATTATTATGGCTATGGCTAACGAGCACACGACATTTACATGTACATGTACATGTATACAGGTATGTATATCCCTGACTTCTACACTCCCTGAATGAAACGCACATGAATACGCTTATGGTTTTGAAAATCTTCAATTAATGTTGTGGAAGCAGTCGAAAGATAATAAAATTAATTACGTAGAGAACGGACTTATAGATGTGAAAGATAAAAGATAAAACATGAGATTTCAAAGGTACGTCTGTTCACATTTACATGTACATGTTTGATGGGTTGCCTTGGTATGGGCTGGCATGGAGTATAATTTTGGAAAAGGTGCCTATAATCTGAAGATAAAAGAGATGTTTTCGCTTTAATATACCGATATATGTAAATTGTACATCCTTAAATTTAAGATGCGATTCAGCTGGTATGATTAATGATGCAAGCCCTCATCTGAACAGCGAGCACACATTGAGGTCGCAAGAAAACCAGTCCAAGAGAACATGCGATCTCCCAACTACTGTATTAGTGACATTATACCTCAGCGTGTGTATGAAGCTACGTGCACATTTACCTCCACCGCCGCCGCTGCTGCTGTTGTAACGCAGAGTAGTTTAGCCTCGGTAATTGGTCATGGCTCCGTGGCAGGTGATCTGAAGACCAGTGCGTACCTTGTGCCAGATGTAGGGCAGAGTAAGGTCCAGGTAGGTGGCCTGTGGGTTCAGCTTGATGTGCGAGAACACGTGACCAAGCTGCACAGTACATACTGGAGCACCCAGGTAGCTGGTCTTGAAGGGAATGCGCAGTGTGTGTCCGTGGTTTATCAGGGTTGCACCGCTGGGGACGAAGTTGGCCACACCGCCGACGCTGACTGAGTCGTTGCCACCAGCGCAGCTGGCAAACTTGCTGTAGGCGAAGATGCAGTTGAGCAGGCTGATTCTGTACGGGTTGGGTCCTTGCAGGGATGGGTTGGAGAAGATGATCTTGACTGGGATGAAGGTGATAGCGCCTGGCGCACCGGGCATACCTGGTTCACCATCCTCCCCATCTTGACCATCCTCACCAGCAGGGCCCATCGGACCTGCGGGGCCCGTGGGTCCCATGTCCCCATCAACACCAGTAGGCCCCATGGGGCCTTCAGGTCCAGTGTCACCCTTCGGCCCACGGACAGGCTTGAAGCAGACCTGTCCTGATCCGAGACCTGTGGCCGAAACCAGGCCGAGGGCCAAAAGGAGGCAAAAGCTAATGAGAAGGACACGCATCTTGTCAGTTGGACGAGTTTCCAATTTGTTCTAATCGTTTCGCTTTGATCTGAATGTTGCTAGAGATTTTCGATGACTTTCTCTTGGCCGTGTCTTCTGCTTTTATAACGTTACTGGACAGAGAATTCTATCTACGAGCACTGCGGACTCTCTGGAGAGCGTTCAGCTGATAGTATGCTGGGGGACGGAAGCTCTGGAACTGCCCAATGATACCCGGCTTACGGTCCGAAGCTCTGCATTGGCCGATGACACTAGGCAGGTGGTCCCATGCTCTGTATTGGCCGATACCACCAAGCTGGCGAATCCTCTCACTACACAGTGTCATACTGGACTGGGAACATCAAGAAATTGTGATCAGAAATTCGAATGAATACATTTGCCATAGTTGACCGGTCTTTGCACACTTGCTGTACAGATCTGAGGCATGTACAATATACATGTCATGCACATGTACATTGTACATATCGAAGATATGGGCAAGACTGTTGCTGGAGCTTTGCTGCAGGGTGCCCGGTCTAAAGGAGGAAAATCCAGTGGTAGTTGTCTGTTACAGGACATAACCTGTACAATTGGAAGAGAGTAAAGCAGAGATTCTGGCTAACAGAGACATTAAAAACATTCCTCACAATCCTGGGACAGGGAGGTTTCACTCTGCAGCCCAACCGGTCTGCCTTCCCAGTGTTTCGTTCATCCCGGCACCACCCACCGGGCATTACTCGGTGACGATTATGTTATGCCGTAGCTTTGACCGAATACCCCTACGAGCCTCCTGATGGTAGTGCATTGTGATGAGACCGGAGAAGACCTATACGCACCAAGAAGTGGGTCTTTGTGCATTGCTTCTCCATATATGGCTGCCCGTTAGAAACATTCCACGGGACCAAAGCGACATTTGGATGGCATGCTGTCAGAAGAAATGGATGCCGTTGCCGGACATTTATCAGATCATACATCCAGGCAGTGTCCTACACAGATACATGTACATGCATGACGTACTCGTACTGGGTATACATGTGAGAAGTGTGGATACAAATGGCTAGACGAAGTTGAGTCTGAAGAGGCCCTCTCACTAACTCACTCACTCACCCACTGTCACCCAGCGCCGGCTAGTTGCAGGCAACAGTCGTGGTACTTCAAAGTAGAATGCATACAGTTACACAGTACGGAAAATCGGGATTATGCTTCTACAGAACATCGCGGCCGGGTGAATGTACAGTCATTGGGCCAGTTTTTGGAGTGTCTGCGAATGCTAGATTAGTGCAGTTGTGGAGCTCTGCAGATGTCGAGACTCATCTGGAGTACAGTTTTGAACTACAATTCCTTTGCTAACATACTGTCTATTACAAGTTACTGTATACGAATTGAGAGAGGCCCTGAACCGGAAATATCAACCGCATTCGTACAGACATGTACATTTACATTTACTGCATGCACTGTTCGGAGTAGCGGTCAGCGCCCGCACAATAATCACAAAGTTTAATGGAAATATCAAACCTAAACGTTCAGTCATGTACATGTACATCAAAACTGCATGCACTATTCGGAGTAGCGGTCACCAGTCGACCGATAATCACAAATGTGCAGAACACTTCATGCTACGATCACCCAGCTAAATACATGTATCGCCAGGGCAGTACTGGTATGACAATACAGTGCCAGTGGTAGACCCCAGGTCCCCAGACTCAAGTGTGCACCGCGGTACCGGTACACAATCATAAGAGTTAATATACACGTTCACGCAGCAGGCCTACGTACCGTAACACCGGGCATGTGTGTGTGAATGTGTGTGTGTGTGTGTGTGAATGTGTGTGTGAATGTGAGTGTGTTTCTGTGTTTGTGAATGCGTGTGTGTGTTTCTGTGTGTGTTTCTGTGTGTGTGAATGTGTGTGTGTGAATGTGTGTGTGAATGTGTGTGTGTTTCTGTGTGTGTTTCTGTGTGTGTGTGTGTTTCTGTGTGTGTGTTTCTGTGTGTGTGAATGTGTGTGTGTGTGTTTCTGTGTGTGTTTCTGTGTGTGTGTGTTTCTGTGCGTGTTTCTGTGTGTGTGTTTCTGTGTGTGTGAATGTGTGTGTGTGTGTGTGTGTGAATGTGTGTGTGTGTGAATGTGTGTGCTTCTGTGTGTGTGTGTGTGAATGTGTGTGTGTGTGAATGTGTGTGTGTTTCTTTGTGTGTGTGTGTAGGTGTGTGTGGATACCCTGATGCCGTCAATCCTTTTTCTGCACCTTGTCCTCACCCACTTACTGAGGTGTGGTGAGTCCATAAGTGGGGTCATTTTCAAGTCCACCCAGAGTTTTGGGGATTTCAGGGGGTGTCGGTCGTTGGGCGGTTCAATAACCAATTGAGTCATCTTTCTAAGATTCCTTTTGAGTCTCTCTCCCCTCTCCCGGGGGACTCACGTGACCAGTTTTGGTAGTGAGCAACAAGTACAGTACAAGTACAGTGTGCATGTGACTGTATGTGGGAGGGCTGGATGACATCATCAATGGCCTTGACTCAGTAACATTGCCCTGTTCTCCTGACACGATTTCAGAACAGCTATTTCCAGTCTTTCCTAAATACATTCAAGAAGCCCCTTCAGAAAATTGGGGACAAGTCGTTACTTCAGTCAGTTTGTTCATATACTACCTACATTTATGTCTATCGGTAGACTTACGGCATGAATGCAGCAGTAAGAATTGTTGCTAGGTCGACTGCATGCTGCAAGACGGAGACCGCTTGCAGTGTGCAATCTACCAAAAAGGCTTATGTACCAAGCCTATGACTTGTATTCGACTACATTGTAGTGCCGTTTTTTGTTCTTACTGGCAACTCGTACACGCAAAAATACTTCAACATCATGAGGACCAAAGCTGATGGCTGTGACACTGATGTCTGCAATGCACAATGACGTGCAAAGATGTACATGATTGTGAATGTACATAATACATGACGTGATTGTATCAATACGATGTACCACATGACAGGTAAAAAAGGGGAAAGTATCCCAGATGGCGGCCAGTGACTAGATGTGCAGACAACAATAGGAATGACCATTTACTTCTCAACGTGTCTCTTTTAGGAGCGGAGCAGGGTTCCTCAAACGCCCTGGCTTGACATTGTCGACAGATGCAGGACTCCCATTTGATTTTTTGATGAGCTACATGTGTGCGTGCTCTAATATTATTATTTCTACCAGGTAAAGCCGATTTCTCTCTCAATGCCTAGTGTACATTGTACAAGACATTCGTACACCGCTCCATCGACATCCAGTACTACTAGCCACAGCAAGTGCCTGAAGTATTGCAAAAGCAAATACATTGTAAGTCAGCCGGCACTATGCTGACCGCCATCATAACCCGGACAGCGGAGAACAGATTCCTCACTATGTTTGGTGCGTTTTGTTCTCATGAGCAAGAAAGCCATTCCATGTACGTCTTTCGACAGATGTTTCTCAAACTACTCTTGGTACTCATGCTAGTATTGTGTGGAGGAACACACGCAGACACACGGCAGTGCTCACGTACAGTATGTGTATGCACGTGTGTAATGGAATGCAATAGCTTTAATGGCGATGGAAGCACGCCATGATTCACTCAGAGCTGGAATATCTGGATCAGCCTGTAGAAACCGGAGACCATCGGTGTTGATCCAGGGCTAATCATCATACCACATCCACTGCTATAAAAGCCAAACTGGTTGCCAGAGTGTGGATCAAAGTCTGTAGATGAAGATAAAAAGAATTCTGTTCAGCATATCTGAAAATACGACATGAAGTGTTTCTTGCTCCTTGCTCTGCTTTTGGGCGTGAGTGCTCAGTTAGCCTGGGCCACTGGGTACTCTAATCAGGTATGCCTCAAGCTGCCCCAGGGCCCTAAGGGACCCAGAGGTAACATGGGGCCACAAGGTCCTGCAGGTCCGCAGGGCGAGGACGGTTCGCAAGGCCCCGAAGGGTCAATGGGCCCCGCCGGACCGATGGTGAGGACGGAGAGGATGGTGAAGCTGGCATGCCGGGTAGACCAGGTAGCTCTGAACTGCGCAGTATTCCGATCAGCCTGGCCTTCTCCTACCCATCTCTACATGCATCCAACCCGTTCTACATGAGTCTTCTCTACTCTTACTTCAATGGTCGCTACTTCGTGGGAACTCCCAGCCGACAGCGCTCTCTGGGCGGCAATGCCAACTTCAACCTGGGTCGTGGCGCAGTCAAGCTGGTTCGATGGGGAACGGAGATTCGTATTCCATTTGTGAAGTCCTACGAAGGTTCTCCCGTGTGCAAGGTTCACTTCCAGGACATCTTCAGCCACGCAAAGGTCTATGCCACCAGCACGTTCCTAGCCATCAAGCTGCCCACCATCTGGAAGAGGAAACAGACGCACATCCAGGCCGTTTGCTGGGGCGCTTTCCCGAAGCCCGCCAAGAACTAATAAGAGGTGCAGCGGCGGCCATTGCTCGAACTGCCTAGGTATCACATGTCACATTCTATTCTTCATGCACGTACAGGTTTAGAAACTGAACTCCACTTTATCACATCCAAAATATACTATGTTATCGCTCAATCATTGCTCTTCTTATTCGGTAAAGGGAAGAGTGTCAGTATGCTTGCGAAGTGTCATCACACTAGGAGAGGATGATTATTCCCGTATTTTCTCTTCATAATTTTCTCTTGTTGAAAACTGATCTCCATTATATCGCATCCAAAATATACTCCGCAATCGCTCCATCATTGCTCTTCTTACTCGGTAAAGGGAAGAGTGTAAGCATGTCAGTATGCTTGCGAAGTGTGATCACACTCGGAGAGGATGTTAATTCCGGTATTTTCTTTTAACAGAATCAGATTTTGAGGCACCTGTATGGATGCGTTTAAGTTCTCTTCAAATACATGTACTGCATATTATATTCAGGATGCTAGCGGCAGTACTCGGTTCTTTTGGAACCGGACACGAAATTTCTTCTTTTTCTAACGCCATTATGGTTTGTGGAAATCAAGTTCGACAATTCATTATGATTATTTAGATATTTTCCACTTATCGCTGTTCATCCTGGAGTATCAGTTCACCTGGTTACCATTTACTGTTGTTTCTCTGAACGAATGTTCCGGATAACAATTACTGGAGAGAACGGAATGGGGAATGGAGCCTTTGAACTGTAGTTTTCTTGGCAGTAGATTTTTATTTTGACCAAAGGAGACAAAAAGACGCCAGCAGACACCAGCACGAACCCTGAACCAGTCACACTCCGCAGCAGCTAGAAGTTGCTTCTGACAAGCCTTGTTTCGTTCCATTATGATAACGGAAAGTCATCGGCCAAAGTTGGAGGATACTGCCTGCAGAAAAATTAGCAGAATTTCATACTTCTTCAGGGATGTTTCATGCATGTTTTGTACGTGGAAAATAAATGGAGAAGAACTTGAGGAAGTGCCCGTCATCAGGTGTGTACGGTTCTGCCAATTTCAGTGTTTTTCGAACAGCATTCGCCAATTTTACGAGCATTTATCCACGAAGGGCTAGCTCACATTGCAAACAGCAACTGGATAAACATAGATGTTTCAGCCCTTTTAAATGTATTATACTCTAGTACTGAGCCAATTAAGTATAATGTAAAACTCAGCAAGGACACATGGGTTACGAGTTATGAGCAACTATTCACTGCAGTGCCAAGATAATGTTATGCAATCAGATTTGTGTGATCTGTTTGTTTACGCACTGGAGATGTGTTCAAGCTACATGTTCATGTACATGTAAGTAGTCTGTCAGTTTTGTACTTTTTTATCACTTTCTGACTGCTTATTATCTTGTTTCAGTAGTGGAAAGTTACTCATAACTCGCAACACATAACCCATTTTGTCCTTTCTCAGTACATGCCAGCCCTTGGCGGATTTTGCTGGCGTAATATCTGGCCAGAAATTGTGCTCTGGCATGAAAGGACTTCTGAGAGGAGACAGTTGCCATAACATTACGATGCTGACTGAAAATTAATGCTCCAGGCATATTTATTTATTAGGCATATCACTGGAAATAACCTTGTGAATGTTACCCCTTGTAAGCCGTGACGTCATGGTGCCAGAGTCGTTTGCAAAATGCAACAAGAGTGCAAGAAGGGTACAGTGTAGCACCATCATCGGCTTAATCGACCTTATGCCATTTGTACAGATCCACAAAATCCCGAAACTCCCGTAGACCCGGTAGGGTGTTCATTGTGTGCTATGCATGCGCATTTGACCGTTTTAGCGTCATAATTCAATGATCGGCAGTCGCTTTTCCAGCTTCTTCACTTTGGTTAGAACTAATGTCTACCTAGATCTTTGTCAGAAAAGGTTTTCGTATGAAATGCTTTCAGGCCCCATTTCTCAGTGGAAATAGCAGAAAACACAATAGGGTTCGACACCCTACCGGATCTACGGGATTCTACGAGATTTCGTGGATATGTACAAATGGCATAAGGGCCATTCCAGCATAATGAAGTAAAATCATGGCCATAATTTGGGCATAATGGAAATCATAATTCAGCAATTTACCGATCTCGAGCATAAACCGCCAAGGGCTAGTACATGCACCGTACAAGAACAATGTACATGTAGGTGGGAGAGCTCAACTAACTTCAGCATATCGACATGTCTCCCTGGATATTGTACTATTTATTTTGCCATTTTTAAAATATGGTCAATGTTCGAAGAGGTATCGCCTTTTTCAGTGCAGGATCACCCACCATGGCTCATGCTGATAGCCAAGAAACAGGTTTCCATTAGATATCGTCAAATTTATGCTCGATACATTATTATGGCTATGGCTAACGAGCACACGACATTTACATGTACATGTACATGTATACAGGTATGTACATGTATATCCCTGACTTCTACACTCCCTGAATGAAACGCACATGAATACGCTTATGGTTTTGAAAATCTTCAATTAATGTTGTGATAGCAGTCGAAAGATAATAAATTACGTCGAGAACGGACTTGTAGATGTGAAAGATAAAAGAAAAAACATGAGATTTCAAAGGTACGCGTGTTCACATTTACATGTACATGTATGATGGGTTTCCTTGGTATGGGCTGGCATGGAGTATAATTTTGGAAAAGGTGCCTATAATCTGAAGATATAAAAGATGTTTTCGCTTTAATATACCGATATATATATAAATTGTACATCCTTAAATTTAAGATGCGATTCAGCTGGTATGATAAATGATGCAAGCCCTCATCTGAACAGCGAGCACACATTGAGGTCGCAAGAAAACCAGTCCAAGAGAACATGCGATCTCCCAGCTACTGCATTAGTAACATTATACCTCAGCGTGTGTAGGAAGCTACGTGCAAATTTACCTCCACCACCGCCGCTGCTGCTGTTGTAACGCAGAGTAGTTTAGCCCCGGTAATTGGTCATGGCTCCGTGGCAGGCGATCTGAATACCAGTGCGTACCTTGTGCCAGATGTAGGGCAGAGTGAGGTCCAGGTAGGTGGCCTGTGAGTTCAGCTTGATGTGCGAGAACACGTGACCAAGCTGCACAGTACATACTGGAGCACCCATGTAGCTGGTCTTGAAGGGAATGCGCAGAGTGTGTCCGTGGTTTATCAGGGTTGCACCGCTGGGGACGAAGTTGGCCACACCGCCGACGCTGACAGAGCTGTTGCCACCAGCACAGCTCGCGAACTTGCTGTAGGCGAAGATGCAGTTGAGCAGGCTGATTCTGTACGGGTTGGGTCCTTGCAGGGATGGGTTGGAGAAAATGATCTTGACCGGGATGAAGGTGATAGCGCCTGGTGCACCGGGCATACCTGGTTCACCATCCTCCCCATCTTGACCATCCTCACCAGCAGGGCCCATCGGACCTGCCGGGCCCGTGGGTCCCATGTCGCCATCAACACCTGCAGGCCCCATGGAGCCTTCGGGTCCAGTGTCACCCTTCGGCCCGCGGACAGGCTTGAAGCAGATCTGTCCTGATCCGAGACCTGTGGCGGAGACCAGGCCGAGGGCCAAAATGAGGCAAAAGCTAACGAGAATGACACGCATCTTGTCAGTTGAACAAGTTTCCAATTTTCTCTAACCGTTTCGCTTTGCTCTGAATGCTGCTTGAGCTTTTCGATGACTTTCTCTTGGCCGTAAGGTCTGCTTTTATACTCGACAGAGAGTTCAACCCACGAGCACCGCTGACTCTCCGGAGAGCATTCAGCTGTTACATGTAGTATAGGCTGGCGGACGGAAGCTCTGGAGCTGCCCAATGATACCCGGCTGGCGGTCCGAAGTTCTGCATTGGCCAATGACACCAAGCAGGTGGTCCCATGCTCTGTATTGGCCGATGCCACCAAGCTGGCGAATCATCCCACTACACAGCATCAGACTAGACTGGGGACATCAATAGCTCCATTACTTTATAATATTGGTTTGTGATCAGAAATTCTGCTGAATACATTTGCCATAGTTGACCAGGCTTTGCACACTTGCTGTACAGATCTGAGTGCATGTACATTGTACATATCGAAGATATGGGCAAGACTGTTGCAAGGGACTTCGCTGCAAGGTGTCCGGCTTAGAGCAGGAACGATCCAGTGCTAGTTGTCTGTCACAGCACATAGCCTGCACAATTGGAAGAGACTAAAGCAGAGATTCTGGCTAACAGAGACATTAAAAAACATTCCTCACAGTCCTGGGACAGGGTGGTTTCACTCTGGAGTACAACCGGTTTGCCTTCCCAGTGTTTCGTTCATCCCGGCACCACCCACCGGGCATTACTCGGTGACGATTATGCTATGCCGCAGCTTAGACCGAATAACCCTACGAGCCTCCTCATGGTAGTACAGTGTGATGAGACCGGAGAAGACCTATACGCACCAAGAAGTGGGTCTTTGTGCATTGCTTCTCCATATATGGCTGCCCGTTAGAAACATTCCACGGGACCAAAGCGACATTTGGATGGCATGCTCTCAGAAGAAATGGAGGCAGTTGCCGGATATTTACAAGATCACATATCAAGGCAGTGTCCTACACAGATACATGAACTGGGTACATGCATGACATACTCGTACTGGATATACGTGGGAGAAGTGTGGAAGCAAATGGCTAGATGAAGGTGAGTCTGAAGAGGCCTTCTTCACCCAGCGCCGGGTAGTTTCAGTCATGGTACTTCAAAGTAGAATGCATACCGCGTACCGGTATGCAGTACGGAGAATCGGGATTATGCTTCTACAAAAATCGAGGCCGGGTGAGTGTCCAGTCATTGGGGCAGTTTTTTTTAGTGTCTGCGATTGCTAGATTAGTGCAGTTGTGGAGCTCTGCAGATGTCGGAGCTCATCTGGAGTACGGTTTTGAACTACAATTCCTTTGCTAACATACTGTCTATTACTAGTTACTGTATACGAATTGAGAGAGGCCCTGAACCGGAAATATCAAACCTTAACGTACAGATATGTACATTTACTGCATGCACTATTCGGAGTAGCAGTCACCGCCCTAACAATAATCACAAACGTGCAGAACACTTCATGCTGCGATCACCCAGCTAAATTTCACCACGGCAGTATTGTTAGGACAATACAGTGGGCGACCCCAGGTCCCCAGACTCAAGTGTGCACCGGGACACAATCATAAGAGTTAATTTGCATTACATGTACATGTATATTGTAGTGGAGTGAATGCTGCTGTCTGATGATGATCGCTCCGATGCGTGACACTTTATTAAGTAACAGCTAACACAGCCTTTCGCCTCTGTTGTGTGTGTATACTGCTCTGTACATTCGTACATTGAGCACTCTACCTCGAGCTTCCAAGACCGGCCTTGTTTGTGTACATGTACATGTACATGACATAATTATAATGTATAACATGTAGATGTAGCTGGTAATGCCTGCAATTACATGTTCATGTTCATGTACATGTACATGTACATGTATGTGTGTGCGTCTGTATGTGTGTGTGTGTGTGTGTGTGTGTGTATGTGTGTGTGTGTGTGTGTGTGTGTGTGTGCGTCTGTTTGTGTGTGAGGAGGTTTGTTTGGGGAGCTCCCTGCAACACGCCCTCGCCATGGTCCACGCAAGCGGTGGCGTGACGTCATCGTGGATGATCTCCGCTCCATCAGCCCCCCTGTGCCTTCTGACTGCTGGTTTGATGCTGCCCAGGATCGCTCTGCCTGGAGGCAGATTGCTCACCGTCGTCCTCCCGCCCGTGCTCCTCCTGATCCTGACTCTGGCTTCCGCTGCGCATGTGGAAAGGTCTGCCGTCTTCCTGGGGATCTCAAGCGCCACGCTCCGTACTGCAAAGCTAGCAGATAGTCCCTTCGCTATCATTGCCATCCGCAATGGGCACGTTCAAGGTTCAAGGTTGTGTGTGTGTGTGTATATGTGTGCCTGTGTGACAGTGTGTGTGTGTGTGGGGGGGGGGGGGGGACTGCATGACTTCAGCAATGGCGTTGACTCTGTAACTTTGCTATGATCTCCTGTCACGACTTCAGCGGACCTATTTCCCCCAAATCCATTCAACAAGCCCCTGTATGATATTGGGGAATGGGGGCCAGCCGTTACTTAGGTCAGTTCGTTCCTTTACGGCATGTACGTCTATTGGTTACCTTATTGCATGACTGAAACAGGAGACTTGTTGATCAGTTGACAGCAGGTTACAAGGCGGAGAACGCACTGTACAATCTACCAAACAGGGCTGACATTATACACCAAGCCTGAGATTTGTATCCATTTCTACCATGGCTTTTGGGGGAGGTTGGCTATGGAGAATAGTGTACAACTCTCTTTCGCCATCCGCTACTATTACTATTAGTGCCTGCTGAGTCGCAAATGCAACTACATGTATAATGTACATGTGCAAATATTACACAGCAATGAACCAAAAAAATCTCTTTCCGCTGTTACTCGGAGTTCCGTGTGAAAACACTCATCAGACAGCATATGGACATGTACATTTACATTATGCACATGTACATGTATGTTTTCCGGCACTATGCCGACCGCCATCACAACCCGGATAGCGGAGACTACACTCCCTATTATATTTGGTGCGTTTTGTGCATACCGGCAATCAGGCCCTTCTCCGTACGTCTCCCCCCAGATGTGGCTCGATCTACTAGTACTCATGCTAGTACATAGATAGTGTGGAAGAACACACGCAGACATACGCCAGTGCTCACGTACAGTATCTATACTATAACATAGTCCATTATTATGAAATGCATCGGCTGTAATGGCGATGGAATACATCGGCTGTAATGGCGATGGAAGAACGCCATGAATCACCCAGAGCTGGAATATCTGGATCAGCCTGTAGTGTAGAAACCGGAGTCCATCGGTGTTGACTCAGACTTGATCTATCCAGAGTTAATCCTCACTGCTATAAAAGCCAAGCTGGTTGCCAGAGTGTTGATCAAAGCCAGTAGTTGAAGACAGAAGTGTTTCTATTGAGCACATCTGAAAATACAACATGAAGTGTTTCTTGCTCCTTGCTCTGCTTTTGGGCGTGAATGCTCAGTTAGCCTGGGCCACTGGGTACTCTAATCAGGTATGCCTCAAGCTGCCCCAGGGCCCTAAGGGACCCAGAGGTAACATGGGGCCACAAGGTCCTGCAGGTCCGCAGGGCCAGGACGGTTCGCAAGGCCCCGAAGGGCCAATGGGTCCCGCCGGACCCGAAGGCCAGGACGGAGAGGATGGTGAAGCTGGCATGCCAGGTAGAGCAGGTAGCTCTGAACTGCGCAGTATTCCGATCAGCCTGGCCTTCTCCAACCCATCTCTTCATGCACCCAACCCGTTCTACATGAGTCTTCTCTACTCTTACTTCAATGGTCGCTACTTCGTGGGAACTCCCAGCCGACAGCGCTCTCTGGGCGGCAACGCCAACTTCAACCTGGGTCGTAGCGCTGTCAAGCTGGTTCGATGGGGAACGGAGATTCGTATTCCATTTTTGAAGTCCTACGAAGGTTCTCCTGTATGCAAGGTTCACTTCCAGGACATATTCAGCCACGCAAAGGTCTATGCAATTAGCACGTTCCTGGCCATCAAGCTGCCCACCATCTGGAAGAGGAGACAGACGCACATCCAGGCCGTTTGCTGGGGCGCTTTCCCGAAGCCCGCCAAGAACTAATAAGAGGTGCAGCGGCGGCCATTGCTCGAACTGCTTAGGTATCACATGTCACTTTCTATTCTTCATGCACGTACATGTTTAAAACTGAACTCCACTTTATCACATCCAAAATATACTCCGTTATCGCTCCATCATTGCTCTTCTTATTCGGTAAGGGGAAGAGTGTCAGTAGGCTGTCATCACACTAGGAGAGGATGATGATTCCCGTATTTTCTCTTCATAAAATCAAATTTGGAGGCACCTGTATGGATACGCTTAAGTTCTCCTCAAATAAATGACATTCTACATTAAAGTCCGGATGCTAGGACCGGTTCCCTGGGAACCCGGCACGAATTTTCCTGTTCTTTTTAAGGCCATTATGTTAGGTGGAAACCTGATCTGCGTGCCATGGAAATCAAGTTCGACAACGCATTATGATTATTTAGATATTTTCCACTTATCGCTGTTCATATTGGAGTATCAGTTCACCTGGTTACCATTTACTGGTGTTTCTCTGAACGAATGTTCTGGATAACAATTACTGGAGAGAACGGAATGGGGCCTTTGAACTGTAGTTTTCTTAGTAGTAGTTTTTTTATTGTGACCCGACGAGACAAGACGACGCTTGCAGACACCCACACGAACACTGCACCAGTCACACTCCACAGGATTTAGACGTTGCTACTGACAAGCCTTGTTTCGTTCCATTTTTGATAACGGGAACGCCTTGGCCAGCGTGGGAGGATATTTCCGGGAGAAAAATTGGCAGAATATTAATTTGTATGTTCATGCATGTCCAAAAAATTGGTATGGGAAAAATAAATGGAGAAGAATTCGAGGAAGTGCCTGTCATAATGTGTGTATGGTTCTGCCAATTGCAGTGTTTTTCGAGGAGCATTTGCCAATTTTACGAGCATTATCCACCGAGGGCTAACTCACACTGCAAAAAAAACTAAATAAGCAGAGATGTTTCAGCCCTTATACATGCATTATACTCTAGGACTGAGCCAATTATATTACAATGTAAAACTGTGAAAGGACACATGGGTTACTGCAGTAACAAGATTATGCAGTCAGGGTTGCGCACTAGAGATGTGTTCAAGCTACATGTACATGTAGGTGTCAGGTCGTTGAATACCTACATGTAAGTAGTCTATCAGGTTTGTACTTGTTAGTTATAACTTTCCGACTGCTTATGATCTTGTTGTTTAAGTAGTGGACAGTCACTCATAACTCGTAACCCTTTTGTCCTTTTTCATTTTTACAGTACATGCTAGCCCTTGGCGGATTATGCTGGCATAATTTCTGGCCAGAAATGATGCCCTGGCACAAAAGGACTTCTGCGACCAGACAGTTGCCATATTCTTATGATGCTGACTGAAAATTAATGCTCCAGGAATATTTCTTAAAGAATCGGCGCGGAGAAAGCAATTTTATGAGTGCAATAAAGAGTATAATAGATGCAGACATGGCCAGACAACAACAAGTTCATGGAATTTAAAGGATTTTATTGTTCAAAATCGATTTTCGTGTTCCGCTCTTCAGTGAATATTATCGGAACTGAGGGTGATGTGTACAAAAAAGAACATTAATTAAAAGTGTGAAACAAAAGGAAGTGCTACAGCATTACATAGTAAGTGTCAAACAAAGTGCTAAAATATATAAAAAATACTAACTGAGTGCAAACACAAAGCTATTATGTAATGCTTTAGCACTTCCTTTTGTTTCACACTTTTAATTATGCATTTATTTTAATGTTCTTTTTTTGGATACATTACCCTCAGTTCCGATAATATCCAATAAAGTGCGGAACACGAAAATCGATTTTGAATAATAAAATCCTTTAAAATTCCATGAACTCGCTGTTGTCTGGCCATGTCGGCATATATTATACTCTTAATTGCATATTAACTGGTTTCGAGTGAAAGAGACAAACGATTTTTTGCATATTTACTATTTAGGCATATCACAGGAAACAACCGTGTGAAAGTTACCCCTTGTAAGCCGCGCTGTCATGGTGCCAGCATCGTGTGCAAAATGCAACAAGAGTGCAAGGGTACAGACTACAGTATAGCACCATCATGGGCTTAATCGACCTAATGCCATTTGTACAGATCCACGAATGCGCATAATTCCAGCATAATGCATCATAATCACTGCAATAATTTGGGAATAATGGAAATCATAATTCAGCAATTTGCCCATCTCAAGCATAATCCGCCAAGAGCTAGTACATGCACCGTACATGAACAATGTACATGTACATGTACATGTAGGTGGGAGAGCTTAACTAACTCCAACGCATCTACATGTATCCCTGGATATTGTACTATTTATTTGGGAATTTTTAAAATATGGTCAATGTTCGAAGAGTTATCGCCTTTTTCGATGCAGGATAACCCACCATGGTGCACGCTGATAGCCAAGAAACAGGTTTAGATTATATATCGTCAAATTTATGCTCTAGACATTATTGTGGCAATGGGTAACGAGAACAAGGCATTTACATGTACATGTACAGTATATCACTGACTTCTACACTCCCCGAAATCAAACGCACGTGACGTTCATGGTTGTGAAAATGGTCAATTATTGTGGTGGAAGCAGTGGAAAGATAATAAATTACGTCGAGAACGGACTTGTAGATGTGAAAGATAAAAGAATAAACATGAGATTTCAAAGGTACGTGTGTTCACATCTACATGTATGATGAGTTGTCTTGGTATGGGCTAGCATGGAATATAATTTTGGAAACGGTGCTTATAATCTGAAGATAAAAAAGATGTTTTCGCTTTAATATACCGATATATGTAAATTGTACATCCTTAAATTTAAGATGCGATTCAGCTGGTATGATTAATGATGCAAGCCCTCATCTGAACAGCGAGCACACATTGAGGTCGCAAGAAAACCAGTCCAAGAGAACATGCGATCTCCCAACTACTGCATTGGTAACATTATAGCTCAGCATGTGTATGAAGCTACGTACATTTTCTGCTCAACCGCCGCCGCTGCTGCAGTTGCAACGCAGAGTATTTAGCCTCGGTAATTGGTCATGGCTCCGTGGCAGGTGATCTGAAGACCAGTGCGTACCTTGTGCCAGATGTAGGGCAGAGTAAGGTCCAGATAGGTGGCCTGTGGGTTCAGCTTGATGTGCGAGAACACGTGACCAAGCTGCACAGTGCATACTGGAGCACCCAGGTAGCTGGTCTTGAAGGGAATGCGCAGTGTGTGTCCGTGGTTTATCAGGGTTGCACCGCTGGGGACAAAGTTGGCCACGCCGCCGACGCTGACAGAGCTGTTGCCACCAGCACAGCTCGCGAACTTGTTGTAGGCGAAGATGCAGTTGAGAAGGCTGATTCTGTACGGGTTGGGTCCTTGTAGGGATGGGTTGGAGAAGATGATCTTGACTGGGGTGAAGGTGATAGCGCCTGGTGCACCGGGCATACCTGGTTCACCATCCTCCCCATCTTGACCATCCTCACCAGCAGGGCCCATCGGACCTGCCGGGCCCGTGGGTCCCATGTCCCCATCAACACCAGCAGGTCCCATCGGGCCTTCAGGTCCAGTGTCACCCTTCGGCCCACGGACAGGCTTGAAGCAGATCTGTCCTGATCCGAGACCTGTGGCCGAGACCAGGCCGAGGGCCAAAAGGAGGCAAAAGCTAACGAGAATGACACGCATCTTGACAGATGAACCAGTTTCCAATTTTTGCTAACCGTTTCGCTTTGCTCTGAATGCTGCTTGAGCTTTTCGATGACTTCTTCTTGGCCGTAACGTCTGCTTTTATACTCGACGGAGAGTTCTACCCACGAGCATCGCTGACTCTCCGGAGAGCGTTCAGCTCGTACATGTAGTATAGGATGGCGGACGGAAGCTCTGGAACTGCCCAATGATACCCGGCTGGCGGTCCGAAGTACTGCATTGGCCGATGACACCAAGCAGGTGGTCCCATGCTCCGTATTGGCCGATACCACCAAGTGGCGAATCATCCCACTACACAGCATTAGACTAGACTGGGGACATCAATAGCTTCATTACTTTATAATATTAGTTTGTGATCAGAAATTCTGCTGAATACATTTGCCATAGTTGACCAGGCTTTGCACAATTGCTGTACAGATCTGAGTGCATGTACATTGTACATATCGAAGGTATGGGCAAGGGACTGGGACTTCGCTGCAAGGTGTCCGGTTTAGAGCAGGAACGATCCAGTGCTAGTTGTCTGTCACAGCACATAGCCTGCACATTTGGAAGAGACTAAAGCAGAGATTCTGGCTAACAGAGACAATATAAAACATACCTCACAGTCCTGGGACAGCGAGGTTTCACTCTGGAGTACAACCGGTCTGCCTTCCCAGTGTTTCGTTCATCGCGGCACCACCCACCGGGCATTACTCGGTGACGATTATGCTATGCCGCAGCTTAGACCGAATAACCCTACGAGCCTCCTCATGGTAGTACAGTGTGATGAGACCGGAGAAGACCTATACGCACCAAGAAGTGGGTCTTTGTGCATTGCTTCTCCATATATGGCTGCCCGTTAGAAACATTCCACGGGACCAAAGCGACATTTGGATGGCATGCTCTCAGAAGAAATGGAGGCCGTTGCCGGACATTTATACGATCCCATGTTCGGGCAGTGTCCTACACAGATATATTATGTGCATGCATGACGTACTTGTACTGAGTGTACGTGTGAGAAGTGTGGATACAAATGGCTAGACGAAGTTGAGTCTGAAGAGGCCCTCTTACTCACTCACTGATCCACTGTCACCCACCAGCGCCGGCTAGTTGCAGGCAACAGTCGTGGTACATCAAATTAGAATACATACCGGTATACAGTACTAGGAAATGGGATTTTGCTTCTACACAAAATCACGGCCGGGTGAGTAGTGTGCAGTCACTGGGGCAGTTTTTTTAGTGTCTGCGAATGCTAGATTACGGTAGTTGTGGAGCTCTGCAGATGTCGAAACGCGTTCTGGAGTACGGTTTTGAACTACAATTCTTTTGCTAACATACTGTCTATTACTAGTTACTGTATACGAATTGAGAGAGGCCCTGAACCGGAAATATCAAACCTAAACGTACAGACATGTGCATTTACTGCATTCATTATTCGGAGTAGCGGTCACCGCCCGCACAATAATCACAAATGTGCGGAACACTTCATGCTGCGATCACCCAGATAAATTTCACCACCGCAGTATTGTTATGACAATACAGTGGGCGATCCCAGGTCCCCAGACTCAAGTGTGCACCGGGACACAATCATAAGAGTTAATTTGCATTACATGTACATGTATATTGCAGTGGAGTGAATGCTGCTGTCTGATGATGATCGCTCCGATGCGTGACAGATTATTTTAAGTTACAGCTAACACAGCCTTTGGCCTCTGTTGTGTGTGTATACTGCTCTGTACATTCGTACATTGAGCACTCTACCTCGAGCTTCCAAGACCGGCCTTTGTTGTTGTTTGTATTCTTTATTTAGAGTGGGAAGTCCAAAACAGGCCCTAGCCTAATAACAATGGTCCCACTAGTGAGGGAATGTTGTATTTCTGTGCATAAGGATCAGGCCTTGTTTGTGTATATTGTATAACATGTACATGTATATGTACATGTATATGTACACGTAGCTGGTAGTGTCTGCAATTACATGCACGTGCCGTAATACAAGGTACAAATTTAATATTACACAGCAATGAAGCAAACAAATCTCTTTCTGCTGTTACTTGGAGTTTCGTGTGAAAACACACATCAGACAGAATATGTACATGTACATTTACATTATGCACATGTACACATGTATGTCTTCCGGCACTATGCCGACCGCCATAACAACCCGGATAGCCGAGACTACACTCCTCATTATATTTGGTACGTTTTGTGCATTCCGGCAATCAGGCCCTTCTCTGTACGTCTCCCGACAGATGCTGTCAAATCACTCATAGTACTCATGCTAGTACATAGATAGTGTGGAAGAACACACGCAGACATACGGCAGTGCTCACGTACAGTATCTATACTATAACATAGTCCATTATTGTGAAATGCATCGGCTGTAATGGCGATGGAGGAACGCCATGAACATCTTGATCAGCCTGTAGTGCAGAAACCGGAGGCCATCGGTGTTGATCCAGGCTTGATCTATCCAGGGTTAATCCTCATACCACATCCGCTCCTATAAAAGCCAAGCTGGTTGCCAGAGTGTTGATCAAAGCCAGTAGTTGACGACAGAAGTGTTTCTGTTGAGTACATCTGAAAATAATACAACATGAAGTGTGTCTTGCTCCTTGCTCTGCTTTTCGGCGTGTGTGCTCAGATAGCCTGGGCAACTGGGTATTCTAATCAGGTATGCCTCAAGCTGCCCCAGGGCCCTAAGGGACCCAGAGGTAATATGGGTCCACAGGGTCCTGCAGGTCCGCAGGGCGAGGAAGGTTCGCAAGGCCCCGAAGGGCGAATGGGCCCCGCCGGACCCGAAGGCCAGGGCGGAGAGGATGGTGAACCTGGCATGCCGGGGAGACCAGGTAGCTCTGAACTGCGCAGTATTCCGATCAGCCTGGCCTTCTCCAACCCATCTGTGCATGCACCCAACCCGTTCTACATGAGTCTTCTCTACTCTTACTTCAATGGTCGCAACTTCGTGGGAACTCCCAGCCGACAGCGCTCTCTGGGCGGCAATGCCAACTTCAACCTGGGTCGTAGCGCTGTCAAGCTGGTTCGATGGGGAACGGAGATTCGAATTCCATTTGTGAAGTCCTACGAAGGTTCTCCTGTATGCAAGGTCCACTTCCAGGACATCTTCAGCCACGCAAAGGTCTATGCCACCAGCACTTTCCTGGCCATCAAGCTACCCACCATCTGGAAGAGGAGACAGACGCACATCCAGGCCGTTTGCTGGGGCGCTTTCCCCAAGCCTGCCAAGAACTAATCCTAGATGAAGCGGCGGCCATTGCTCTAACCGCTTAGGTATCATCTGTCACATTCTATTCTTCATGCACGTACATGTTTAGAAACTGAACTCCACTTTATCACATCCAAAATACTGCTCTGTTATCGCTCCATCATTGCTATTCTTGTTCGGTAATGGGAAGAGTGTTAGCATGTAAGTATGCACACTCGGGGAGAATCAGAATTCCCGTATTTCTCTTCATAAAATCAGATTTGGAGGCACCTGTATGGATGCGTTATCTTCAAATACATATTATATTGCGGATGCTATCGCTAGCACTCGGTTTCCTTGGAACCGGACACGAAATTTCCTGTGTTTTTCTACACTATATTGTTATGTGGAAACCCGATATCCGTGTCACGGAAATCAAGTTCGATAACCCATTATGAATATTTATGATTATTAAGATATATTCCAGTTATCGCTGTTCATCCTGGAGTATAAGTTCACCTGGCTACCATTTACTGTTGTTTCTCTAAACGAATGTTCCGGATAACAATTACTGGAGAGAACGGAATGGGGAATGGAGCCTTTGAACTGTAGTTTTCTTAGCAGTAGTTTTTAATGTGACCGAACGAGACCAAACGACGCTTGCAGACACCCGCACGAACACTTCACCAGTCACACTCCACAGGACCTAAACGTTGCTACTGAAAAGCTTTGTTTCGTTCAATTATGATCACGGGAACTCCTTGGCCAGCGTTGGAGGACATTTCCGGCAGAAAAATTGGCAGAATATTAATTTTGTATGTTCATGCATGTTTGGTATGGGAAAATAAATGGAGAAGAATTCGAGGAAGTGCCTGTCATAATAAGATGTGTGCGCTTCTGCCAATTGCAGTGTTTTTCGAGGAGCATTTGCCAATTTTACGAGCATTTATCCACGAAGGGCTAGCTCACACTGCAAAAAACCAACAACTGAATAAACAGAGATGTTTCCGACATTATAAATGTAGAACACTCTAGTACTGAGCTAATAGGAACATGTGAAAATGAGCAAGGACACATGGGTTACGAGTTATGAGTAGCTAAACACTGCAGTACCAATAAAATATGCAGTCAGATTTGTGTGATCTGTTGGTTTACGCACTGGAGATGTGTTCAAGCTAAAGGTCGTTGAATGCGCAAGTAGTCTGTCAGTTTTGTACTTAGTCGTAACTTTCTGACTGCTTATTATCTTGTTGCAGCAGTGGATAGTTACTCATAACTCGTTACACGTTTTCATAGGCGCTACAAGTGTAAAATTATCCTCGAATGGGAAAGCATATCTGTTCAAATGTATGACTTCATAATTATAGAACAACAACAACAATAATAACATAAACAACAACAACAGCAACAACAACAGCAGCAACAACAACAACAACAAAAACAAAACTAACAACAACAACAACAACAACAACAACAACAACAACAACAACAACAACAACAACAACAACAACAACAACAACAACAACAACAACTCTTATTACTCTTATTGGCCACAGGCCATCGTGAGAATAAAAGATTTCAAACAACAACAACAACAACAACAACAACAACAACAACAACAACAACAACAACAACAACAACAACAACAACAACAACAACAACAACAACAACAACAACAACAACAACAACAACAACAACAACAACAACAACAACAACAACAACAACAACAACAACAACAACAACAACAAACACAACAACAACAACAACAACAACAACAACAACAACAACAACAACAACAACAACAACAACAACAACAACAACAACAACAACAACAACAACAACGACAACAACAACAACAACAACAACAACAACAACAACAACAACAACAACAACAACAACAACAACAACAACAACAACAACAACAACAACAACAACAACAACAACAACAACTACTACTACTACAACAACAACAACAACAAAAACAACAACAGTCACGACACCACGATGCATCTTCTACGAGCAGACTTTTCACTTACAGATCCATGCTCAGTTGACGTCTTCTAGAGATCCTGGCGCGACGAATACCGTCGAGCCAGTCTCAGGTTCTTAACAATAAATATTCCATGAACCATGGAACCTTTGGATCCGTTGCATCATTTTCATGAAATACCTCATCAAATTCAAATTCGTTACTTGTAGTACTCCCTCATTGATTTGTTTCCGTCTTCTCTTTGTGCCCTGCTCATGATTGTACTTTCCTCTTCCTCCTATTCTTATAAATATCACTACTTGTAACATGGAAATTGTGGGCACAGGTTCTGCGATCGAGTCCACCAACTAAACCAGATTTAGAACCATCAGACGTGCACAATCTAGCACAAAACTGCCCACAATTTCCATGTTACAAATAGTTCCTTGGCTCACCATCTGAGTTCTTTCAAAAATATCACTACCTTCATCATTTTGCGAGAACTGTGGCAATACGCCCAGTGAGAAGGGAGATTTTGCCTGTGCTTCTGGTGAAGTAAAATAAAGCCAAACAAACAAACAAAATCTACAGTTTCAAAGGCTCCATTCCGTTCTCTCCAGCAATTGTTATCCGAAACATTCGTTCAGAGAAACACCGATAAATGGACACCAGGTGAACTCCAGGATGAACAGCGATAAGTGGAAAATATCAAAATAATCATACTGGATTGTCGAACTTGATTTCCATGGCAAGGACATCAGGTTTCCAGATAACAAATGGCTTAAAAAAGGAAACAGAACATTTCGTCTCCGGTTCCAAAGGAACCGAGTATGGGCGCTCACATCCAGAATATAATATAACGTGTTATAATTGTAGTTTACAGCGAGGAGACCACTTGATTTGAGAATGGTGTGTTTAGGATTTTCCGTGTTACATCTACATGAAGAAACCATAAACGCATCCATACAGGTGACTCCAAATCTGATTCTGCGAATAAAAAATACCGGAATTATAATCCTCTTCTAGTTAAATAGCATGTCGGTAGGATACTGATTTGCAATAAAAACGGTAAATTATCGTGTCCGTTTCCGAAAGGAACTCACAACGGTCGCTAACAGCCTGTGATCCCTAGCGGCAGATGCAGCAATGGAGTTTCTCTGCTCATGTGCCAGCGGTTGTGAGACATGCTAATACTCCTCCCTTTACCGGATGAGAAGGGAAACGATGGAGCGATAGTGGAGGTTTTTTATAAATGTGATAAAATGGAGCACAGTTGCTCAGCATGAATATACATGTAGAACAGAATGTGACACGTGATACCTAGTACTTAGGCAGTGCTACCATAGCCACCGCTGCATCGCAGATTAGTTCTTCGCGGGCTTGGGAAAAGCGCCCCAGCAGACCGCCTGGATGTGCGTCTGCCTCCTCTTCCAGATGGTCGGCAGCTTGATAGCCAGGAACGTGCTGGTGGCATAGACCTTTGCGTGGCTGAAGATGTCCTGGAAGTGAACCTTGCACACAGGAGAACCTTCGTAGGACTTCACAAATGGAATACGAATCTCCGTTCCCCATCGAACCAGCTTGACAGCGCCACGACCCAGGTTGAAGTTGGCATTGCCGCCCAGAGAGCGCTGTCGGCTGGGAGTTCCCACGAAGTAGCGACCATTGAAGTAAGAGTAGAGAAGACTCATGTAGAACGGGTTGAGTGCATGTAGAGATGGGTTGAAGAAGGCCAGGCTGATCGCAATACTGCGCAGTTCAGAGCTACCTGGTCTACCTGGCATGCCAGGTTCACCATCCTCTCCGTCCTCACCATCGGGTCCGGCGGGTCCCATTGACCCTTCGGGGCCTTGCGAACCGTCCTCGCCCTGCGGACCTGCAGGACCTTGTGGCCCCATATTACCTCTGGGTCCCTTAGGGCCCTGGGGCAGCTTGAGGCATACCTGATTAGAATACCCAGTGGCCCAGGCTAACTGAGCACTCACGGCCAAAAGCAGAGCAAGGAGCAAGAAACACTTCATGTTGTATTTTCAGATGTGATGAACAGAAACAATTCTGTCCTCAACTACTGGCTCTGATCCACGTTCTGGCAACCAGCTTGACCTTTATAGCAGCGGCTGTGGTGTAATCATCAACCCTGGATTAACACCGATGGTACAGGATTCTAGCGGCTGACCCAAGGAGCTGGGCTCTGGATGATTCATGGAGTGCTTCCTTCGCCATTACAGCCGATGCATGCATTTCATAATAATGGACTATGTTATAGTATAGATATTGTACCTGAGCACTGCCGTATGTCTGCGTGTGTTCTTCCACACTATACTAGCATGAGTACCACGAGTAGATTGAGCAGCATTTGTCGAGAGACGTACCTGGAATGGCTTGATTACCCGTCAGGAAAAAACGCACCAAATATAATATCGAAGAATGTGGTCTCCGCTGTCCGGGTTGTGATGGCGGTCGGCATAGTGCCGGCTGACTTACATGTACAATATAACCAACGACTGGTCCCCAATTTCCTATTGAGTATCGAGGCTTCTTGAATGGATTTGGGAAAGACTGGAGATAGCTGGTCTGAAATCGTGGCAGGAGATCAGAGCAATGTTACTGAGTCAACACCATTGGAGGTGTCATCCAGGCTTCCCGCATATCGACCCAACACAGTCTTATGTGCTCACACACACACACACACACCTACACACACACACACACACACACACACACACACATACACACACACACACACACACACACACACACACACACACACACACACCTACACACACACACACACACACACACACACACACACACACACACACACATGCACACACACACACACACACACACACACACACACACACACACACACACACACACACACACACACACACACACCTACACACACACACACACACACACACACTCACACACACACACACACACATGCACACACACACACACACACACACACACACACACACACACACACACACCTACACACACACACACACACACACACACACACACACACACACACACACACACACACACACACACACACACACACACACACACACACACACACACACACACACACACACACACACACACACACACACACACACACACACACACACACACACACACACACACACACACACACATACACACACACATACACACACACACACACACACACACATACACACACACATACACACACACACACACACACACACACACACACACACACACACACACACACACACACACACACACACACACACACACACACACACACACACACACACACACACACACACACACACACACACACACACACACACACACACACACACACACACACACACACACACACACACACACACACACACACACACACACACACACACACACACACACACACACACACACACACACACACACACACACACACACACACACACACACACACACACACACACACACACACACACACACACACACACATACACACACACATACACACACACACACACACACACACATACACACACACATACACACACACACACACACACACACACACACACACACACACACACACATGCACATGCCCGGTATTACGGTACGTACATGTAACTGCAGGCACTGCAGGCCAATTGTTAATTAGCTCTCAGTAATGATTGTGTGCCGCTACTGGTGCACACTTGAGTCTGGGAACCTTGGGTCTACCACTGGCACTGTATTGACATACCAGTACTGCCGTGGTGATACATGACATTGTATTTAGCTGGGTGATCGCAGCATGAAGTGTTCTGCACGTTTGCGATTATTGTGCGGGCGGTGAGCGCTACTACGAACAGTGCATGCAGTAAATGTACATGTCTGTACATTTAGGTTTGATATTTCCGGTTCAGGGCCTTTCTCAATTCGTATACAGTAACTAGTAATAGACAGTATGTTAGCAAAGGAATTGTAGTTCAAACCCGTACTTCGGATGAGTTTCGACATCTACAGAGCTCTACAACTGCAACAATAATTTAGGCATTTGCACACACTCAAAAAACCGTCCCAATGACTGTACACTCTCGGACACCCGCTATTGTGTGCAACCGGTGCTGGGTGACAGTGGGTCAGTGAGTGAGTGAGAGGGCCTCTTCAGACTCAACTTCGTCTAGCCATTTGTATCCACACTGCTCACACACACACCCTGGCCTTCCCTTCCTACCAGCTAGTATGGGTACACTAAAAAGGTGAAGCCTATTCAGACTACGGCCAAAATCACGTCTGAACTTGAATTTCCATGGTGATCCCGTCGTGTTTCAAAGTGATTATGCACAATCGCTGATCAAACACGCCTGAGTCGTAGAAACGTGGTCACAGTTGGCCGTAGTCTTAATCGCCCATTAGCCATTAGCCGTGGGCCCGTGGCCCGTGATCACGACACAGAATGATACAGACGTGGTGCTCAACATTCGATTGCGTCATGATTGTAACAGAAAGGGCGATTACGTCATGCATGCATCTGAGTAGGACACTGCCTGGAGAGCACAACTAATCTACCATCATGTATATTGCACATGTAAGTGATCAGAAATGTCCGGCAAAGGCGTCCAGTTCTTCTGCAAACACGCCGCCACAAATGCCGTTTTTGTCCAGTGGAATGTTTCTAACGGACAGCCATGTATGGAAATGCAATACGCAACAGCACGAGACTATGACCCACTTTGGTGATGGTTCTTGCTGCGTAGACTACAGGTCTTATGCGGTATTGCACTCATCACTCTGGCAAATGTATTATGTGCTCTCCGGAGGCTGGTAGGGGCATTACGTCTAAGCTGCGGCGTAGCAAAATCTTCACCGAGTAATGCCCGGTTGTAAGTGGCGGGATGAGCGGAACGCTGCGAGTGCAGATCGGTTAGGCGTTAATGCCTCTGCTAGCCAGAAACTCTGTAACATTCAGCCAGTGACTCTTATTAGTCTCTTCTAACTGTACAGGTGATGTGCTGTGATACTGATAGACAGCAAGCACACGTCCTCCTCTAAACCGTACACTCTGCCACAGGCTAAACCGTACGACCTGCCACAGGTTAAACCGTACACCCTGCCACAGGCTTGCCCATATCTTGAGTATTGTACAAAGTACATGCTTATGCACATTGTACATGTGTAGTATACATTGTACAGAGCTCAGACCTGTACAGCAAGTGTGCAAAGACCTGTACCATGTGTACTGTCAAGTATGGCAAAAGTATTCAATCGCTTTTCTGATGAGACACTCTTGAAGTTGCCAATGTGATACTGTGTAGAGGCCAGCCAGCCAACCTGGTGCCATCGGGCAACACAGAGCTTCGGACCGCCAGCCGGGTATCATTGGGCAATTCCAGAGCTTCCAGCCGCCAGCCCCATACTACACGTAGCATCTGGACGTGCTCCAGAGAGTCCTAGGTGCAGGCCGTAGGTAGAACTGTCTGTCGACTATAAAAGCAGAATACACGGCCAAGAGAAAGTCATCGAAAAGCTCAAGCAACATTCAGAGCAAATTAAAGCAAATTTGAAACTCGTTCAACTGACAAGATGGGTGTCATTCTCGTTAGCTTCTGCCTCCTTTTGGCACTCGGCCTAGTCTCGGCCACAGGTCTCGGATCAGGACAGGTCTGCTTCAAGCCTGTCCGCGGGCCGAAGGGTGACACTGGACCTGAAGGCCCGATGGGGCCTGCTGGTGTTGATGGGGACATGGGACCCACAGGCCCCGCAGGTCCGATGGGCCCTGCTGGTGAGGATGGTCAAGATGGGGAGGATGGTGAACCAGGTATGCCCGGTGCACCAGGCGCTATCACCTTCATCCCAATCAAGATCATCTTCTCCAACCCATCCCTGCATGGACCCAACTCGTACAGAATCAGCCTACTCAACTGTATCTTCGCCTACAGCAAGTTCGCGAGCTGTGCTGGTGGCAACAGCTCCGTCAGTGTCGGTGGTGTGGCCAACTTCGTCCCCAGCGGTGCAACCCTGATAAACCACGGACACACACTGCGCATTCCCTTCAAGACCAGCTACCTGGGTGCTCCAGTATGCACAGTGCAGCTCGGTCACGTGTTCTCGCACATCAAGCTGAACCCACAGGCCACCTACCTGGACCTTACTCTGCCCTACATCTGGCACAAGGTACGCACTGGTATTCAGATAACCTGCCATGGAGCAATGACCAATTACCGAGGCTAAACTATTCTGCGTTACAACAGCAGCAGCGGCGGCGGTTGAGCAGAAAGTGCACGTAGCTTCATACACACGCTGAGGTATAATGTTACTAACATTAAATGCAGTAGTTAGGAGATCGGATGTTCTCTTGGACTGTTTTTCTTGCGACCTCAATGTGTGCTCACCGTTCAGATGATGGCTTGCATCATTAATCATACCAGCTGAGTCGCATCTTAAATACGGATCTACAATGTACAGTTACATGTATTGGTATATCAAAGCGAAAACATCTTTTTTATCTTCAGATTATAGGCGCCTTTTCCAAAATTATACTCCATGCCAGCCCATACCAAAACAACCCATTATACATGTACGTGTAAATGTGAACACACGTACCTTTGAAATCTCATGTTTATCCTTTTATCTTTCACATCATACGAGTCCATTCTCTACGTAATTTATTGTATCTTTTGACTGGTTCCACCACATTAATTGACCATTTTCACAACTATTAGCGTATTCATGTGCGTTTGATTTCGGGGAGTGTAGAAGTCAGGGATATACATCTACAGTTAAACCTGTAACTAAAGACCACCGTGACTAGCGACCACCGTGACTAGCGACTAGCCTGGTGCTACAGACCACTTCGCCAGACACGGACGGTCTCACATTCATAATTATACATGTATGGTTGTGCGGTGCAAACCTCTAACTAAGGACCACCTGTCAGTAAAGACCGCTTTCTCTGGCCCCAAGGGGTGATCATTAGTCACAGGTTCTGCTGTACTTGTTAATGCATTGTGCTCGTAGGAGGAACATGCTTAAACAATAAGTATGCCTGGAGCATTAGTTGCGTGATGCATTGCGCTCGCAAGACCTCCTTTTTCTCCCAGTTGCCTAAACCGCTTTTTGTATTGCGCCAAAGATCTGGATCCTACTCCTGAAAGAAAAAAACTGCAAGAATACGCTGAATTCTTGTGATGGCCAAATTAAGGTTAATCTATACTACATTATCCTCTCCATTCGATCACCCTTCCGTGCCTGTTTTTTCTCCCCTCCTCATTCTCTTTCTGCGCTCTCCTCTTCCAAATCGTCTCCTTGTGAGAAGGCAACATTCATGATTGCTTGTTTGGTTGAACAAATATAAATACAAGCGCAACAACAGCAACCAATAATAAGTGTGATCATTTCCAAGTCCACCCATAGTTTGGGGGTGTCGGCCGTTGGGCGGTTCAATAGCCAATTGAGTCATCTTTCCAAGATTCCTTTTGGGTCTCTCTAACCTCCTGCAAGGGGAGACTCACGTGACCAGTTGTGGCAGTGAGCAAGTACAAGTACAGTACAAGTACAAGTGTGTTTGTGTGTGTGTGCGTCTGTGTATGTGCGTCTGTGTGTGTATGCATACATAATATATGCGTGCGTGTGTTCGTATAGGTGTGTGTGTGTGTGTGTGTTCGTATAGGTGTGTGTGTGTTTGTGTGTGTGTGTGTTTCTATGTGCGTGTTTGTGTCTTGCACTTGCAGTCAGTATAGTCCATGCAAAGAAACACTGGGGACTATTGTAAAATCCCATTATGGTTATTTCCTCTAAGCTGCACAGTAGCAGACCCACACCGAGCACAACAATACGCCTGCATCCCTATTCGCGGCGAGAGAATGATTGCCAGATTCTATTCATCTGTTGTACGACATTCAAGGCGTTACAGCCATAATCAGATATCCATGACATTTCCCAGCACAACTCTTGAGAAGTGCTATTTCCTCCTGCGCTTAACAGCGTGCAGACAAGCTACTAGCAGATCGAACCCAATACTAACTCGAGATAAATCAATGACGGCCACACAGTGGTACTGTACGTAAATGGGCTGTCATGATCAACAAACTCATGTCACCTAGCCAAACAGGCGGCAGTGTCTTCACAGCTGTCAGTGAAAAGACTGTGTTCGTTGCAGCGGCCAGTGAATAGGCCCTGGAAATTATCATGCCAACTACATGTCAACAAAAAAGGTGATCCCAAGACGTTTTGACAGTAACTCGGGAAGATGACATCATGCTGTTCGGACGGTTGTTTTGACAGTGTTAAATCATAGTCCTCAAAATACTACCGTCATTCTCGTTGCAGTTCACGTTGTACGATTGTAGCAGAGCGAAAGAGAGGCAGCACTCTTTCTCGTGTGTCCGTGTCTTATCAATTTGCTAGAAATGTGGCAGTAATGGACCGGTGGGAATGCAGATATTGCTCAGTGTGCATAAGGTGATAAAAAAATAGCCACGGAAAAAACACGTTATCACAAGTTATGCTTTATGGAATACAAGAGAGATTTGTTATAATTACCGTACATGTATTACATCGTGTCCAACAATGGAAAAAATGTGAAATACAGTGAAGCCTGTCTAAGACGACCGCTCAAGGGACCTGACAAAAGTGGTCTCTGTTACCAGGTGGTCTCCTTATCCGGGGTCATTTGACTGGAAATGACATCCCCTGGTCCTGGTTTCAGTGGTCTTCTAGGACAGGTGGTCGCCTTATCCAAGTGGTCGCCTTGACAGGTTTTACTGTAGTGACGAAAGAGAGCGTAGCGAAAAAAGTAGTGGAAGTACATTCTAGCACAAGATGCATAATATCTTCTTCGAAGTACTGTATATGCCTTGCTCGCTACTCTTCGTATTTTGAGCACTCTGGCGAGCAAAAATATAATTATTATTATTATGTCTGTGGTGCCACCTTTGTACCATGGCCGATAGTGACCACAGCTGTACTGATGGAGCCTAGATGGCCGAAACAGCTTGCTGCCCACAGCATTCGGTAAGAATAATAATTTTAAACACGCTCACAAAAGCTAGCTGGCCTTCAATACATTCTTAGCGCAGCTGCAAATACACTGCATACAGTATGATTTAGGCGTTTATTGATAGTGTAAAACTTATTAAACCTGCTGGACAGTTTTTGGGGTTTTTATTACGAGAAACCACGAACCTCGAGAACAGAATACTGCATGATAGAGGCGGCTCCAGACGCAACTGTGGTGGTGAAACTGGAGCATCTCCGCCGACCTGAGGTCTCGGCTTCAGCGACACTTCAGTGCACCAAAAATTGGGAATTGATATCATGTCACAAGGCAGTCGAGACACTGTGCGCAAAACAGTTCTCCTGATTAAAAACTGTGCATAGCCAGGTTGTATCAAAAAGTATTCTTTCTAGACCAAAGAGTGGTATATTTGATAACATTTAATAACGATAGAAATTTTTACGATACTTCTCCAGACGTTTCGTTGTTCTGAACAACATCGTCAGTGGAAGGTTGCCAGGTTGGCAGGTTGCCAGGTTGCCAGGTTGGCAGAGCCCCGGTATGCACGGTTCAGGTTGTCGCAAAACCGAGACTCTGCCAACTGGTTTAATTATGGCTATACCATACCTGTTTTCGACACAGTGCGTCCTCCACCTTGTCACATCTCATAATGATGTCATCCGCCCAACATGTACATTGCATGTACTGTACGTGCACGCAGACGGCATTGATGGACTGGGGAATAGACGGATGTGCGCCTCTACACTGACAGCTGTTTATCCTTTAGTAGAGGATTACCTCCGAACTTAACATTTCCTTGAACGACTCAAAGAGGCAGAGTTAGTATTGTTGTTGGTCTCGCTTTATGTATGTTCATTCGCGATTTACATGGGCAAGCATGCCCAATTATAGGAATGCGAATACCAGAGAAAGAGATAAGGAATAGAAGAAGAGTAATAACTTTACAGGGGGAAAGCGCACATTTCGAGGAAATCAGAATGGATACTAGTGGTCAAGTGTATAGGGTACGGCTGCCAGTCTAAACTTGGTTAGGCACTGGGCACCACAAATAGCTGCAGGCAGCAGTTCCATTCTGTTGCGGCAGCGAAGCCTAACGGGTTTGTGCCAAAATGAGTCATAGCGTGCGGCAGTTGAAGGCCATATTCAATCTGGAGGCGAGCTCTGTTTCCCATTGGGCGGGGCACTAGTGCACACAGTGGTGGACCTGCCTTTTCATGAGTAAACCTCCATACTGACGTCACCGCTTTCTGGCGGTGTATCTATTGTATGATTTATTCTATGCGCTGAATTTGGTATAAATATCGGCTGGCTGGAGTGAATATTTACAAACTTAGTATGCACCTCTCAGGATAACCTCATTGTCCTAAACTCACTCTTAACGGTAGTTGTGCAACGAAGACCGTTCTCAAAATCAGGGCGCTCCAGATAGTGACAACTATTTCAGGTGGAGACTAGCAGAAAGGTTGCCACCATGTCGCCTGTATCTGTTTTGTTCCCCGTCTTGCTGTTGATTGTAGCAACGTTGCAAGAGTGTCGCGGCCAACAAGGTAGGGATTGGCTTGCAATACGGTTTCTTGTCCCAAATTAATTGTCTTCATTCGTAATGAAATTTGATTTCTTGGTGATGTTCATCATTTAGGATGCTCGATCACTTGCGGTGATCCAACGTGGCGACTAAGACATGGTCACGTGGTGGTTACTAGCAACACAGCTGGGTCGGTGGCTACCATAGCCTGCAGAAATGGCTACGAATTTCGCGGCACCAGAAACGCTTTGTACTGCCTTACCAGCGGAGAGTGGACACGGCCAATGGGAGGATGCCGGAGTAAGGTGTAACAATTTTTCATCCACAATATCAAAATAGTTTTGCACTGAGACTGGGAGTTTAAAAAATACAATCATGTCCATTGATTAGTGACTCATCAACGCGGTGTTTTGAGGTGTGTGTAATTTGGAAGAACTGTTCTGCGTATTGAAGTGCTACAGAGATATTACAGAGACTACTCAATCATACCACTGACGTGTGCGAACAAACAAGAGAGCCGAACATTTAAATTTTAAAGTGTTAGATGGCTGTTTTGGCTCAGCCGAACTTCCCTTCGGTGCAGGGACACGTGAGGTTTATTCTCTTGTTCCAAGCGAAAACCTCACAAACTACATTACATTGCTTGGTACGAAGTATGAAACTCTTGATCTTGCATTTTTGCCACAAGAGGCTCAAGCTGTTTGGGAAAAAAAGAGATTTTATTGATCGTGGATTGTTGCCCAATACAGCATGTCCTGCAAGAAGACAATGTTCACTCCTCTCTTTATCTATTTGTTTCATGATGTGGCGTTCATTACTAGGGTCTCCGTTGACGGTAGCACCAACCGACACGGAGACCACTGCAGGGATTCGCACCACTGCACGGATTGCCGCCACTACGGAGGAAGCCGCAGTTACGACAGCTGCCACTACTGCAGAACCAGAGGTCCAGACAACTAGGGCAGCTAGGCCAGCTCGTACGTAATCATTACGTTATCATTACGTTATCAATATGTATTCATTACTGTCGCAACGTGAAACAACCTAGATTAAACCCGTTGACTAACGACCACCCCTTTGGGCCAGAGAAAGCGGTCTTTAGTGGCAAGTGGTCCTTAGTTAGAGGTTTGCACCGCACAACCATTATAATAAATGAGACCATCCATGCGCGGCGAAGTGGTCTGTAGCACCAGGCTGGTCGCTAATCACGGTGGTATTTAGGTTTTACTGTTCACTGTTTGGATGACATGTGCGCTGCAGTGCCGAGTATTCTTTGAAGCCTATAATAGAATAGTTAGGCTCAGCTTTGGTCGGTTTTTTTCTTATATAATTGAATATTTTGGCTTTCCACCGGCTTGGTGGAGTAGTGCGATTCCCGCCAGGATTACACGTCAGTAAAACCTATTTACCACCGTAGAATCACCGCATGGAAACTGTCTTAAAATGCACACCGCGATTAGACTATTAATTTACAGTATTACTATTAGAGGAGTGTAGTGGTTGCTTCTCATCAACAGCGGATTCAAGTCCTGTCATGGCAGCCGTTTCTGGTCGTGGTAACCTCCCTGCATACATGTACAGCCATGTCCATTGTGCCTTGTCTGTCCGTGTTGCCTTGTGTACTCAAACACTACATTGTGTCTTGTCTGTCTGTGCTACCCTGTGTACTCAATCACTACCTTGTGTCTTGTCTGTCCGTGTTGCCTTGTGTACTCAATCACTACATTGTGTCTTGCCTGTCTGTGTTGCCTTGTGTACTCAAACACTACATCGTGTCTTGCCTGTCCGTGTTGCCTTGTGTACTTCAGTACTCAAACACTACATCGTGTCTTGTCTGTCCGTGTTGCCTTGTGTACTCAAACACTACATCGTGTCTTGTCTGTCCGTGTTGTCTTGTGTGCTCAAACACTACATCGTGTCTTGTCTGTCCGTGTTGCCTTGTGTGCTCAAACACTACATTGCAGCTCCAGAAACTACCTCGCAGCGAATACGTTTAGTTGGTGGCTTGTCTCCGTACGCGGGAAGATTGGAGGTTTACCACAGTGGTGAATGGGGAACAGTATGTGACGATGGTTTCGGTTTAGCGGACGCTACAGTGGCATGTAGACAACTGGGGTAAGCTGCTTTTTGTTGTGTTCGGCTCGCAAGGCACGCAGGAGTCCATCGCGGGACAAGACAAGGAAATCAGTGATTTCATTTGCAACAAGCATGCATATAATGCAGATGAGAGAGACAGTACGGAGAGAAACAATACGGCGAAACACTATACACTGCCTCTCCCCTTCCGGGGAAGAAGGGGGGAGGGGAGAGCACTAAACGTTTTACATCGACTTATTTTTTTTGATGGACTCGGCAGATAGCCAGTTAGTTGTACTTCAGAAGTAGGGCGTCAGTACCGTCGGTCAGTGTCGTGCAATGTTATCGCATGAGCTGATTGTTTAGTACTAGTAACTGGTGGTGTTAGTGGACATTATACTTTATAGAGTAACTTGTAGTTTTTTGATCCTTTTTTTCCTTTCTATAAATTTATTGTTTAATAATAATAATAATAATGACAGTTCGCATTTCACTCATTGCATGAGGTCAACGCATCTGTTAACAATTTCGAGCCAAGCAGCTCTATCAGAAGCAGATTGCACAGCATCCAGAAGCGACAGATTAATGCATTGTAAGTCTTTCTTGACAACGTCGATCCATCTCAGACGTGGTCGTCCTCGGGGTCGTCGTATGTCTGTTGTGTTGATCGACATCAGGAGGGCTTGGAAAGAGGACGATTCTTCGCCTTCCCTCACTACATGGCCGAACCACAGCAGTCTCCGTTGCCTGCAGACTTGGGATAGTGGGGTCTGCTCGGTTCTGGCATACAGCGCTGTTGTTTACTTCGAAGTAAATTCAAAGTATTATGATTAGTCACCACCATTACACAAAGGTCGTTATAATTCCAAAAAATTCAAAGTATCTGACAGTGCTGCTAGGATGGGTTAGAAGGAGCTTGTCCAAATAGACTGGTTTCACATCAGTTTGTCACGTGACCAGATTTATTCAGAACGTGATCATGTCATGTGCACAGTGGAACCAACATGGCCGACCTTCTTTGCATGTCAGTCCGCTGTAGGGACCGGCGGATTCTGCTCGAAAAGGTGGCAGATTCTGCTCGAAAAGCAGTGAAATTGGCAGAACCATACAAACCTTATGGCGGGAAATTCCTCGAATTCTGCTCCATTTTTTTATGCACCTACCAAAGATGCAAGAAACTTACCAGAACAAGTACCGAATTCTGCCAATTTTTCTGCCAGCAGAATCCGCAGGACCCTAGTCGGCTGTAGATGAAAAATTAGTTATGTAGGAAGACACGTCATTCCGACCGAATGTCACAGGGAAATGATAAAATAATGTATTTCAACTACGTACCATTTTGGTATCTTCGTCCCCTCATTCCTGAACTCTAGGCACAGTCGAGCACATAGGTACAACTGGGGCGAAATGGCAGGGCGAGGTCGAATCTGGCTGGACAACCTACGCTGCTTTGGGCTCAGCTTCGAGAAGACACTGTTCGATTGCCGTGGTAACACACCTGGCATACACGACTGTTCACACTCGGAGGATGTCACCCTAGAATGTGGTAAGATCTAGTTGAACAGCCAACAATGAGCTTATGATATTCATCTGGCCTTGAACCTATCCATAAATATTACTATGATACCAGCCAACTTTCCCTTGTACTTTTCAGGGTCAATAATGTTACACATAGGGCTTGTTCTCTGTCCACCCAGTACTCATTTACAGAGCTTTCTTACAACACCACCATTTGAATTCAAGTCGGAAGGGAAAGTGCGAGCTCCCAAGTAGGGAGCAATACCCAATTCCGCAAGTATCGCCGCAGTCACCAACCTCTTCACCACCATTAACTTTTATAATGCAATTTGTCAAATCCTGCAGGATTGCGATTCATTCAGTCCAGGATGATTTTACGCCCGGTTGAAACACTCCGATCCAGTGTTTGCTGTATCGCTCTTTCTCATACTGGTTCTTTTTCAGTTCCTAGTCCTAGCAGCCTACGAAGTGAGATTCGTCTGGCACAGCGCTTTCCGGCCGGCCTGGGACACGTTGGCCGTCTCGAAATTATGCACAATGGGCAATGGGGAACAGTCTGCGACACAAACTTTGCTAGCCTCAATGCCAACGTCGCCTGCAAACAGCTGGGGTAAGAATCAAATTGCAGTAGTTAGGTAGCCATTTCTACCCACACGTGAACTCAATGTTTCAATAATCAGACACGCCCCAGAAAAATGTCATGAATATTTTCCGTGCTGTTTATGGTCATTCCAGTAAAAATATTGAATTCAGGTCAGGTATCCAATACACCACACCACCACATGGCGCTCTTGGCCGATCCAAACTCTGCACTCACATCACCATCACCACAGCGAGGACAATTCATTCCGGTGTATAAATTGATATTGACAATGACCCTCCAGACAGCTGTTTCGCTCCTCCTGAGCTCATCAGTGGAGGCATAATTATGATGTTGAATGAAAGAATAATAAGAATAGACTGATCTTTATAGGGCTAAATTGGCGCAATTGCGCTCATTCTGACAGGGTTCAGGTCAGGTACGCTTGAATTTGTTTTGAAGCGAATTAGCAATTATAGTCGTTAGCGTGCGCTATCTTCTATCAATGGAAAACTATAATAATTATGGAAAACTCAACTTTCAATCCGTTTTTTCTCAACAGTGCCTAACGCTATGCTAATATAGTGCTTAAAAGCCCCTTTTCTAAGTGTAACTAACAATATTTTTACTTAGCGGCTGAGCTTTTCTTGCCTCTCTGCTTAAAAGCGAATGATTTATTATAGTTGTAGTGTGGCGATGACAGCAGAATTTGTTCTCTTTATAGCTATTATAAGATTTATCATAGAATTGCGTTAAGGGATGGGTACCCACAATAAATAGAGGTACGATCAACATCTATATGATGTGCATGTATAGAGTATTGACCTTAGCGACGCTCTTTACCATTGTTAGGATAGGTACGCAAACATTAAAATTATGACATGTACATGTTACTACAGCCACATCTCCACCGGTAGTTAGCTCACGGGTACATTCTATCTAACACCATTCCGCATCCCCGGCCCTCTTAAGCCTCTCTTCTTCGAATAGCGGTGTTTCCCGATATCCTTCCCGCTCCATTAACGAGCCCTACAAGTAAGATTCCTTGCGCTACACAGTTTTAGAGGTCATTCCTGTTGCCCCACCAGTTGCTCGCCACTTAAGTCCATTCTTCCCCCTACGCTGTTTCTTGCACTGCTTTCTAATTGCCCTCTCTTCATACTTCCCTCTGCTCTACGTTCTCACCCTATAAAAGCTGCTGCATTCTAAGTTTCCGACAGATTAGTTTCCTACGGATAAGTTTGAGATAAGTTGCCTACCGATAAGTTTCCTGCATCTTAGTTTCATGCTAGGTTCTACTTACGTACCTGAAAACCCTCTTTCTCTATCGACTGAGTAAAACCCGGTGCTAACACCATGCTGCCCATAGCGATGCTCTATGCCGTATTAAACATAGAGTGCCAGACGTCTTTGCTTTTGTTCTCTCCTTAAAGGTATGCTAGAGGTTATACCACGAATTCAAGGGGTTCAAATGGCCGTGGACCAATATGGCTGGACAACGTGCGATGCCAAGGTCGCGAGTACAGTTTGAAACTCTGTCCCAGTAGCGGCCTGGGCCAGCACAGCTGTAGTCATTCGCAGGATATCTGGCTGCAATGCTGTGAGTATGATTTACTAGCATGTGTTTGTGTGTGCGTGTGTGCGTGTGTGTGCGTGCTGGTGTGTGTATGTGTGTGTGAGCACGCCCGCGCCTGTTTGTGTGTATGTGTGCGTGTGCGTGTACGCGTGTGCGTGGGTGAGGTCGCCCTTTCGCTGCGCGCAATGCCAGCTGCTGGTCTCCAAGATAGTGCACCTGTCATTGGTTCTTCCTTTTAAAAGGTACCCTTTACCCCAAGGACTTCCGTTTCTACACATTTTGCCAAAAATAATACCAAAGCAGATATGTTTAAGTCCAGTGGAGTCATAATTATGATGCCTCCGGTAATTCTAGGGTAGTTGAAATTTTGGTAGTTCTAGGGTTAAAATAAAGCTGCCTCTGCGGAAGGTGTGGGTCCTAGCATGTTCTATATAATTGATAGACCAGATGAGGAGTGATTGTAGACAGGGCCAAAGTGCACTGGATGCCTGTACTACAGCAAAGAGTGCGAGTCTCACCGACTTGGGGTGTTGATGACTGCGCTACAACAGTGCTGGAGAGCAGGAGCGTCAGATTTGGATGGATGTGCATGTGTCTGCACGTATTACTACAGCTTGAGGTTCTGATGCTGACCTCCTGTACTGCAGCAGAGCCAGTGTGTACAGACAGTGCTGGCAACTGAAATCCGACCCCTTCGCGATGCGTTCACATTCTAGGGGTCTCTTTTTTGTAGTTTTACTATCCCATGTTGGGTCTTTGCTATGTGATCGCACCACTCAGGGGTCGGATTTCAGTTGCCAGCATACTGCACATACATTGTATTTCAAGAATTTTACACTCATGGGGTCGCGCGTTAATTTTGAATCCATGTTCTTGTTTTTTCTTCTGCCTCCCGAAATTGCTCCAGCTTATGTCTAGGGCAAGCAAGGCTGCATCTGCTCAACTCGCGGAGGATGTCCACTCCACTGGGATTTAAACGGCAACTAATACTTTCCAAGCCAGTAGCCTCATCAGCCTGCTATTCTTCTTTCGGCAATGACACAATGACGCACATGGCATGCATGAAGGGCTTTGCATTCCTATACTCCGATTCTCTTCACTCGTTTGCTCTCGCGAAATTCCTGTTCCACGTTCTTTCACGTTCTTAGTCTTACAATGTATTTCCAGTACAGTTCAAACTCAATTGTTCATGCTCTCGCTGTTGTTACTTCATTTGGATTGAGCGCACTCTTTCTCCCTGCTTTCAGCGCGTTCTCATACGTTTATCATGACCACTGAACGGAAGTCATCAATGCCTATATCAGCAAAGCCCGGGTGTTGAGCGAATAGTATTCTAAGAAGGAAGAAAGGACCATAAGGATGGCAAACAAGGACCAATAAGCTATAGCTATACCTGGTGTAACGATCCGGTGTTTGAGTTTGCGAGAAAGGCAAAGAATATGTTGAGCACTGTCCCTGTGAATGACCACCACACCTTAGCTTAGTGACAGTGCAACACTTTGTATAGCGAAGGTCCTCGGGTTCACATCAAAATGGTGCTTTGGGGGTTTCCCCTTTCATTTATTCAACCCAATGAGTGTAAAAATAATGTAATGGGATCAAGTACCGTAAATTCGCGGATAAAACCCGGGTTTGAATACAAGCACATCACGGATAGAAGCCTGAAAATCAAACGGGTCAAAATGCATATACGTGTAAGCCTGTCGCGCGTAGGTACTACAGTGTAGTGAGTAACAATACGTTTCAGCTATGGCAGTCACAGAGAGACCAGCTAAATGGCAAAGAGCATGTTTCAGAGTACGCTAGCTAGTACGTGACAAAATAAGAACCTAGAGGGGAAAACACCTAGAGGGGAAAACACCTAGAGGGGAAAAACCTAGAGAAACGTCTCAGCGGCGTCAGGAACGAATCTGTGGTGTTGTATTGAAGTATACTAATTTCAACGGGATTAGTATAAATTTGGATACCTTATGGATCATGTAAAGAGAAAATGACCTACATGTATAAGCTACTAGGTATGACTAACAGTTCACCAAAAAATGTCACGGTTCGCGTGAGACTTGGTTTCTCTATGTAGAGGCCGAGTTTTCCGCATCCGCAGGAACGCCACCACCCTTCGAGGATCACGGCGCAGATGCAGCTCCTAAAGCAGTGGGAGGTGAGTAGATCAGCTCACCAGCATGTGGTCAAAGACCGAAAATCCCATTCACTGCATTCATGTTTTCCTCGTCCCAGGCCACAGTTCACCAAGGTAGCGAGATAATGGATTGATGTGGTTTGAAGTATGAATGTTCATGCTATGTTATTAGTCAAGGATTAAGATATTTTAGGCGCGTTCCATATGCTGTTCCTTAGAGATTTCATAAGATCAGAATCACGCGTGTTCCAAAGCGCTATTAAATAATTAGCTCCTTAGCAGCTCGTCTCCTCACTCTCAGCGCATTGCGACGCACTTTCCGCAATGAAATCTGCACACTGCCAGTAGTTGGTCCTCGGGGTCTGTGACCACTAGAGTGGAATAGACGTATCAACCCCATGTTCGTAGAGCTTTGTTTCAGTTTGCTTCCGTGTTGTTCCTGACGATCATCGACAAATTGACATGCCCAGATTGGGAGTACAACGCCAATATGAGTCCTCTCTGCAAAGCACAAAGCGGATACGCGAAAAGACACAGTCATAACGGGATTGGGCTGAAGCACATTTTAGGGGAAGGATTGTGGGTCCAAGCACTTCTTTTCAACATTGGGAGGCTCAGCTGGAGCTAATTTATCATTTCTTAAAATTATCAACGTCGCCATCATTACTACCACCACCACCTCCACCACCACTACCACCACCACCACCACCACCACCACCACCACCACCACCACAACAACAACAACAACAACAACAACAACAACAACAACAACAACAACAACAACAACAACAACAACAACAACAACAACAACAACAACAACAACAACAACAACAACAACAACAACAACAACAACAACAACAACAACAACAACAACAACAACAACAACAACAACAACAACAACAACAACAACAACAACAACAACAACAACAACAACAACAACAACAACAACAACAACAACAACAACAACAACAACAACAACAACAACAACAACAACAACAACAACAACAACAACAACAACAACAACAACAACAACAACAACAACAACAACAACAACAACAACAACAACAACAACAACAACAACAACAACAACAACAACAACAACAACAACAACAACAACAACAACAACAACAACAACAACAACAACAACAACAACAACAACAACAACAACAACAACAACAACTTATTGGCGATGGTGCCATCGCGAGAATAAATAAAACAACAACAACAACAAACACCACTACCACCACCACCATCACCACCACCAGCACAGCCACCACCATAGAGAAAGCAAGTAACTCACTTTACTTCGGCACAAATCATTCTGCTTACGATTATTAAAGTCTTATGAAGTATCCTATATGTACCATCGCACATGCATTGATCAGAACATGGCTGAGGTAGTACACTGTAGACTAACTAGTGACTGCTGGGATACGGTGGTCAGAGGCGATACTCTGGGAGCAAACCCTGACTGTGGAGCCATTCCATTTTCCTGAGAAAACAGTGATGGGTGTGTTGTGCTGCATACTGTCAGGATATCTTACCTTCATGGTGGACGATCATCTTGACGGAATGGTCTGCTGAAACGTCTTGCACTCACCAGTCAGAGCACACGCTGCTCTCAGCGCTGCAGCTTGCAACAAGTGCACCGTGTAACTCCAATGTTGCACTGGCGTTTGCACTTCAAAGTATAATAGAGAATATTGCTACACGGCAATACACATTGGAGTTGTGCACGTAGGTACAAACTCTAAGTTATCTCCTTGAGTAAGGCTTAGGTGTAGGCCGTGTACTACTAATCACTGTTTCTGGAAGATTGGAAAACAGGTAGGCACTTGAACATGAAGGGATAACAGAGAGCAAACTGAGTACAGTGACTGTACTTTGATACACAACTAATAGTATTTTGAAGTATCTTTTTAAACAGCTACACAGACAGCAGAGCGAGCAGTTGCTGTTTCCTAACTCTGTGTTTCACGAACTTAAAATAATCGATGATCAGACGGACATAGCATTGCCGCTCAACTCCAATTGACACAACTAGTGAACTAGCTCTATTTCTAATTCTACTGCCACTAATATACATGTACGTGTGCTAGTCGAGACTACTAGTAGTCGAGGTTAGGCTTTGCCGTCATTCTAACTGCATTGCATGCCTCGCATCACAAGAATCTCACCGCCACTCTTGGTCATGCTTCACAGAAACCCTGGGATGAGGCTTTTGCCATGCAGATAGCCGATAGGCGAGAACGCATCCTGACATGGAAATCAGCAGTTCAATCAATAAACTCTACTGAGTACTCCACTACCGTATTACCAGATCATGATTACTCCACTAATAGTCCCACTGCCTGTGCGCTCGTGCGCATTGAGCCTGCCAGTTGTGGCAGTACAGACATGACAAGACGTAGACGGCGTCAAGCACAGCAGATTGCAGGCAATGCACGAAAAGCGTACATGTACTGTAGCACAAAGTCGATGTGCATGAGACAACCTTATGACCTTCTGAGATCCGTGCACTACTAGTACTAGTACTCGATTCCAGCCCTGGCATGGCCATGCAAACGCAGCGCAGGCAGCCTGCGTGCCACTACTCGGCACTAGCTCTTTCAAAACAAAGCAAGCTGCCACGGCTGCTTCCAGATACGCCTGGCTGACTTCGCTGTGTGTCGTCTGTACCGTGTTCTGTCATGGACTCGAGTCATGGATGCATCCTCGACTGCACTACTGCCGCCACTACTCACCCGTGTCGACAATCGCCATCGCCTCTGAGCTGCAGTGCAGAGGCTATGTACACTAGTCGCGTGTAACTCGCGTTGTTCGTTGCCAGTTATTTGGTTGGTTCTGTTTGAGGTACAATTTATGTATGTCCGTATGTCTAAACAGATAACACTCTATCTGCGGACAGAAATGTTTCGTCCTTTGTGGACTTCTCAGGCAGCACAGAGAAAATGAGGCCGAACCTGATAGCAATGAAAAATAAATTTTCCAAAGCCAGATTTAAACCAGGCCCGAACGTACCATATTAAACTATAAAAGAAAGAGGCGAGATCCCGGGCTTAGACTTAAAGGTAACAGCCCTGCTAAGTGTTGCCACGCGGAGAGAAGAATAAGCAGTGCAAGGTGACGATGCTACGCGCCATAACTGGACATGCATGTACATGAACATTGTAGATAGATGCGCATGAGATGTTAGCCCTCAGAAATACAATAATGTAGCAGAATGAAATAATTATGGAAGACAGTTCAGAATTAAAAAATACTCCAACAGCACAGCACTGACGGTGGATAGGCACGCGAGAGACACCTGGGCAGGCTGGGGCGTTCACTCCACGTACGCACTCACCACTGCTGAGCGGCCCGCGTCACACGTACCCTGCTCTTGATAGGAATCTCCATGGTCCATGCGGTGTTGAAAAACACTCACGCATTTACAGCCATGCTAGCACACAATCGAGAGGCCCTTGTCCTTGTGCCAGTAGTAGTAGAAGTAGTAGATTAATTTTTATTATTTTTACTATCACAATCCGGTCTAGTCGCCGCATGGTCGTATTCTAACGATAACGGTTACCTGTTGCGAGTGGTCGTCGTCGTTGCTCTTGATCGTTCTCACTCCCCGGGTTGCTGCTTCAATGGCGCAATATACATGATGTACATGTACATTGTACATGTACATGTATGTACATTTACTTGATAACACGAGCGTAAGCAGCAACTAATTACTTACTGTACATGTATCCTCGTGTTAATTCCTATGCTGGTACACATACAATTTTGCTAAATGTGTAAGTGGCTGCGTTGGACTTTGCGGACAATTAGAAAATGTATATACACACCTGGCGATTAAAGGTGGTAAATATCGCCTGCCCGCACATCTCTATAAGGTGCAAAGTTACTCTAGGAGCACAGATCTCTCCTTTTCAACACCACCACCATCAGTTTGCTCATGCCGCTTAGTCGATGCATGGTTAGTAGTTTACGACATAGCAGGCTGATAGGGATACACCAGGTTGCGCATGGCGCATGACATACAATGTATGAAACAGCAACGACATACATTGTAGTTCGATTGCGACGTACGTTTCGTGTCCGCTGCACTCATCAGGCAATCTTCACAGATAAAATTGTCTTTAACCCTTTATGGACCAATTCAATCAGAGGGCAAATTCGGCATTCGATTGACTGCTGTAACTCAAGAGCTGTTATGATTTTGTTATGTACATGTACGTGTACGTACTGATCATCGTCACTCTCTAGAGAAAAGTCGAGCGAGCTGTACATCTGGATTCTGGTGGCGAGAGGTGTCCTCACACCGCAGTATGGCAACTACATGTACCCCTTGTCTCACCAACAAGCAGAAGTGTACAGTCCAGTCAAACTGGCCGAAGGTGCTCTAAAAAAAAGGCAGAATAGCACTTTTCCAGACACAGGCAGGTATCTACAATAACAATACTCAACTTGTATTGCACTGCTGCTCCATCTATTTGTATGCATATCTATTTGTATGCATGCACGGCGGCGGGCTTTGGCCGCCGCCGTGCATGCAGCCCGCGGGCTTTGCCCGCCGCCGTGCAGCAGGACCTTTGCCAGCACCCTCGTGACGTTGCAGATATGTGGCTTGATTATTGTAGTTGACGTTGATTTAGTGACTTTGGCAAGTTTGAGTCGTGTCAAGAAGTCAGGTAGGATTCAGTACTAGGCAGTAGTGGAACGTGAGTGGTAGTCTTTGCCGGTTTCTGAGGGTATCCTGGATTTGGTGTGCAGCGCTGTGGAAATATGTGGTTGAACTTGAACTGGGTTCTTAATCCACCATACCCAGTTCGCAAGGCTGGGCGGGGTTGTGAGCAGGCTTTCATTTCATCTTTTCTTATAATTTCTTATTAGGTGTGAAATGGTTTTGCTTCAACGACAAATTGACACCTAGAATTGGACGTTTGAGCATGTCGCTTTTTCACGAAAGATATTTGTAGTCACAAGTGTGATCGTTGCCTTGTCTCGTAAAGTCTCGTAAAGTCCACCAAAGCCAGGGATATCTTTGCTATTTTTATAACATTCGAGAGTTGCAATATACAGTAAAACCTGTCAAGGCGACCACTCAGATAAGGCGACCACCTGTCCTAGAAGACCACTGCAACCAGGACCAAGAGATTCAATTTCCAGTCAATTTCCCCTGGATAAGGCGACCACCTGGTGACAGAGACCACATGTTGAAGGTCCCTAGAGCGGTCGTATTAGACAGGTTATTTCACTGCATGTTTAGCAATGGCTGTAGAGTGTAGTTTTAGCAGCAAAGTCGTCAACTACATGTCATGTATTGTTTTTCGATTTTGACAGCATGTTACAAGGCGAGGACGCGTAGTGCTCCTGACTACAACCATAACCCGGTTGGCAGAGTCCCGGTCTTGCGACCATTTGAACCGTATTGGGAAAACCCAGGTTCGGACCCTCGTTACTCTGTAACATGCTGTCAAAATCGAAAAACATGTTAAACTACCAAACAAGGCTTCTGTATATACCATGTCATGTATTGTAGTTGAAGGAGATTCGGCAAAACCTCATGTTCATACCTGTTGGCGTCTTCATTGTGTTGCAGGGAACTACAGTAAAAACCTGTCAAGGCGACCACTCGGATAAGGCGACCACCTGTCCTAGAAGACCACTACAACCAGGACCAAGGTAACAGAGACCAGGTTTTGAAGGTCCCTCGAGCGGGCGTCTTAGACAGGTTTCACTGTATATCGGTTGCCCTACGCAGCTCTACGGCGATGTATAAAGAAAGATGGAGTTAGTGTGTGCGCGTGTATGTGTGGGGGTAGTAAGTTGTATACACGTACAAAATCGCCCCAAGCTGCATGTATGTGTGTGTGTGGTTGGGGAAGGGAATGTTCATTGTTTCCCAAACACCAAAACAGTCGGACGTAAATGTAGTCATTTGAGAATATACCATCCACCATACACAGGAAGCAACTCTGGTTAACGATCATTGACAGATGCATGACCCCCGTATGATATTTTTATGCGGGCAATATGCGAGCTGTTCATATTGTTATTATACACCGGATCATGGGGAGTGTTTTGTGCCCGAACGAGGACAACACATTTTTACAAGTCCTGCGGAGATACATTATGCAACTGGTGTGCCGTACGAGTCGTACAGCAGTTGTCGGAAAGGCAACAAGACTACATGTAGTTGGAATAGATTGGGACATGTTCAATGTGTTGGCACGTTGAACATGCCAGCATTGTGCACACCGTTCTAGACTCTCTGCTGCACCATCCACCATGCATTGTCAACACATCACCATACATTGTCAACACATCACCATAATAGTTGTTGTGAGGGTTTTGAAGAACCGCTATGGCATATACATGTACGTCCATAACTCAGGCATAAGGAAGAAAGACATACGCGAGATGGTACAGTACGCTGTTAGCGCAGGGGCACGAACAATACTAGTAGTACTGGCTATAACCAAATGATTGTCTTATCAAGAGCGACATTAGCACTGACGCAGAACTGGCGCTGCAGGAGGATAACGTCTTGATCCTCTTTGTGTTGAAGTTCGGACGAACGATCTGTTTACTCTGTCAATTGAACTGAAAACACGCAGGTATTGACCAAACCGACGATAAGACCACGCAAGATGGAAGAAGGACAAAAGTCAATTTCGTGGGGATTGATTTTCATCGCTATCAGGTTCAGGTTCTGGTGTCAAATCCGCCCGCATGAAGTCCTCATTATACCAGCCACAATTGTTATAAAGAAGGACTTGTTTCCTGCACCTGCCTGTTCCTGTGTGAGTTTCTTATGCGCTCAATGTATTTGAGTATACATGAACAATGTACAGGTATCTGCATCCACGTTGACACCATGCTGCGTGTGTCTGTCCGCAACTGGGTCTGGATTCATGCCCTTGTCTAGTTTCTACTTTGAAGTATCATTCTTGTATCTTTTGGCTACTTTGAAGAAGTCTTTGTCTAGCCGCGCGGCCATGACCTGCGCCTCTAACCCTGTTTGCGCAACTCAACAATGCCCCAAAGCGCACAGCTGAGCCATCACCCACGCATCCCGTCAGCAAATGACATGCACTGGATGTATGCTGGGTGGCTGGTGGTACTTGTAAGTGCACCAGGGGTGATCAGATTTGAACGATTTTGACATTTACCGGTATAATAACTATTCATAAACACGCCACCATCGGGTATTATTATGCCTACGTCGTTGCGATATAGTAACCATAGTTACATGTACATGTGTAATGCAGCTGTAAGTGCACATTTATATGGCAGTGGGATGGGCGGTAAATCAAAACGGGGGGGGCTTTCTCACGCCCCCACATTCCTGTTTCACCGTATACGCACCTGACCATACCACAGGGTGACAACTTAAGCATACATGTACATTATTATCATGTAGATGAAGATGGCGGCCTCTACCAACATGAGAGCCTTGATGATTGCCAAGGGCGAAGTGTAAAGTTTAGTTGCAGTACCGTCACCATCAGGGAGTCGTAAAATACCGACTCCCTGGGCACCATCATAAGTACTAATCTACTACCATGCTGTATCATGTTGTATGTGTAGAACTGCAAGGTTAGGTACATGTACAATGAAGTTGAAGACACCACTGCAGCTGTACTTATGGTTGATAAATATGGTGAGAGAGAGAGAGAGAGAGAGAGAGAGAGAGAGAGAGAGAGAGAGAGAGAGAGAGAGAGAGAGAGAGAGAGAGAGAGAGAGAGAGAGAGAGAGAGAGAGAGAGAGAGAGAGAGAGAGAGAGAGAGAGAGAGAGAGAGAGAGAGAGAGAGAGAGAGAGAGAGAGAGAGAGAGAGAGAGAGAGAGAGATAGAGAGAGAGAGAGAGAGAAAGAGAGAGAGAGAGAAAGAGAGAGAGAGAGAGAGAGAGAGAGAGAGAGAGAGAGAGAGAGAAAGAGAGAGAGAGAGAGAGAGAGAGAGAGAAAGTTACATTTATAAAGACAGGTAAGTCTAACAAATGAGGACTGAGACCTCTACAACAGGGATTTTACGCCTGAAAGCAGGTGCATGATTGACGGACTATCCCACATGACTATCCCACATGATGTACATGTACATTGTACATGTACATGTATGTACATTTACTTGATAACACGAGCGTAAGCAGCAACTAATTACTTACTGTACATGTATCCTCGTGTTAATTCCTATGCTGGTACACATACAATTTTGCTAAATGTGTAAGTGGCTGCGTTGGACTTTGCGGACAATTAGAAAATGTATATACACACCTGGCGATTAAAGGTGGTAAATATCGCCTGCCCGCACATCTCTATAAGGTGCAAAGTTACTCTAGGAGCACAGATCTCTCCTTTTCAACACCACCACCATCAGTTTGCTCATGCCGCTTAGTCGATGCATGGTTAGTAGTTTACGACATAGCAGGCTGATAGGGATACACCAGGTTGCGCATGGCGCATGACATACAATGTATGAAACAGCAACGACATACATTGTAGTTCGATTGCGACGTACGTTTCGTGTCCGCTGCACTCATCAGGCAATCTTCACAGATAAAATTGTCTTTAACCCTTTATGGACCAATTCAATCAGAGGGCAAATTCGGCATTCGATTGACTGCTGTAACTCAAGAGCTGTTATGATTTTGTTATGTACATGTACGTGTACGTACTGATCATCGTCACTCTCTAGAGAAAAGTCGAGCGAGCTGTACATCTGGATTCTGGTGGCGAGAGGTGTCCTCACACCGCAGTATGGCAACTACATGTACCCCTTGTCTCACCAACAAGCAGAAGTGTACAGTCCAGTCAAACTGGCCGAAGGTGCTCTAAAAAAAAGGCAGAATAGCACTTTTCCAGACACAGGCAGGTATCTACAATAACAATACTCAACTTGTATTGCACTGCTGCTCCATCTATTTGTATGCATATCTCTCTTTCAATTTTCCTACCAAGTAATAGAGATAGTGGCAAATACTCCACTAAGTTACAATGTACTTGTCCTGTAGCAGGTTGATGCCCACGTGACTGACCATGTACATGTACATGATTGTGCCAGCATCGATGTATTACAGGTATGACTCTGAGTAGGGGACTTGACACGTTGAAAAAGACAAGTAAAAAGATTTGACACGTTGACGTTTGAATGACTGGCATCAGCAATTCGGGTAGTTTCCAATCATGTTCAGAACCCGAGCAATCGGTGCTTTATCAAATGAAAATATTTTGTTTCCAATCAACCCTGTCAGTCTCTGTCTTCACAATGATTGTGTAGTTCCATACATACTGGTGCATGTAATAGTCTCTTCCATTCTGGCAGAATGGGTTGTGCCCGTGTATACATGTGCATGTACATGGACGTAGCTTTCATACTATGCATGTCGCTGGTAGAGTTGCGCGGCTTGGAGATCCCGCGCCGCAATCTGAAGTGGGATAGTCCGTCAGGCAAGGCTGGCGTCGGTAACAACAGACAGTTTTCAGCTCCTCGTCGTGATCATCATTTCAACAGTCCAGCAAGCAGCACACGCTCAATGTACGCATTCTCTGATGCTCCGGTCACTAGGAGCGCTAAGCCCACCATGCCGCCACAGAGTCCAAACGGAACGTATGCACTGAGTGGTAAGTCCTAAATGACCAGCGCAGATTATTCATCCAGTATGATTTTCCCAACTTAGTGCTCAAACATCGAACTATGAACACCGCCACCATCACTACGGCACAGGTGTGCATGCGCACGTTCTTTCCGCCATGAATTTGACGTAAATGGACTTGCGCGTCCATGTCCGCTGAGTTGAGACACAAACCATACTACTTGTTGGACTCAACACGACTGGTCACACAGCAAGGGGACGCGTTCCTAAACATAAGTAAAAAAACGGACAAACAATACAAACATGAACACGAACAGCAACAAACGCATAGGAGGGAAGCGCGAAATGGCAGCTAATCTCGGGAGACGTGGGCTTCCGACACCAGACTGTGGCATAACTCATTGGCAACAGCACGATTCCTAACACGAGAGCCACGCAAACAAGCATTGCAAGAGCCATACCACTTGGTTGTGCCGGTCAGCGAATGGCAAACAAAAATGAAAACGGATACATGGCATATACAGTATTACAGCTTGTTGGTAAAAACAAAACACACTGGACGTAATCGTGGTTGAATGAAACGGCATATCTGGCGAAAGTACGGCACACCGGCCCAAAAAGGCTCTCTATGCTACAACGTTAGGTTTATCTTGCCACGGGGTTATTAAACCACACATGACCATTTTCTCTCTCGTTCTCTCTCTCGTTCTCTCTCTCGTTCTCTCTCTCGCTCTCTCTCTCTCTCTCTCTCTCTCTCTCGCTCTCTCTCTCTCTCTCTCTCTCTCTCTCTCTCTCTCGCTCTCTTTCTCTCTCTCTCTCTCTCTCTCTCTCTCTCTCTCTCTCTCTCTCGCCCTGTCTCTCTCTCTATCTATCTCTCTCTTTCTCTCTCTCTCACTTTCTCTCTCTCTCTAAGTTTTGTTTCATCCACTGTCATTTCGTTACCGAAAGATCTTATTTAATTTAACACCTCTATCACTGTTTCGCATCATTACAGTGCGGCAATTCGGGGCCAAAGGTGACGCCAAAGCAGACGACACCGAAGCATTCCAGAAGACTCTGGACGAAGCTTACCGTTTAGGGAGCCTTGTAGGTGAGTCGAATGTACTCATTAGACACGTTAAGGTTCACGTTAATTCCAACGTGACCCGCAATTGCACGTCAAATTTGGCGTAAAACTCCAAATTTCGACATGAGCTGCAGGTCACTGGCGTTGTTTTTCGACGCGAGCCAAATAACTCGAGCTGAACTATCGCATCACGTCAGAAATACCGTGCATCTTAAAATCTCATAATTTGCTTATCAGAAGACGAACGTTTGCACAGTCCTGCAGAGATAAAGAGGAAGAGAAAAGTGTTGACCTCTGCTACACAAAACAAGACAGTAGAGACCAGGGTGTAGGACGACAACGGCCACCCGCGTGGATGAGGTGCATCGTCTAGCACGACGCCGATACCCCAGGTCGACTGAGGGCATCACAATCCCTTAGCTGCAACTGTGCGCTTTTTAGTCTTTGCCTTCGTAATCATACTGAACAATCTGCATGACTGTGTGTCTCTGTTATTGGGTTTCTGGTGTGCCCAGTTATCGTTCCACCAGGACAGTATATATTGCGTGGAAACCTGACAGTGCCCACCGGCTGCACGCTTCAAGGGACGTACTCGTAAGTGACATCGCGAAGAAAGTCATCAAGTAACAGTTGACGCCTCCTGTCGTTTCGCGAATCATCTCATGCATGATCGATGGTCGTTATTTGCAAGGTTCAATGTATTTGGAGTGTTTCATAAAAATGTTACTCCATCACCAGGTGATGAATAAGATGGGTGGGTTACTGGTACACCTGAGTCGCGATAATAACATCCTGAATATTTAGCGCCGTACCTGCTCCATGGTGACTGTGTTCTAATACCCTGTTCAAATACTTCGAAACATCTTTTAGGCATTACTTTAGAAGGTGAACCGAGGAAATGCGTTAGTGTAGGATAATGCTCTGTCATGATCCTTGCAGTATTATACAAATCACGGTTTAGACGTGCAGTGATAATGAATGCAATGCCAGGGCGCCTACATTCCCAAGGAGGGTGTTTTAGCTGCTCAGTAATTATGGTTTTAAGGTGGCAGACTACGCAAAAATTTGCTGAAAAATCGAATTTGTAAATTCATATTGAGTGCTACGTCAGTTGAAAGAGCATGAATAGCTGCAAATTCTCTGAAAATTGTGTCCCGATCTGACCGGCCGTTCAAGAGTTATGGCCGAAAATGTGCCCTTGCAAGGAAAGATTTCTTGTTGCACGCTGTCATTTGTTTGCAGCACTGTATTTGAATGTGAGCAGACCGTGCGCAACTTCTCGTATCATGGAAACACGTGAAAGTGTGCAGAATTCAAAGTCCAAAAAATCAGGTTTTTGAGCCACGTATTGGGCTGCATGGCGGCGGGCGAAGCCCGCCGCCGTGCAGCAGGACTTTTGCCAGCACCCTCGTGACGTTGCAGATATGTGGCTTGATTATTGTAGTTGACGTTGATTTAGTGACTTTGGCAAGTTTGAGTCGTGTCAAGAAGTCAGGTAGGATTCAGTACTAGGCAGTAGTGAAACGTGAGTGGTAGTCTTTGCCGGTTTCTGAGGGTATCCTGGATTTGGTGTGCAGCGCTGTGGAAATGGCTTGCTGTGGAGGTCCCAGCACTGGATGTTGTATCAAAGGTACGACCTCGTAGCACGTGCTAAACCTAAAAAAATTCTAAAATTGACTTGGGTCTGTGGGAGTGTGTGAGAGAACGCCCACTCGTTCCGTTGTGACAGATTCCAGGGCCTCGTTGAGGGGCCCTACCCCATCACCCATGGCTGCTTCTGGACTTGTTCTAGGTTTGGGTCCCGCGCACGAACAGAATGAGCACGAAAATGTGAAAAAATTGTAAATGCATTTGTTTGGCTCCTGGGTGGCTCGCACACCGTGGCACTATGCCGGAAATTTGAGTTTTTCCGGCCTGGAAAGCCTGTCAGTGAGGCGCAAGAACTTGTAAATCATGTCCTGAGGGCCAGCATAGAGGCAGGAGTGTGTGGTCAAAATTTCACTCAAATCCATTCAGAAACACCAAAGTTACGGTCAATTGAATGCCATATGAAATTTATGGGTATGCTGCCCCCTTAAGAGTACTCGCATATTTGTCACGCCCTATATGTACTTGTGCAATTTGATGCAGATACGTTCCATCACACATCATGCGAACAGATCTTCCCACGGAAAACCGGCCAACAGGTAAGCGCAATATAGGAAGGAAAAGGACCTACTTCATGTATGAAATACGCGTGTTACGCTCTAACAGAGAAGTTAAGATGCACGTTATTTCCGACGTGACGCGAAAGTTCAGCTCCCGTTATTTGGCTCGCGCGTCGAAAAACAATGCGAGTGAACTGAAGCTCATGTCGAAATTTGGAGTTTTACGCCAACTTTGACGTTAAATTTCGCGTCACGTCGGAAATAACGTGCATCTTAACCTCTCTATTGTCTAACACCACCTGCTACTTGACAATCTGATCATGTGATAACACTGGGCGGCATTGACCAATGGTAATGACGTTAACGGTTCTACAACTAACTGCCAGTGAGCTTTTGCACATCTCAGATGCACACTCCGACAGCCTTGGGGCTGTGATTACTACAATGATGTACTGATCCCAAATTTACGGCAAAAACGTAGAGCACTGTCAAAGTGTGAGCCTGGCGAAGAGAATGCGTGTTTGCAGGCATTAACCGCAGCAGTTGATTACTTCTTCTGGAAGAAACTACTGCAAAATCGTGTGCCTTCAGCCACGAATGTCCATTTTTCCGGTTTCCGCAGATGGATCAGTCCTACTTGCTTATGGCGGTCGCCATGTCGACAATGGTTGCCTGGTTACCCTCAACGAGTTGGCAACGATTCGTGGCTTCACTATCTACTATCCAGAACAAGTCGCGGACAAGACACCAGTTCCATATCCATGGTACTTCAAGTCTAAGTATTTTAAGTAATCTCAGACATTCTCAGTAAATCCTTCTGAAGAGATGGCAAAGAAAACGTTCAAGGAAGCCTAACCTGTGCGAATGGTGTGTGTATGGATTGAGCAGCTTGCTCTAGTTATTGCATTGATTAAATTTATGTCTCCACGAAAACTGTTTAGAGTAATCTCTCCTTACAAGGATCAATCTTTCATAGGAAGTTAGTGAAACGAATAAGGAGTTCACATGCACAAGTAGATAAACACACGAAGTAAAAACTGATTTTGTAGAATTTACTGGGAAGTGGGAACTCTTCAGTATGTCGACAACCACTCCAAAATGTCCTTACGAGACCCAGTATCACGACTCGTGCACATTTTGAGGATTTCTGGCTCCTGTTTCAGTCCAGGTGTATAAAGTAACTAGCTTCTTGTCGGCCGTAGGGAGCTTTTCTGTTACTGCCTGTTGATCCATGGAGTGTGGTGGCGTTTCAACGGATGCGGAAAACTCAGCCTCCAGGAAATCACACAAACCGTGATTTGCTTTTATAACTACACGTACAGTTAAACCTGTAACTAAAGACCACCGTGACTAGCGACCAACCTGGCACTACCGACCACTTTGCCACTCACGGATGGTCTCGCATTCATTTATGGTTGTGCTGTGGCACGAAACCTCTAACTAAGGAACACCTGCCATTAAAGACCGCTTTCTCTAGCCCCAAGGGGAGGTCGTTAGTCACAGGTGTTACCGTATGGTAACTATGGTAGTCCATCACGGTGTGTTTCTTGTCACTCAGGTCTGTTTGCTTGACTGGGATCAATACGGCCGTCACTGACCTGGAGTGTCTGAACTGTTGGAATGCCATCAAGGCTATCAAAGCACATCGTCACTACATAGCCCGGGTACAAGGTCAACCGATAAACACGGTGAGGCGTCTCTCCAGCCTGTATTGTATTAGATGACCAGGACTTAGCACAGAGCTCTCCAGCACACTGTATTTGCTGACCAGTATTTAGCATAGCGCTCATAAGCGAACTGTATTAGCTGACCCGGACTTAGCATGGTAGCATGGAGCTCTTTATTAGCTGACGAAGATTTAGCATAGCGCTCTTTAGCATACTGTAGTTGCTGACCAGGACTTAGTATAGAGCTACGTACGTTATCCTCGTTACAAGTATTTATTTATTTATTTATTTATTCATGTGATACCCCAAAGGTTGGAGCCTATCGTCTCGAGGAGGCTTCCACCGTGAAAGTAAAGTGCTAATTCGATAGAAGAAATGTCCTGAGTGGATAAGGACGATGATTTTATGCGAAATTTCACGCGAAGTATTTTTAGATTCTACGCTTCTTTTCCTCTACTGTTCTTTTACAGGGTGTGTTTGTGGACGAGATTCACGACATTGGTCGTATTGAAGATGTCCACTTCAATCCATGGTAATGGTGTGTGTGAGCGCTTGTGCGTATTTGTGTGTTTCCGTAATTTGTGAAGTGAAAGTAGGGTGCGGTTTGACATTTTTGTGCTCCGAGGATTAGCCTCGAGGTGCGTCTCTCTACAGAACTACCCCTCCCCATTATTGCTTAGAACTAATAGAAGAGACCAACAGTACCAATGGCGACAAACGAAGGCATGGACCTGGCTTTGGTTGGCTACGAGGAGCTCATCAAGATCGGCGAGCAAATGTCTGTGGATAAAGCCTCGAGCCTCTCCCGGCCGGATCTGGTGAGCGAGCTGAGGAAGCGTGGAGTGGGCGTGTTGGCGCAGAGTTCGCTACCCACATCGGAGCTCCAACTTGCAATTGTAAGCCTTACTGACTCAATTAGCTGCATGTCACTGGAAATTGTCTCCTTGAGACAGGATAGAGCCGACAAAATCCTGAGTCTGGAATTAGAAGTGCAACAACTCAGGCGGGAAGTTCAGGGGCTCCAACAACCGGAAATCTGTGTACACCCTCTCGTACAGGAAGCACAGCAAAATTTGGCAATGTCCGGCGGGAAGTTGTACAGCACCGCCGTAGGAGACTTGAATCCCCCACGTGCACGCACCCATATTTCCTCTGGTCCTATGCAGTACACACAGGGTAGTACGGGTTCTAGTACTCACCATATGACCCCCGCTCACACCACCTCCAGCCATTTGTCGCAGCCTGTTTTGTCAATGCATGGCACCAAGAGTAGATAAACAAGAGTGTGCAACTGCCTGCACAACCTCTATGCTGTGCTGCGACGGCAGAACTTCACATCACGTGACATGGTTCAAAAGGTTATGCTGGCAAACAGTGCAAAGTGACCACAAGAGAGTTGTACCCAAAGCCGGGCTGCGTACAACCCAGTATCTATCATGCACTAGAGTGCACGGGTTCATCACGTGATGTGAAGTTCTGCCGTCGCAGACCCCATAGCTGGAGTTGCACACTCTTGTTTATCTACTCTTGATGGCACCAGACCACACCCACCTGAGCAATCCAACCCAGGGTCGAGTGCTGCAGGTGCAGAGTGGTCGGAAGTCACACGCCGTAGGGTTACGTCACGCTACGTGAAACCTCAGCCCCGGGCAGCCGACCCACGTGTGCTAACAGGGCCTGAACGTACAAAGAAGCTTGTTCTGTACGTTGGAAATGTCAGTCCGGGTTGCAGGGCAGAGTCAATAACAGCGTGGTGCAAGGCCCGCCAAGTTGACGTACTGAACTGTTCGATTTCAGAAAACACGTACCTGGGTACTTGCCATGCTCGCGTAACCGTGGCAGCATCGGACGAGGACAAAGTTCTCGACTCCAAATTCTGGCCGGCCACCATCCAGCACACAGTGCGAAAGTGGCGCTTTGCTGATGCCCAAGGTAACAAGTCGTCTTCTACTTCGCGGCGAGGCAGTGATGATCAATCCTGAACTGTCATGCTAACAAACCAACATACACAACGATGCAGCAACAACGACTAAATCCCAACGCCCCTGTATTCACCCCACGATCGAAACTAGCTCACCGGCTCTACCCCGCTCAGCCCTCCTCTGGCCGACCCGCACACATTGCATGTCCAGCGCTAAATTCATCAGCGTTCCCTTTTTTCCCTAAATCCCAGCGTGATTTAACCCTAGTATCTCTGAATTGTCGCTCTGTTGTCAACAAGTTGTCTGAGCTCTGCGTTATTGCCGAATGTGCTAAGCCTGACATAATCTGCCTAACAGAGACGTGGCTCTGTCCCTCGAACCCGCTCTCACTGTCAGGCTATATCTGCATCCGCAGAGATCGACCTCCGGAAGACAATCGGTCAGCGCATTGTAGCCGTGGGTATGGGGGTGTTGCCGTACTTGTCCGTTCGGACTCCTTTCCGTACGTCTCCCCTCGTGCCGACCTTCAACGCCCTGGCTGCGAGTCTGTGTGGCTTGAACTTGGCTCCCCCTCTACTCAATCTCAGAATCCCATCTTACTATGCTGCATGTATCGACCACCCTCACAGAGCACAATGCAATTGTCGTACTTTTGTGACATGTTTGTTGAGGCATTACAGTCAGTCTGTCTAGATTCTTATGATCTGTTAGTGACTGGCGATTTCAACGCCCACAACTCAAGCTGGTGTCCCACCGATTCTACCTCGAAGGCTGGTGATCTCCTTAGCACAGTATTTTCTGCTCTTGGGCTCCACCAGATGGTTGACTTCCCCACTCATTCCTCGCCTAATGGCTCTGTTTCGTGTCTGGACTTGGTGATCACCAACCGACCACGCCTCGTGCGCTCAATTGATCAAGCACCTCCCTTGGGTATGTCTGACCATATACAGATTGTTTGCACTTTATGTTACGCCCCTATTTCGAACTACTTCCCCAACTCTTCCACTGGTCCTCCCTCTTCACTGTATCGCTTCAAACAAGTACCTTCGCACCTTTGGCAATTAATCAACGCTGATTTAGCTGGCTACAACTGGTCCTCTCTGAACTCGTACACTGATGTTAATGACGCACTTCATCACTTTGATGGTGAGCTCCAGTCCGCCTTCCGTCGTCACCTCACCTCATTCGGAGCCACCCACACTGTGACATCTCCACGACCCCGCATGCAATCTCCACCATGGGTTACTGCTGAGCTCAGGTCTGCTGTAAAACGCAAGCGTGATCTATACAGTGTGTACAAAAAATATCCGACAGCAGTAAATCATGCAGCTTATAACCGACAAAGGAATGCTGTAAAGCACCTGTCTCGGCAAGCACATCGTCAATATATACGCTCCATCCAAGCATCACTAACGTCACCGAATCGACCTACACTCTTTCAGTTTGTGCGAGCACAGCGGCACACTTCCGGCCGTGTCATGCCCCAAACGATGATAGCATCCGACGGTACGGTCGCCACGTCCCCCAAGAGCATAGCTGATGTTCTGAACACTCAGTTCACCTCATTTGGGCTACCTGATGATCCTTCGTGGCGCATTCCCCCTTTGTCCCAGTCGCCTTTCATATCTGTTCCGTTCCGTACAATCACTGTCACTACGTTTCAAGTTCGGAAATATCTGAAGCGCCTGAAATGTGGAAAGTCTCCCGGCTCAGATGGGATCCCGAATGAAGTGCTGCAGTCTCTTGCACCATCAATAGCCTATCCTCTCGCCATTATTTTTAATATGTCATTTCGAACTGGTACATTCCCACAGGATTGGAAATCCGCCATCGTGACACCGCTTTACAAGAATAAAGGCTCCCGTGCTTGCCCGGCAAACTACCGCCCCATCTCTCTGCTGCGCACAGTTTCCAAACTTTGTGAGCGTATTGTATTCGATTCCCTCTACCTGCACATCACTCCGGCTCTCTCACCAGCTCAGTCGGGATTCTGCCGTGGTGACTCAACTCAATACCAGGTGACTCGACTTGTCCAAGACATAGCGACAAAGAGGAACTGTGGGGAGCATGTGGGAATGGTGTTTTTCGACTTGGCTAAGGCATTCGACACCGTTTGGCATCGTGGCTTACTTGCCAAGTTGGAGGTCACCTTCCGGGTGGAGGATGCTGCCTTGCGTTGGATATCCTCGTATCTGTCTGCTCGTTCTCAGGCTGTTCGCTTGTCTTATTTCTTGTCTGATCCCCTCCCTGTAACGTCTGGAGTGCCCCAAGGTTCCATTCTGGGTCCTTTGTTATTCTTGCTTTACGTTAATGACCTACCTTCAGTTGTCCCCGATGTTAGTTTGTATGCGGATGACACTGGCCTTATCTGTTCTGATTCCTCCCCTGCACAATTACTCCTTACCATGCAGCATCGCATCAACAGCACTGTCATGTGGATGCAAACGTGGAAACTCCAGCCCAATTTAGACAAGACAGAAGCCATGTATATTTCTTCATCCCCTCCTGATCAACCATTATACTTCCCTGACTCGACTATGCCTATCCGTGTTGTTACTCAGCACAAACATCTAGGTGTGATGTTTGACTGCAAACTCTCTTGGGCTGCACATGTCAACTGTGTATGCAAGCGAACCAGTTCAGCATTAGGGGTACTATAACCACATTGCACTCATTTGCCCATCCAGTGTAAACTATTATTTTATCAGTGCTATATTCTCCCTATATTCGACTATTGCGATACCGCTTGGTGTGGCCTTTCTGACACAACTCTGAACCAATTAGAAGTCCACCATAGATTTATACTTAAAATTCTTTACAACAAGGATCGATGTTTTCCTTCGGATGCCCTTTATCGACTTGCACACACTTCTCCTCTCTCCGTTCGTCATAAGCACCATCTCTGTACACTGGTTCATAAAATATTTCTTCATAAAACCCCTTCACACATGATGAAGTACAATTGGTTTTCGACAAGCTCAACCCGTAACGCGCTCATCCTGCCTCTTGTTAAGTCAGCCCAGTATCTAAAGTCCCCTTTGTTTTCCGGCTACTCTCATTGGTTATCATTACCATACGGTCTGAAAACGTGTTCTTCTATTGGTCAGTTTAAAGATCTACTATCACAACTGAACTAGACGCAATAATTATCATCGAAGAACATTCTCGAATACCTGGGTGATGCACGAATTTTGATAGTGCTCACTTCCGTTAATCGTTTTTCTTTGTAATTTTCCATTCATTTTCTGCTCTAATTCATATTTGCTTTGTTTTCCTAGCTAACTATTGCCGTGGCTGGCTCAACGCCCTTGTCTCAGGGGATTCTGTCCCTGCATTAGCTATGCTTGTCACATGCTATGAGATTGTGTCTAATAATAATAATAATAATAATAATAATTGGGTGCGTGTGTGTGTTTGTCTGTGGTTATTTTCGTGAACGTCGTTGGGTGTGATTTTGAGGTATGTCTCTGTATGTGTGTGTGTGTGTGTGTGTGTGTGTGTGTGTCTGTGCGTGTCTGTGGTTATTCGTGTGAGCATGGTTGGGTGTGACTTTGTGGTGTGCGTATGTCTCTGCATGTGTGTGTGTGTGTGTGTGTGTCTTTGAGTCTGTGTGTGTGTGTGGGGGGGGGGGGGTCGCGAACGTGTGTGTTTCTGTAATTGTGTACGTGTGTTTGTCTGTGGTTGTTTGCTTGTACATACGTATTTGGGTGTGACTTTGTGGTATGTGTGTTTGTGTAGGTGTAGGTGTTGGTGACCTCGTCTGATCACGATATTAGAGAGGTTCCGCACTACGTAAAGTTGAGCAACTTTACGTTAGTGGGCGGGGAAAACCCGTGAAATCGCGAGTTTGCACTCTACTTACCGAAAGTTGTCTACGTAGAGTACGTAGATAGGGCTCTGATAACGTAGCTGGTCCGTAAGTGGATTGGGGTACAAATTTATGACTCTCTCCCCAGGTCGATCTGGTCGTACACTGCCGCGTTCGGAGTTGCCAAAGGCAGCTACGTGATTTGAAAACTCCGTATGGCGGAACACAGATGCGCATGCAGTTTACGTAGGACTTTCCGTAGATCGACTACGTTTTTTACTAACGTAATTACGTTATGCGGAACCTCTCTATTGTCTACTCTTTACTTTGAAGTACTTTTAAAGAAGTACATGTATGTGCAAGTAGCCATGTTCACCTGAAATCCCCCTAAACCTGCATATTCTGAATCGTTCTACAGAGACACAATATTCTGTTCGTTCAGCTTGCTCAAGTTTGTTTGTTGACCATCTGAAAGAGTAGAATGTGTGTGACCGTTTAGGTGTCTGTGACTATTTCAACTGCATAATGTGGACTATTTTGTGTTGCTCTCTACTTGGGAGCTTGCGTTGTTCCTGCCGACTTGAATTCTCACTTGACTGACTCACGACTGCCATCCAGAGCACCCGAGAAGTTCATCGAACCTTCCACTCGGAAAACCTGCAAGAAAGCACCACTCCCTGCTCAATACACAGTGTTCTGTGGAATTCACCCCTCATCAGTTGAGCTTGAGTAGGCTGAGGAAGATTGTGCCTGAAAAGCACCACTTGTCATTATAGTGATCTCCAGACACAAACATCACCAGGGATACAAACTCATACTGATAGAGACGCTACGTTTCCAGCGTGACAAACTCCTCGTGAACACCAGATAGCAGCGTGAGTCAGTGTCGCTCATGTACGTGCTGAACAAAACGCTGAGATACGTTGGACTGCCTTGATAAGTGAATCCGGTATGCTTGGTATTTCGTTCACATCCTGGTTTGTGGTGACTATCTGAAAGCGTATAATGTGTGTGTGTAGAATGTTTGTGACCGTTTGGGTAACTGTGACTGTTTCGACTGCATATTTCGGATTGTTTTGACATGTGACTCAAGTATGCTTTGTCTTTCCACTCATATCCAGGTTTAGCGACAATCGCAACTTTACCAATTGGCAAATGGTCCACGGACAAGCGTTCGTCTTCGGATGCACAGACTGGCAGTACGTTTTCAACACGTTCGCGTTCGCGTACGCAGTGGGCTATAGGTTTGTCGAGACGGAGGCTGGTGCGTGTAACGGAAACTTTCTGGGCATAGGTTAGTATATGTACGTGCTCTGCACAAACATGCGCAGAGTAGCCTCGTTCTACCAAAGCTGCCGTAACATAATGTCTGATTCAAATGCATCGTAAGAGAGAAAGGCAAGCCCTAATGCTTTTGGAAATCTCATTGTGTTAGCATTTCAGATTTTTAGCTGATGATGTGCCCTCCCAAATCTATGCAGCGATATTTGCGCTTACCCAACTTTGTCCTGAATAATCTCTAGACTAGTCACGAGATTCAATTAATGTTTTATTATTATAAGCAGCAGTGGCATAGTAGGTCCTCACGTCATGTCTGTGCCAAGGAATTCATGTCTGACAGCAGTCAAAGACCTGACTTTCCTAGGCCGGTTGGCCCGAACATGCACATGCTGCACGAAGGTAGAATGATGTTGTGCTGTCCATCTGCCCCCTGGTGTACCGCCTGAGATAAGCACCTGAAGCGTGTAATGCCAGCAATGATTCGACCACCCTTTCCCACCAATTTGTATGAAGGCGTGTTTACGGATTTGCAGGGCAGCGAATCTTTCTTAAAAATAACTATTGTAAAGATGCAGTGCAAAACGTATCCTACAATGTAGTCCTGTTGCATGGCGATCAGTGTAGCCGTTATAACGCTAGTTTGTGCTGTGTCTTCATCTACATGTATATTATCTGCTTCCTATGCGGCAATCCTCCTTCTTCGGAGCTCAGGCGCTGATCAGACAGTAAGTAGATATCGCGCTGAGCATGTTCACAAATTGTCTTCATTATGCCATCAACAGCGACTTTGGCGGCACTTATGACGAAGTTCGTTGATCCTATCTGGACCTCACGCAACCTGTAAAAATAAGGTGCAATTCAGAATTGGTGCCCTTCATGTTACCATGCGCTCTCCAAGACTTTTCCAACTCGTATAATTTTTTGATTGTGGACTTGGTAGAGGTTGTTGTTGTAGAAGTTTATTTGCCGTAGCACCACAAACAGGCGGTTTCGCCTCCTTTGATATATGTGGAGTTGGTAGAGGTCAAAGGATAACAGTGCTATTAGAGTTCCTATAGACGTTGGGTTAACAGAATGCTACTAGGCGGAGGATGCACCGTCTTGAAAACAGTATTCTACCGCGGGATGGGGAAATGTATAACGATGGATGCAGCTAATGGGATTTCGGTCTTTGGCCACTTGGTGGAGGGTCTGATCTACTCAGCTCCCACCGTTTAGGCGCTGCATCTGCGCATTGATCCTAGAGGGTGATGGCGTTCCCACGGCGGATGCGGAAAACTCGGCTTCCAGCCGAGTCTCACGCGAACCGTGACATTTATTTATATTTTATTATAACCATGAGGTGTCTCTGACTAGGCAGCCAATCAGGCATGTGTGGTTTGCCTACATGAGAAGCATTCTTCCAGCCTATAGCACCTTCACAGTTCCGGTCCGATTTTCCAAGAAGTTTGGGCAACGGTCACCTTCTGCATGCTGTGTTCTTGCAACTGTAGGCTAACGCGTCCATCATGGTTGATAACGTGAAGAGACATGGACTGAGGATCACCAATGGCGAGTTCACGGCATTTCGCAAGTCTCTGTTTGGAAAGGAGGTGAGCACTTGGACCAATATTTACAAATATGTTATGGCTCCATGTTATGTTATGGCCTGGCACGAGGGAAGCATGGATGTAGCGAATGGAATTTTCGGTCTTTGATCACTTTTTTGTGGGTCCGATCTACTCACCTCCCACCGCTTTAGGAGCAGCATCTGCTTGATCCACAAACGATAGTGGCGTCCCTACGGATGCGGAAAACTCGGGCCCCAGCCGAGTCTAACGTGAACCGTGAATTTGTTTTTGAGTGCGAAGATACGATAGTTCAGGTACAGCTATCCAACACATGTATTCTCTACTTGTAGTGCAATGCTGTAGGAGGTGAGTTGCACAGAATATTGATTGAACAGGTCACACGGAAACATTGATTGCCAATTGTGAACTGGTGTTTCTGTAGATTGCCAATCCCACGCAGGTTTGGATAAAAGCATCGAACACAGGAGACGTGCGAATAAGCAACTCTGCGTTCTGGGGACCATCCAACCAAATTGCAATGGTGCGTGAGTACATAAAAGTCTTTATTAATGTTTGACTTCATTCTCAACGTTGGCGATAGGTACAGTGTACATGAACATGATCTCACAACTCAGAATGCCGCGAAATGAACCGATGTACATGAACCACGATTTGCTCAAACGCGTAAGAATCAAAATGTAAAGATAGTTGTTAGCGCAGTGGAACTGCAGGAATATGTAAATCTGTATCATTGATTGGGTTGCGTATGTGTGTGTGTGTGTTGGAGGAGGTCGTATTCGTGCATGCGTACATGTACATGACGTATGTGCATGTAACGATATCTAACATGATCGAAAAAACTATACCTGTGTGTGTGTCACGGTGTATGCGTATGTGCATGATACATGTGTGTGCGTATGGGTATGCCTGTATGTGCGTGGGTACGGTGTTCACTCATTGGAGTGTGTGTCACGGTGTGTGTATGTGTGTGTGTGTGTGCGTACCCGTGATGTTATGTGTGTATGTGTGCTCGCGGGTGTGCGTGTGCGTGTGCGTGTACATGTGAATTCTACATCTCCTAGATTGGTGGTAATGGGACCATAGGTTTCACTGGCTGCACATTCGTGGAGTGGGACGCTGATACAATGGTGAGTCCTTTTCTAAACGACTGTGTCCGCAATACAGGTCGTCGAATGTCTCAATATCCTTGTCAGTTTTGAGACTCGTCGTCGAACTATCTGACTGTATATTTTCTCGTTTTCTTGGTGGACTGTTAGTCATACATGTAGATCTACATGTAACTAGAAACTTATAGATCCTTTTCTCTTTACATTACTAATGGCTCAACATCCGAGTTTTTACTGTGTCCGCAATAGAGTTCAAGATTTGAGAAACCTACTAGACCACAACACTGTATCACAAAGTGGCAGGAATTTTCTCACACCCAAGCTTTAATGTTTGCGCTAAACAATAGTCTATGATAAACAGTGGACCGTTAAGCCTTCGTGTATGTATGCGTGTAGTTGAGTGCCTTTGCGTGATTTGCACATGGGCGCACTCCTTTTCATCTCCTTGTCCATGTGTACATTCTGCAGGACAATGCAGCGATCTACGTAATAGGAGCAGCTGGAAAGTGAGTTCAACACTTGTATTTTTGAGCTCCGAGTATACAGGTTGTGTGTCCGTGTGCGCGCGTGCGTCCGTGTCTTCGTGTGCTTGTTTATCGTTCTGGGTGCTTGGGTGTGTGTGTTTGTGTGTGTGTGTGTGTGCGCGCGCGTGTGTGTGTTTGTGCGTGCGTGCGTGTGTGTGTTTGTGTGTGTGTGCGTGTGTGTGTGCGTGTGTGTGCGTGTATGTGTGTGCGTGTGTTGACAAATCCATTCCCCTGTTGTTCTGATTCGTGGACTGCGCCTGCATACACTCATATACATGTACATGTGTGTGCTACACGCATGTATATTGTGGGGCCAATTGAAATCCGAAATGTTCATCAGGCGAAGGTCTCTGGTTCGAGTCTTGGTGGGGACACTCAGTCGTTTCTTCAGTCCTTTCCCTTTTCAAGTTCCTCACGTGAAGAATACAATGTTCCTTTCCCTTTGCAAGTTCCTCACGTGATGGATACAATGTTCCTCGAAGTTCATATTGTAAGGGTCACTACAGATCTGGATATGGTTGGAATAGGACCTTGGAGTATTGATCCCACGGTCTAACTATTTGCAGAACGAAATTCCTGTACTTGCTACTCCAAAGAGAACATTTCAGTAAGGCTGTGGCATATGGATAGTCGACCAACTGATGTGATGACCACCCTGTGTTTATCGTGTTGCAGTCTTATCGTCGAAGGCTGTGACTTTGCGAAGACGAAAACGCCAGTTAGCCACTTCACACTAGATGATACTCTGGCTCGAGCTATCATAATTGGAAACACCTTCGCGGTACGTTGTAGAACCTCGGTGCTTTGTGTCCAAGCTGCAGAGCTCATAGTCATCCAGCAGATGTTAGAATTGTTAGTAACTCGTGTGTTGGTTGGAGTCATTATCTCCCCCCCCCCCCATTCGATACCTTGTGTATAGATGCAGACCATACCGCATTGATATCTGTTCAAAATACATACTATTGTCAAGTGGGAATTCAAGTCGGCAGGAATAGCGCAAGCTTCCACGTGGGAAGCAACACACAATTCCCAAAATGCACATCATAATTATGCTGTAAATACCCAATGCTGTAGAGCGCAATCTGTTTAGGCCATAAAAGACTCATCAGCATAGCCAAGAGCTTTTTAAGTAGGCAGAGCAACCAGCCATGGTGCAAAGCAGACACCACAGATATTAAGCTTCTGTACAATACATTGATCAACTTTGGAAGTACAAACATACCCGGTACATACCCGGTACATACCCGGTACATGAGTGGTGCAAAATGCTAGCTCGTTTGCCTTGTATTAATGGTGTGTGATCCCTTGATCTGGGCAACGATAAAAACAATATTCCTTGTCTTCATTGACATCACATCGATGTGTTTGTCTTTGTGCACAGACGCCACTACGGATATTTGGACATGCGCACAACACCCAAGTCGGACTCAACGCCGACAATTCCAGTCATTCGACTACTGACAATAACGATAATACCGTATATTTGTGAGCCTTCCTGGGTAGGCTGCTTCCTTACATGTAGTGATTGGTGACGAAGAATAATCCATCCTGGTAGCAGGGCAGATATTCCGGCTGGTAGTCGACGTTCTAGACATGAATTTCAAACACACGTTGACGAGGAGAGTCTAGGTCTGGGTTCAGAACTTTGCAGTGCTATTAAACTATGAGCCATTGAAGCTTTTCGTTCGCTTTTCAGTAGTAATGTTATATCTACACGATGGGTGCTTTTAGTCACCCGGCCGTACAAATGAAACATTACGACTGTTTTCGAATTTCGTGTTGGATTGATCAAAGAGCATCATACTGCTATATTGAGAACTTGTCCAAAAATACCAATGTGATGTCACGCTCTAGGTATAGAATGCACGTAGACCGACGTCGAGGTCAATATCCTATTTATCACGATTCCTTTTCCATAATCCCTTAATTTGATCCTTCAGGAGCTATTTTAGCCTTTTTTAGTATAGCATTTGTACAAAGGATGTTGCCTTTTTGGGTACAAGACTGTAAGAACAACAGAGTTCAGCATCTGCAGCACAGTGGCTGGGTAGGGGTGGTACAAGGGGTTCAAACTGTTGCGGGTTCGAATCCTGCTTGTTCTCTTCCTTTGTCTTCTTTCCTTCACATTTTCTTTTCCAAGTGGAGAAAAATGTCTAAGTCCCTCCAAAGTCGAAAGATTACAATGCCTAAGTGATCGATATAAACAGTCGATACAAGCGGTCGATATTACAGCGATATGGGTAATATAGGACCAGTCAGGGATCGCAAGAATTAGTGGAGAGCAGGGAGCACCTACACATACACGTTTCGATGTACGCTTACATCGATCTGCGTGTAGTTGCCTAGGACTTATTAGGGACCGGCGGATTCTGCTCGAAAAGGTGGCAGATTCTGCTCGAAAAGCAGTGAAATTGGCAGAACCATACAAACCTTATGGCGGGCAATTCCTCGAATTCTGCTCCATTTCTTTATCCACATACCAAACATGCATGAAACTTACCAGAAAAGGTAACGAATTCTGCCAATTTTTCTGCCGGCAGAATCCGCCGGACCCTAGAACTTATTGCCTGGGGTGTTTTTCTAGGAACGCTATGCTTCCACGCCTGTAGAGGATAATGACTGTATTCGCTTCCAGTGCATGATCATAATTATAGGAAAATTATAGGAAAATACTCCAGTACATACCCTTGGTCACGTGCTATTGACAAGATGAAAGCATGTAACAGTTAGTGGGTTCACTGCATATGCAAGCCGTCCAGTCCACTGTTGGCTAGAAATTCAGTCAGAGTGAGTTTTGCCACCACTCACACTCATGCAAGTTCTTCGTCTTTTATTTAGAGTCTCGCCATACTTACATATATCGTTAGATGAGAAGGCAGAACTGCCCGTGTATCTGGTGCAGCAATACCAGACAAACAAACAAAATACCAAAATATAATAAGTGTCAAAGCGAAGAGATGCAAAAGAAGCATATTGCATACATAATTACACAAAGGCACACAATGAAAACCTTGGGCAAATTCCGTTGTGACTCAGAGTTTCATGGCTGAACCAATCATGAAACAATCATCGTTCTCTGATGATTGGTTCAGCCATGAAACTCTGAGTCACAGCGTAAAGTGCCCAAGGTTTTCATTGTGTGCCTTTGTGTACGCCACTCTGCCTGAATAAGGTATTGAGCACTTTCGCATAACCTAAGCCTACTGCCCCTATGCATACATGACATTATTATAATATTATTGCGAAGGTTAGGAACACTGGAGACTGTACCATGTACATGTCCTTCTAAAGCTTTGGGTCAGGAACAGACTACTAGATCAAACCCAAGGACATCAGCAATATCTTTATAATGGCCCATACGTACAATGTAGAGCTTCACAACGCCTGGATTTACGCGACGGTCGCCTTCAATTATGTCCAGATCCCCTAAACAACTGCCCGAACTGGTGTCATCCACCAAGGTCACGTGAAGAACGCACAGCCATAATGTCCACAAGCCTAGCCTGGGATGACAGCTATCTGATCAGTGAACATCTGAACACATATCAATACTGAGAGCCGAGGTGCAACTGCGCTACTCTGGGAACATCAGTGAACACTAATTTGACTAATGAATGAATGAAAACGGTTGTCGCACTGCGATCCTGCCGATCGATAGCAACGAAATGCAACATTTTGCTTCCACGCGTTCTCTTGATCGACCGTATACTCATGTTGGCGACCATGTACGCACTAGTTCTCTGTTTTATCTACCTGCCATTGGGCATTATCGCTGTGGTGATCCCTCGTGACGTGAACAATTGGGATTTGGTTTCGCAGGAGTCGAATGGTGACATTCCCAATCATTTCCAATTCCCGCGGACACGGAGAGTCAACACAGTTCCTGGAGATCACGCCTCTTTCCTGCAACATTCAGGAGCCAAGTGGAACAGTGGCAGAGTTTTGCCATCTCCACCACAAACCCCGAATGGAACGTACGCTCTCAACGGTGAGTTATTTAGGCAGTTTTTGTTCAAGCTACCATTGAACAAATTGCATACGTAAAAGGTCGTGCATTGCATTCTTCGATCCACTCGAGCAGATGAAAAAACACTCACCGATTTTTTGAAATCAAGGAAATGGACATCGACAATTAAAGTTGGAAAATGATATCGGACACATTATTGATGGCTAGACAAGTGGCTTGCCCAAGTTTAGATAAGCGTGATCTTGAGCATCATCGTGGTCGTAAGCCATGCGCATCCTTCGAATCCCAACTAATAGCCGATCGTGATTGTATTTGTAATTTCTCCTCCTTTCTCCTCCATTTTTTCTTCTCTCTCTCTCTGACCGTAGGAGGTTGTCATTCATAAATAACTCGACTTTTCAGCCATAGAAAAACTCCATGCAAAGGGCTGTGCTTAGTCATGCCTGTAGTCCCATCATTTTATGTTTGAATGACTGCAGTTGTAAGAAAAATTTTCAAACTGTTGATCCCGTAGAATCTACTTGTACTATTATAACAGCCGTCAGAGCATGTAATGTGATGCCATTAGCGAGTTTAATCATTCTCCCCAATTCTTGTTGTTTCACCATCAATCCAGTGCGGCGGTTTGGTGCGAAAGGGGATGGAAAAGGTGATGACACCGCTGCCTTTCAGAAAGCTCTTGACCAGTCCTACAAGCTGGGTAGTCTCTTTGGTGAGTTTTCTTAAGTATGCTGCCTTTGAAGATTCAACAGTTAGAGGCAGAGCCCACACGCTCTCTTCCATTATCATTGCAATAATTCAACTCATTTCACAATATGGTTAATGGAAGAGAGCGTGTGGGCTCTACTCTTAACTGCTTAAGAAGGGGCAGGAAGCCTCCCCACCTTTACTTTGAAGATACAAGTAATTGAATGTTTACCATGTGACGTTCATCCACCGTAGAGAATATTTATAGTGGTGCTGTCATGGCCAGGAATTAACAGAACAGAATCCAGAAGTTTAGACGAGTTTAATGACTGTCCGTCTTACACAATCTAGTCTAGAAATCAAGTGTAGTTGTTCACTCGTTACTACTGTCTACTCAAGGCTCTTCTTGCTAAAAAATCCTCTTACTGAGTCACAGCTGGTGTTTATCCTTTTCCCATGCGTTTTGTTATCAAGAACATTCTCCTTTCACGGCAGGTATGTCTGCTCACTCACATACATATATTCAGAACCGACTGCTCCCTCGACACTAAGTAGCTTCTGGGTGTTGAGTGTTATCGACTGTATTGGTCTGCGTATCTTTGCTTGTGTGGTGTGCGTGTGTGTGTGTGTGTGTGTGCGTGTGTGTGTTCAGTCTTGGCCCCACCAGGACAGTACGTGATCCGTGCAAACCTCACCATACCAGTCGGTGTCACCTTAAAGGGATCGTATATGTAAGTTTCCAGACCTTGCTGTTTCCATGCTACCTTGTCCTTGGACACGTTCAGGCTTGCGAATCCAAATAAACACAACCAACCAACTAACCAACCATGCTACATGTACATTTACAATTTTGCATACAATTACATGCATTTCATCCTTCAAATTCCCATGATAGGCATCCACTAGCATTTGGAAAATCAATTAAATAAAATGAAATGAAAATGAAAAGAAATGTTAACCCAGTGTTTTACAACTCCATGCCATCATCTTTCCATCTCTGGTACTATAAATTACCAACTGGATATGGGAATTTCCCTTGGTAGAAAATTGTGGATATTCTAAACGTCTTGGACACATAAACACAAGAAGGGACCCCGGGACAGGACTTCAGACTACTGGTGATTATGCAGTACACGAGCACATACACATATACACACCCAAAAACGCAAATGAACACACCGGGCCTCTTTGTAGTAGTACATTGTCCTGTTGAGCCACGGAAGTAAAATAATTTCAATACAATACAAGACAATACACACAAACACACAAAACGAACACACACACGAACGCACACACACACACTCACGGACATTGAAATTATATTGCAAACACACGCATACACGCAATCCGTGACAAGGGTAAAATGCAGCGTGTTTGCTATAACGATAGGGTAGTTATACCAGTAAACATCCTACCATGAGCATAATAGTCGGTGTAGCACGCCTCTCAAAAGTCTCTTTGTCTTCATTGTCTATCGCCCTACGGTGGTACCTGCAGGTATGCTCCATCACACGTCGTCAATCGTAACCCGCCTCATGACCCTCCATCAGGTAAGGACGAGCCTGAACTGAATTTGTAGAAGCCCAAACAAAGTGGTCAGGCAGTAGAGTGGTTAAACTTTGCAATGTACATGTTCATACCACAAGCAGATCTACTGCTACTTACAATCTACCAGCGAAATGTATAATAATTAATAGTATACACAGAGAGAGAGAGAGAGAGAGAGAGAGAGAGAGAGAGAGAGAGAGAGAGAGAGAGAGAGAGAGAGAGAGAGAGAGAGAGAGAGAGAGAGGAGAGAGAAGAGAGAGAGAGAGAGAGAGAGAGAGAGAGAGAGAGAGAGAGAGAGAGAGAGAGAGAGAGAGAGGAGAGAGAGAGAGAGAGAGAGAGAGAGAGAGAGAGAGAGAGAGAGAGAGAGAGAGAGAGAGAGAGAGAGAGAGAGAGAGAGAGAGAGAGAGAGAGAGAGAGAGAGAGAGAGAGAGAGAGAGAGAGAGAGAGAGAGAGAGAGAGAGAGAGAGAGAGAGAAAGAGAGAGAGAGAGAGAGAGAGAGAGAGAGAGAGAGAGAGAGAGAGAGAGAGAGAGAGAGAGAGAGAGAGAGAGAGAGAGAGAGAGAGAGAGAGAGAGAGAGAGAGAGAGAGAGAAAGAGAGAGAGAGAGAGAGAGAGAGAGAGAGAGAGAGAGAGAGAGAGAGAGAGAGAGAGAGAGAGAGAGAGAGAGAGAGAGAGAGAGAAGAGAGAGAGAGAGAGAGAGAGAGAGAGAGAGAGAGAGAGAGAGAGAGAGAGAGAGAGAGAGAGAGAGAGAGAGAGAGAGAGAGAAAGAGAGAGAGAGAGAGAGAGAGAGAGAGAGAGAGAGAGAGAGAGAGAGAGAGAGAGAGAGAGAGAGAGAGAGAGAGAGAGAGAGAGAGAGAGAGAGAGAGAGAGAGAGAGAAGAGAGAGAGAGAGGGTGGAAGCTGTGTTGCAACTCCGAATTTCACTTAGTTACGATATCATGCCTCTGGAAGCTTACTTACTACATAGGTCAGATGAAGTTTTATGACAACCAAAGATGCTCTGTCCTTGTTGCTTGCGCTCTCTGGCTCTGAGTGCAGAAGGATCCGTGCTACTCGCATACGGCGGTCGTAATGTGTCATCAGGATGTCTTATCACCGTCAGTGAGCTAGCTACGTTCAGTGGATTCACCGTGTATTACCCGGATCAAGTGCAGGACAAAGCACCAGTACCGTATCCATGGTAACTAATCAATAAACAGTAAAACCTGGTTTGAGCGACCACCCCACGGTGCAAGAAAGGCGGTCGTTAACGCCAGGTGGTCTTTAGAACCAGGTCCCACAGTGTCTGTGTAGAACTGTCGGTGCATGGAAAAGCGGTCGTTAAGAGCAGGTGGTCGCTAAACCCAGAGGTCGCTTACACCAGGTTTTACAGTACATGTATTTAAGAAATAGAAGAGAAGAACATGAGAACGAGTTATGAAGCAATTGTCCACGACTACACTAATAATAGGCAGTCAGAAAGTGCGATCACACTCACAAGGCAACATAATGCAAAAAACACTGAGATGCGCAGTTTCTTCAAAACTTGTTCACATTTATTCTCTTCTCTTTTATATTTATTATTGGCCCAGTCACCCAGTTAAACTATTTATTTCAGTGCTATTTATTGCAACATTCCAAGAAACTGTGGGAGCCGAGGCCAATTTGGAGAAAGGGTTCGAAAGCGGAGGCTTTGTGCATAAAGTACTCTTGCACCTGTGCGAGATCTGGCGTGTGCAAGTACACTATATGGTGTATTGTCTTGGTTGGTTTCTGTGCAAGGGAATGTAAGATACCAGAATGTCTGTGTCCGTATGCCTTCCTATGTGTTCACGTGTATGTGCATGCAGGTCTGTATGTCTGGATGGCATAAACACTGCTGTAACTGACGTGGAGTGTCTGAACTGCTGGAACGCTGTCAAAGCTGTGAAAGCACCCCGCCACTACATCGCCCGTATCCAGGGGCAACCAATCAATATGGTCAGCGACAATCACACAAATGGTCTCGTACAGTGAAACCTGTGACTAACGACCACCCCTTGGGGCCCGAGAAAGCGGTCGTTAGTGGCAGGTGGTCCTTAGTTAAAGGTCTGCACCGCACAACCATATATGAATGTGAGACCGTCCGCGCTTGGCAAAGATGTCTGTAGTACCAGGCTGGTCGCTAGTCATGGTGGTCTTTAGTACCAGGCTGGTCGCTAGTCATGGTGGTCTTTAGTACCAGGCTGGTTGCTAGTCACGGTGGTCTTTAGTACCAGGCTGGTTGCTAGTCACGGTGGTCTTTAGTTACAGGTTTTACTGCATCTATATGTACAGTAAAACCTGTGACTAACGACCACCACTTCGGGCGAGAGAAAGCGGTCTTTAGTGGCAGGTTTACTGTGCATGTATGCATGCATTCATCTATTGAATTGATCGAAGGACGCTGCAAAATGCTGCCAGCATAGGATAAATAACCATGCAGTTTATAACTCACCAAAGTTCGGAGAAAATCGATTCTGAAAGCAAACACACGAAAAGTTGAACCTTAGTTAAACCTGCAACAAGTTGCCATGTTGCGAGGTGATGTCTGCGGCATTCAGACGTTTCATACTGTAGTACGAGGTGAATAGCAATTTCTGGACATCAAAATAAAATAGAGGCCCACTGGCTGTGTGTTTTACATTTTTCATATCTTTTTGTATCTATTGTATGGCCTAATCCTTCATCTTTCCAAATATGTGACAATTGCTCATGCTGTGATCCCAGAGACTTTATAGCAGGTTGTTTTCGACAGGCCAATTTTTTGGCCTAAATTTCAGTGTATGGAATTCTGGACATGAAAGTAAAATAGCGTCAATAGGCACCCTATACTGCACCATTTTTGTTATTTTTTTTATTGGTGGACTGCAGTTGGCCTCTTCACACTTCCAGCCAACAGGTCCAAGACTATACAGCGTCTGAAGTGGAGTGATCATGGGGAAGCCAACGATTCGTCCATTACTTCTTATTTTACTCAAAATTCAAAATTCTCATGCGACACAGTACCACAAAACTCGTTGAAATGCCTCCCAAGAAAAGGCTATCAACAAGGCACCGACACGAGGAGAAACTACAACAGCCCAGCTGTCAACTACAACAAGAAAAAACTTCATCAACCTGATTGACTTGACTCTACACGCGACGAAAAATTATTTTACTCGAAATGTCCAGAAATGTACAATGTCCAGAAATAGCAATTCACCTCGTAGTTTTTAGAATTATGATGAAGAACAGCAAGGATAACCAAGGCTTGTTTGCTGCTACTTCATGTTTCACGCTCTCGCAGTCATCAGACAACACAGGTACATCCTCCAGTAGAAGTATACTATACTATATTTGCTTTTCAATCCTTTGTATGTATGGTGGAACTGGGATAAAATATACCTGAATGGTAGGATGGCTTATGTAGTATGCTGAGTGCTCCCATCCACATAAGTGTCCGTATGGATACATACACGCTTGCTTCTTGCAATATTCATTGTCCGTACTAAGCAAAGAGAGGTCCTATCAGAGTCCGGTGTCAGTGAGGTAAACTGTAATGAATAATGTGACGCTTGTGTTCAATGTTCCCTATGACCAGGGTGTGTACGTGGATGAGAATCATGACGTTGGACGTATTGAGGATGTTCACTTCGTCCCGTGGTGAGAGTTGCATTCTGCTTGTGGACATGTATCATAGACAATATTAAAACTTGAGTGTCGTTCTTTCTAGTGGAAGGAGTCTCAAAAATGGTCTCTAGGACTGGGTTCTAAAACAATGTTGATCTGTGACAATTGGATTGCAAAAGTAGTCATTGCCTAAAGAGTTGTCCTTAGTGATGATTGCCCTTGCTCTTCTAGTTAATAATTGTGTTTCTGCTCTGCTTAGGTTTTCAATGCTTTTGTTGTTCAGTTGTTGAGAGTACATAGAGAGTGGAAGAAAGAGGATGGGAGAGGAAGAGAAAGATAGTGGGAGAGAAAGATTGTAAGAGAGAGAGACAGAGACAGAGACAGAGACACAGAGAGAAAGAGAGATACTGAGAAAGTAAGAGGGAGAGATAGAGAGAGGGATAGGGAGATTTGGGTATTTCAAATAAAGACAAAGCAGCGGCAAATCAGTAGCAGCAGTTTCTAACTTTTAAAAACATTGTTGGAAAACATGTGGCGCATTTTTTACTTTGCTCCCATGTTGTTTCAGGTACAGTAAAAATCTGACATACATTCAATGGCAGTTCGTCAATGGCCAAGCATTTGTGTTTGGTCACACTAACTGGCAGTACGTGTTCAATACGTTTGCCTTTGGGTATGCAGTGGGCTATCGCTTCCTGGACGCAGAGACTGGTGCCTGTAATGGCAACTTCCTGGGGATAGGTGAGAATGTGTTGAATCATGTCGGTAGCTTTGAACACTACCGTGTTTCTGCCAGTATCAGTTATTAAGAGGTGAACATCCTTAGTTGTCAATGCTGGGGAAGACGAAAACAACAGGGTATTTAGGACGTAAATCGTCCCGTGTTTAACAAAATGTGTCCTTTGGTAGAATATCCTTTAACCAGGATTGCAGTCTTCTCCCGGTCGATCACATCACGGGATGTAGAACAGTGCCACATTCTGTAGAGTGGTCTAACAGAAATATATAACACGACGATACGCAAGAGGTACACAAAAGGAAGTATATAGGGCTGTTTTTTGTTGTAACTCAGAGTTTCATGGCAAAAACCAATCATCAGACAATGATGTCTGATGATTGGTTTTTGCCATGAAACTCTGAGTTACAACAAAAAACAGCCCTATATACTTCCTTTTGTGTACCTCTTGCGTACTACGCTCTGCCCATTCCGGGCATTTGAGCACTATTTCAGGTTAAGGCGCACACCCTCTGTGTAACACGACGATACATTGATTCCAACTCCACTCAACCCTTGGCTGACCCATATCATGTTGCCGCGTTGGCTCCACTATCCACATGCCTTGATCACGTTCCACACAAACTGAGTCACATAACAAAGATGACAAAAGTTGGAATGATAGTAGGCTCGGCTGCGCCTTGTAAGGAAAAAAAGTAGACACAGTTGTATTGCCACTGAGCTACAGAATCTAGGACTTGGTCAACACACACCGGCATATGGGGTCGGGCGGACACGTGATGAACGTAGTACTGACGTTCGTGCCTATGATCTCCAGCACCAGCGACTGGATGTCCTGGTCCGTGATGCGCTTGATGTGCCCGTTGCGTGTTGGTCTTTGCCCAAAGCCCTTACCATGAATATTGTAGTTTGTGATATCAAAAGAGAAACCTTTGTCGATACTTTCCCTTTCAGCCTTGGCGACTCAATGGCGAGAGTTGGGTTAACCTGTTGTATGTGGTACGGTGTGCTCTCTTTCTTTCTGTCCGTTATCTTTATACACGCGCATGTTTGCTATGCCCCGGATATCTCAGGTGCTGACATGATGGTAGGTTCGTGTTTGGAATAAGTCATGTACAGTGCCTACAATTCACTCGTGATTATAGGCACAACATTTCAAATATGCAGAGGACAAAAAGCACACTTTTTTTTGAAAGATGCAACATTCGAGACTCCTCTGTCCTGCACAATTCCTTTCAGGTGACTAGAGGACAACATATATTCGATTTGTTATATGTTTTGTCTGGATAATGGAGCTTCAAAGTAAATTACCTGTGTGTATCTCCATGGCAAAGATGAATGTTTCACAAAATCCGCACCCACTAGTATTTACTGTCTGTCATGCATTCCTGGCTGTGTCAAGAATACCTACAAATGATCACAGGACAATGCTGAGTGTGTGTGTGTGTGTGTGTGTGTGTGCGTGTGCACGCGTGCTTGTGTTTGTGTGTGCGTGCGCGCGCATGCGTGTGTGTGTGTGTGCGTGTGCGATATCTGGGCATGCTTACAGGCAAATTCCTCTGTCTTGGTGGACAATGTAAAGCCGGACGGAATACACATAACCAACGGGGAATTCACGGCGTTTCGCAAGTACACATGGGGAAAACAGGTACGATGTCTCAGCATTGGACCAATCCAAGCTTGCAGTGAGAATACCAAAAGCAAGTATACAGAATGCCATTAAGTCATGTCGAAAAGATCGATATATCTTCATTGATTAGTGGTACTACTGTCGTATCTCAAGTTTGTTTCCACGCGTTCCAGTGTACATGTACACGTATTTTCTCAGCATAACTATGAAACAGCTAGCCTGCATTTGGTAACAACTTATTCATCATCATTAGCTTGAGAGACTCGGTACCGCAATGCTGTTCTTGCTTCGCTTTGCGGCTACACCAGATTGCTGATCCAACACAGATCCACATCCGGGGAACGAACAGGGGAGGCGTGCGGATAAGCAACTCAGCATTCTGGGGTCCGTCAGACCAAATCGCAATTGTAAGTACATCAGATTCACGGAAACTGAGCATTGGTAAAATAATACATGTACATATAAAATAGAAGAGAACACATGGGAACGAGGTCTGAAGCAGTAACAATAGTCTGCCAGTGGCCTGTCAGTTGAGTGCTCTGTTCTAGCAACTTCTGACGGCTTAACGCTTGTACCTTGTTTACAGTCGCAGACAGTTGCTTCATAACTCGTTCTCATGTGTTCTCTTCAATTTTACATCAGATTCCGTACGCCCACCGACCGCTAGGTTTATTTTTATGGTTAGCCAGCATCTAGGCTTGGACTTGGAGTCGTGACTCAACTGTGACTCAACTGTGCTTTCTTCTTCTTTCTTTTTCTTTTTTTCCCTTTCTCTTTTTCTTTTTGAGTATTTGCAGTCTGTGTTTTCTGTGTTTTTCTCTCTTTCGTGGAGGCTTGCTTGTTGTATCCTTGGCTCTCGGCCGTTACTTTATCGCCATCATAATATTGGGCACCATTGCCCGTTTGGTCTGCGATACAAAATAAAATTTCAACAACAACTACAACTAGTCCACATTGCACTGGACGTTACTTCTAGAGTGATAACAGACTATATGGATATCACCTTCGCTTGCCTGACCAAAGGTTCTGGAATGTTGGTAGAGCGTATATTTTGATCATCTTTTGCCATAGGTGGTTGCAGGTGCTCTGCCCGTTCACTTTATTCTGCATCAGCACAATCGAACATTTGCCCAAACACAACTCCTCGTTCAACCTATTGCGTCATGCATACTTCCTTTCACGGTCATGTTTTACACAGGTGGCAGGAAGTGGAACCACTGGCTTCATGGGGTGCACCTTTGTCAACTGGGATGCCTATAACATTGTAAGTTCATCATCGGTGTACCAGCCAAATCAAGACCCTTTCGTTCTCCAGAGCACCTAAACAAAATAGGTATCACTGGTTGCCGCACTACAATGATCATTGTGCTGATCCGATAACGAAGTGGAGTGTAGCATTTGGTATACTAGTAGTGTTGGCTTGAAATCAAACTGAGCATTTCTAGAGCCATTGTGGATAGTTGCTGCATCACGTCAAGTCTTTTGCAATTATTAATGCCTTTGAGCACAGAGGCAGTGCGCCTTAAGAGTGCTCGATGCTTATGAGGGACTTCCAATCTCCTTCACTGTTGTCTGATGGTTGTCATGAAACTCTGAGTAACAAAAAACAGCCGACGAGGAGACAATAGTCGTAAAATGGCAATAAATAAGATAAATTCATTTTTGCTGTTGTTATGAGTGCACAATTTATCTTATTTATTGCCATTGAACAACAACAGCCATTATTCTTTTTTGTACTACCTCTTGTGCAGTTAGTTGAGCTGTACCAAGGGTGGATATACATGCCTTATGGTCTATGGTACATGTACCGGTGTTTATCCTGCAGCGGACACCAGCAATCTATGTAATTGGAGCTACTGGGAAGTAAGGCATAATCTCGTATACCCACATGTGTCTGATACCGCGTGCATGGTGTAGCCTGTTGAGTTGGAAAAAAACGTAAAGCTCGTAGTCGCAGGCAGGCTAGATACCTCACATTGTATACTGGTGTTGCATGCAACTGGTGAAACCAGTAGATGAACAAAGGGCCTGAATACGGACGGAATTTAAACTAGCACCATTTCTGGGATGGAAATTGTGGGCACAAGTTATGGGATCGAGTTTACCAACTAAACCAGATTTCTGGGATGCACCATCATTTCAGAAACCCATGCACCCAAATTCGCAATGCACTCTAGAAGCTAATTTGATCATCTAACGCTCATGTTTGTGACAGGATAAATACATACACTATTTTGATTCCAGTACGCTCTCGTGAGTAATTGAATGTTCATATGATTGTAATAAATTCTGGCACTCGATATCTTTTTTGAAGCTTAGTATTCCTGTGTTGATATTTCTATCCTTTGTTGCCTAGTCTCATCGTTGAAGGTTGTGACTTTGCCAAGAAAGGCAATCCCCCAGTGCATATCATTCTGGACACTACCCTGGCCAGAGCCATCATAACTGGGAACACATTTGCTGTAAGTCGCTACTCGCTACTATTGCCTTTCGGTAGGGGTGCTTCACAGAGTGTAGCTGTACTTGTGCTTCTACTACATCACACCCCCATACCCCCTCCCCCCCCCCCCCCCGCTCCCCACTTCTTTCCTTTGTTCATTGCACAGTTCTTGCAACCGATAGCTTGCGACACATCGATTGTACATCAGATTAGGCGTGCAGCAGGTGGCAATGATTACTGCTGTTTCACTTAAATTGTAAATATATCGGGGCCTAACCTAAATGAAAAGTGTACAAGCTGTGCAGTATTCAACTCTGACATACAAATTCTATTCCCGTAGTTTGTTTTGGGGGGGAGGGGGGGGGGGGTAAGAGAGGGGAATGGCTATGGAAAATTGTGGAGATTACTTGCCAACAATAATCATTTATGTTCCCTTTTCAACTCCTACCAACTCACAAGTATTCAAATTACAATGTACCTGTGTGTTGTACATTCCCAGACACGGCTATGGATGTATGGATCGGCTCATAATACTCAAATCGGACTCAACGCGGATGACTCAGAACACAAGACTATACCCAATGATCAGCCCTAAGTGCAGTTCCAAATAGCTCTCTTGTTGGAGGCTAGATTTGACACAGAGGAATCTTGCTTCGATGTGATTAATGGTATTTCTCTCTCACGCCTCACCTTTGCAACAGCAAAACCACAGTGCAGGGTCGGCTGCGGGCAGCCACGTTGCAAGATAGAAGGAAGTTTCTCGTTTCTTTCGAATGCTCAGCCAACGAGAAGCATACACGTTCACAGCAAGAATCATTGCAGTTGGAATATGCTCTTAACGCTTGGCCCATAGCAGTGGCACGCTGTGCTTTAGCTATTCTCGGATTTTTGAAAGCTTTTACCTGTGTCAATTCTGTACAAAGTTGGTACACACTCTTGAATCTGTTTCATGGTGCGGAACACCCTCTACAGATGGTCAGACATCAGAATCAAATGATACAGCTCCACAGAACTCTTACACATACTTCCGATCATTGTGTCGCATTGTGTCGGTTTTATATTTTCAGAATAATTATGCCTGTTAAAATGTGATTGCTTCATGCAACCACGACCTTGGTCTATACTTGCCTGACATGCAGAGGATGTCCTTCAAGGCCTCAATGTGCCGATGTACAAAGTGGTCATTTGCTCGTAGCCATTGTTTTGTCCCAGGGCGTGTCTGGCAGTAGGGACCGGCGGATTCTGCTCGAAAAGAAGTGAAATTGGCAGAACCATACAAACCTTATGGCGGGCAATTCCTCGAATTCTGCTCCATTTCGTTATCCACATACCAAACATGCATGAAACTTACCAGAAAAAGTACAGAATTCTGCCAATATTTCTGCCGGCAGAATCCGCCGGACCCTATCTGGCAGAACAATTGCTTTCAATGCTTTGCGAATGGTTGGGGGATAACGTGTGGATGTGTTATCTCAATTATTTTACATCATGGGGTTCCGAACCCGTGAGACCTGGACACGGTGCGTTGAAGTTTAAAGTTGCACGTAGTTGCAGCTTGTTATCGTTATGCCTCGACGCAAATACTCGATGGAGTAAGAGAGCTTCGAGCAGAAACATTTCCAGCTATTTAGAATCCTTTTGAAATTCCTTTTCTGTCACCATGACATACCGTGCTATAAACATCGTGGAAAAGTCATTGAGGCGCCAGTCACCCTGTACGATGTTTGCAAGATTATCTATTGAAACCCAGTGATAACTACTCTGAATGTGTTGGAAATGTAACGCTGAAACTGTGAAGTGCCACGTGTCCTCAAAGTTTTGATCATGGTCACTGGGATGACGTTGGCGAAATTGATTTATAAACCGCGCCGTAAGTAATTTAGTTCAACTGCATTCATGCTGTAGCAGGGAAAACCAGACTGGTTCTCTTCAAGGACGTATCGCATACTTACAGGGAGAAATGTGTAAGACTAGTATTACTATTAGTATTGCATAGTTACAGTAGTTTGAATCCCTATGGTATGAATGGACACCTACTGCTAGATGTCAAAGCACAGCGGCGGATGGTGCAACAATGCAGACACAACAGCGGAGGACAGTACAGTCAGAGAGTGTCTGTCTCATTCTGCAGTCTGCACGGTCGGTGCACAAAATGGGTCGTCACCACCAGCTGTCTCTGATCTGGATATGACAGATCGCGCACACACGCACCTGTCTCTTGTGCGGTTCTGAATCCAGGAATATGATTTCGTGAATCCGAGACTTTTTGCGCACTTGAATGTCATTTCAAAAAATAACAGTTTGCTGTAATACTTGGCAGATATACATCTCACGTGTAGACAAGTGGTGCAAGGGCATGTACACCACGGTCATGCACGCGGCCTTTACTTGTGACAGAGTCAGTACATGTCCGATGCGTTGGTACCGGGCTTTTACGACTCCCTGGTTGGTAGACCCAGGTGCTCGAAGTCCGTACAATTTTACAGTGTGTGTTTGCCGAGCTGAAACTCACACTAGCAATGATCACTTGCCAGAATCCTGCTCGTGGATGGAAGGTATCTTGTCCAAGTTTGTTCTGAGGCCAGGCTCGATTGAACCAGGCCATCTTTCGATCCGATCTGTTTCTCTGGAGTTCGCTCATTTTTCTAATCAAATTTTGGTGTCGCAGAGGGTACTCTAAGTCCGTACTGATCAGAGGTGACTCGAAATACACACATATTTCTGCTAATTGCTAACTTGCAATCCCTCGGTTACGACGAAAGCACCGAAGGGATATGTGTGGCATGTGCCTCCACCAGTATTTCTTGCAAAAGCGTAGTTTGTTGCCGAAATGCAAGCTGTTTTTAGTCGGCTCAGAGAAGAAGCAGCTGCGCTGTGAAAACCGCGGGAAACAGTGGTGGAGATGCCAGGAGTGTCAACCTTTCTGCAAGGATTGGTGGTTCTCTGTAAATTCTTCTCCTCTGGCCATTGTCAGCTCTAAGCTGGCTCTTGATGATTGAGTGAAGGTCTGTTTGACGCTGTGTCCGTTCGAAATCGGTCTTGGCAAAGTTGATTTTTGCATGAAATGTAACCCAATTTGTATTTCGTATGGACACTCGAAAACCCACTCCCGTGGTATGGGACTTCTGCTTATCGTAGATCCCTGAAAATTGGTACGCGAGGAGCACATACCACACTGTCCCCTCCATAAAATATTTGAGTCGAATACAATAACAGAACATGAAATTATGGGCGTACGAACTTAGGATACCATGTACGGACTTCGAGCACCTGGGTCTACATGGTAGAGGTCTGGGCTGGAGTGCAGGATAAAGTCTCACACCACAGAGCGCTGCCTTGGAGGCATGATGACATGAGTCCAGATCTATCAATGCACAGACGCGGTAACACGGTCGCTGCTGACGGTGCTCTCGTATTCTTCAGCAGTTTGAACATTGACAGTGCAATCATTTGCAGCCAGAATAAATGGCAGGCGACGTTTCAAATGAATTAGTCCAGTTTGTTGAGGTGTTAGCCAGCCAATTCAGACTGCTTGTCGCCGCATAGAAGGAGCGAGAAACCAGATTTCCCTTGCGAAGTTCCTGCTTGTCGTTTTTCTTCAGTGGCAATCGGAAAGCGTACGCTGTTGTAGATGGAACGTTCGTGCTGGCGACTAGAATGGAGGAACGGAGGACATTGAGCGGTTGTATGCACACCATCGGTAAGTCCCATTGTCATTGCGTATTCAGCACTTTCTAGCAAGAGAAATTGTAAAGGCTCTCCTGAGATATCCTACAATCAGTTTTACAGTGACTTGTACCCAGGTCCATGAGTTTCTTTTGGTGACAATTTTACTCAGATCATGATTACATTTTTGTTCTGCGTGGGTACTGCCAATACACAATCATTGCTTCTGCCCATAGTTCCGCATTCGTGGATTTCGATAGGTAGATATCCACAAAGGCACACAATGAAAACCTTGGGCAAATTCGTTGTGACTCATGGTTTCATGGCTGAGCCAGTCACCAGACAACGTTGTCTGGTGATTGGTTTTCATGGTGTGCCTTTGTGTACGACGCTCTGCCTGAATTAGGTATTGAGCACTTTCGCAGAACCTGAGTCTACTGCCTCTGTGTTAGGAAGATATCCACCACAACCTTTTCTTCACAACCACAATGGGATTCTTTTCATTTGTCAAATGTTTGCATCCGCGACAGTGTTGAAGGTCATATCAGCACATGAAGAGCTGAGTTGGAAAACCCGGTAAACGCCAAATTTGAGAAAATGAGATGTTCAGCTCTGTGTAATCAAAAGTTAGAGAGGCACCACCAGGCAAATTGTCACATTCAAAATCTGGCTAGAACCATTTCCAAACTGGAACCCAAATTTGGATTTAGATACCAACCGCACATAAAATGAATCCTTTTATGGCCATTATCCGAAAATTGATGACATGGATCTAGCGGGTTTTGCATCTCAGCTCTTCTTATGCAATTGAGACAATTTCAAGCATGCAAGTGTGACAGAAACACGCGTCCGTGTCCAACATGTATTTCAGTACACCGTACGAGGATTACTGTGAACTCTTCAAATGCTTGTGCGTACGAGAGCGTGTTTGTCCATTCCTATAACATAGAGCGCTACTAAAGCCATTCCACAGTCGAAAGGTTCATGCAACTTATACTACCGAAGCGGACATGGAAATCCAGTCGATGTACCGGGGCCGGCGCCCTCAGCGCGTGCAGAATGCTGCGTGCAGTGCACATGGTGATCCGATGCGACCAGCTCGCTGCATGCAGCGCATGAATACATTACGTACCGCGTATCCACGGCTGCATGGCCAGCGCCCCGGGGCAGCTAGACGTGCGACCGGATTTCCATGTCCACGACAGTATGTTGGTCAAATTGGCGGTGACAAACCGGGTAGAAGTTTGGATTTCGGGACAAGAATCTGGGTGCGGCTTATACTCCAGTGCGACTTATACGCCGGAAAGTGTGATACCCTTGTATGGATGTTGCCTGATGATTGCGAGAGCATGAAACTTTAAGTAGCAGCAAACAAGCCTTGATTGTCATTGTTGTTCTGTATTACGCTCTGCCTCCGCGGTGTTGAGCACTGTCAGCACACTGGGTACATCCTCCGGTGACACCCTTTTAAAGAATTTCTTGAATGTTCTTATGTTCAATTCTGTGCTGTGTAGATGCAGAGAAGGCATGCCGAATTCTGGAGCAACTGGCATCATCAGTTGAGAAAACAGACAGTGAGGAGCACATCGAGGATCTCCAGACATTACAGGAGAGCATTGAGGTGCTACGGAACCCTCTGATAACGCAATTGCTGGACATACGCCACTCTCATCAGCAGGTATGTTGCGAATGATCATTGGATAAGACATGTTATTTTTCGTTGGCTGAGCGTAGCGAATGAAATGAAAAAAGGGATTTTTGCCAGCATGTTCACCATATTTACGGCACCAGGATTGCGTCAGCTGGTTTTTTGTCAGTGTTCTCAAACTATTCTCTTCTTCGTGGTCTTTCTCTTTTCGTTGTAGTTGATCGTGAGTGAACAAAGACCACACTACTACTGTGATCTGTATCTTTCTGTTGTGTGTGGGTGTGTCTGTGGTGTACGCAGAAGCCAGCTAGCTGGCAAAAATTGATGCTTTCATGAATACTTGTAATGCCATTGGTGATAGCGAGCTAGCTGGACTATGAAGTTTGGGTGAAGATTTTGCCAACCATATATCTTCACAGCCATTAATAAAATGGGATTGTTTTCAAAGAATTCCGATTTGCGAGTCAAAAGTAGCACCATGTTTCCATTTTAATTACATCATGCACCCACCAAAAATACTGTAAAAGCCATAATTATATAACGAAGTGCTATTAAACTCTAATGAGATAACGAGGATAAATCGGTCGTTAAAATAGAAATCGTTATACAGAAATCGATACATATACTGTCCTATTGAGCGTTGAGAACGAGTGAGTATCGTTACCTTTGGTACACGTAAACTAGTAAATTTTGGTAAAGCGTTTTATATGCGCCTCGGTAGAATAATGGCTTTTACAGTAAAAAAATCTGAGGGCTGCAGGGGCAGCATGAGCCTTGGCGCTGCTTTCTGCTCACAATTCGGATTTCTTTGGTCCCGACTGTAGGTAGGAAAATGATTGTTCTTCGTCCTTTGGTGAGAGCTAAAAGGCAGCAATGCCTGTTCATTCTGGCAAAGTAAAATAGAATATACCAACCAACCAACGCACATAATGACAAGCGCAATTTTGGGCATTTGCTATTGGAGGTCAGTATCACCGTAGATTATGGTGTTAGTTTTGAAAAAATTCCCAACTGAACCTTATGAGTATGACTGTACTTTGTAAATAATGTGTGTATTGTATCAGATGCTGGACTCAGCCCATCGATTCCTAGCCACCAGTACTGCTTCAGACAATGATGAAGATGATGATGATGATGACATCATTGACGGTAATAATGATCTGGATGGGTGGGACGATGCGGACGACTTTGCCGTGCGCTACGGTATCGAGGCCAATCGCAACCGTCTGCCCACACCCGAACCCAGCAGTCGTCCCACGTCGTCATGTCATTCGGCGACTTCAGATCTCGACTCCCAGGACGAGCGTGTTCTGGCGAAGCTGCGCAGCATCGAAGGTGATGACCATCGTCACACAACGACAGGTATGGGTACGTGGCGAGAGCAGGCATACTGGCTTGCAAGGGGAGGGGAGGGGGAGGGGAGGAGGGGGGGGGGGGTAGATACCTTTGTGTAGTAGCATTAGGGGCGGGCGGAGGCATGTGTAAATGAAAGCCATTGTGTGCAGCTTGTGACTATTCCTGCATATGTGTATGTCACAGCAAAATTCATTGATTACATCATACTTGCTGCATATCTGGGGCAGATAAGTGCCGTAGTGCGTACAACAGAGTTGCGGTTGTGCAGAAAGAGATCGGCTTGAATCCAGGCACAACGATTGTCACAGGCAGAAATGATCTCATTGTGCAATCAACAAGAATGAGAGGATTAAAAAAGTGTTTATCTCCGAGTTTCGTGCACTAAGCGATCACCAGAAAACAGCTATTGGACAGCCTATAACCTCTCTGCTTTTCATTGTATAATCACAAGGGTCAGCACTTTTACTTCAAGTAACATGAAAGCCAATGCGTCAATACTTGTTTCGTGTGGTTGTGCGTCCATTGATCTGTTGTTTCAGGTGCAGAGAGTCAGTTAGACAAGAGAATAGCAATGGGTACTACAGGCCAAACCAGACTCCTAGAACCGGCAAGTGCAAGTGCTGCATTCACAACAACAGCTGGCTCGGGTCGGCATCGTGATCCTCTCGCTTGCCTCGATTCCTCAATTAGCAGTGTCGACTCGGCACCAATATTCATGGACTCACGACGCGAGAGCCGGCACGACTTTCCCTTCCACGACAGCGCCACCTGTCGTGTCCTCTCGGCTACGTCTCTGCCGCCGATACTGGCTCGGCAAACCAGCAGCGGATCGTCGATACGCGGTCTGGCGGCAAAGCTGGCTACAAGTGGAATTGATCGACATGGAGAAGAAGACGACCTGCTGCCGGCTGATCTGCGAAGTCCGTCACAGTCGTCGGTTGAGAGCCATCACACCGCGGGATTGTCGGACAGTCTGGTGTTTTTGAGAAAGAAATCCAGTCTCAGCGAAATAGAGGAGGTGAGCAGAACAATGTGTGTTGATATCCGGGATAAAAAATAAATCATTATTAAAAAAAGTGAACTCTCTTGTCTGTTCTCGAAGGGAACTCACGACGGCCGGTAAACCCTATAGCCTGGATATGAACCTGTGTATTGCTTGCTGTAGAGATGCTGGGTTATACCATGTTGCCTTTTGGCTAGTAACTACGGTACCGGTCCACCCTCATCAGTATGGTATCGGTTACAAGACCAAACCTCATTAGTAGACAACAATCAAAAAATGCCTTGCCGCCTGTAACGTGTACATTCACATTCGGCTAGTAGATAATACTCGTTATCAGACAAACAATTATTTGAACCCCCAGGGGTTATCTACTAACAAGGGTAGATCTGCACCTGAATCACTGTTGGTAGTAGTGTGTGCTCTACACCCTGCCTACTGCCGTGGAGACAAATACGGGTGATTAATCCAGCGTGGTGTACATGTATCCGTCAGGTCAGCTCACTGCTGGACACACAGTTTTGCATGATCTTGTTGCGCCAGGCTCTTGCAGCACAAAGACCATTAACTGTACAGTAATGTCTGCGACCCGTACTAATATCCTGAACTGTATATACATTCGTGCAATTCATGTCAATGTCCAGAACTGCACACACATGTATGGGATTCATGCTGATGTCCAGAACTGCATACACATGTATGGGATTCAAAGTGATGTCCTGAACTGCAGGCCCATGTATGAGATTCATGCTGGTGTCCTGAACCATGTGAGAGAATTGTGTTGGGTACACCCAGGCGGTTAACAGGCGGCTCTGACCCGGTTGTAGGAGTTGGGCCAGGTATGCGTGTACCCGGTTGGTTCAAAACTCAGAGAAGACACTGTGATCGTGTTTAAAAACTGTTTTGTTTGTGCCCACCCAGGCGGTGAGTAGCCGACGGAGGAGAGTGATCAACTTCACCGTTCCTGCCGGGGAAGAACTCGGCTTGGAAGTAATCGGCTCAAGCCATCACGGACTGTTTGTCAGTGCGGTTACGCCGCACAGTCATGCAGATGCTGCCAAGCTGCGCATAGGAGATCAACTTCTCTCACTGAACGGAAAGACATTAGGTGAGCAGAAAGACGAGTTGGTAGTGCTGTTTGTCTAGTGGGATAGGACCGTGTGCGCGTGTGTGTGTGTGTGCGTGTGTGTGTGTGTGTGTGTGTGTGCGTGTGTGTACGTGTGTGCGCCTGTGTTTGTACAAGTGTAGCATATGCGTGTTACTGTGCGTGCACGCTTGCATGTTTTCACATGCGTGGTCTTCAGTGGTCAGGGTATTGGCCCGCCAACCAAGGGGAGGGGGGGGGGGTGAATTTCGCCAGAGGATCCTTCTTTTGCAGTGTTGGCACCACAACTCATCCTAATCGTCTCTTTTCCTTTTTTTTCCTTAATCGCTCATCTTCAGGTGGCAAGAGTCCGACAGAGTTTGCTATCCGTGTACAGGTGGGTGTGTCCCTGTGGCATATGGTTTGTCCCTGTGGCATATGGTGTGTCCCTGTGGCATATGGTGTGTCCCTGTGGCATATGGTGTGTCCCTGTGGCATATGGTGTGTCCCTGTAGCATATGGTGTGTCCCTGTAGCATATGGTGTGTCCCTGTAGCATAATGGCTGCTGCACTTGACGCTTACCTGTTAGCTGAAGCACCGTATTATACAGAGCTTAAGCCGCACTTTAAACCCTTAGAATTCACCCCCGAAAAAGGGTGCAGCTTACTTCAATGATCAAATTAACGGTGCCGATCCGGTTATATAGGACCGATGTCTGTATTTCGTGGCAAAATAGGGGTACGGCTTATACTACAATGTGGCTGACACTCCTGAAAGTACGGTAATCATGCTGTCACCCTTTGGATGAATCATTGTGATAAACAGCAAAATCACGTTTTGTCACCTTTATATTTGCTATTAATATTCATTCTCGCGTTTTTGTTGCGGATACACAATTAAAAAAAAAAAAAAAAATTTCACGGTTCGCGTGAGACTCGGCTGGAAGCCGGGTTTTCCGCATCCGTAGGAACGCCACCACCCTTCAAGGATCAAGGCGCAGATGCAGCTCCTAAAGCGGTGGGAGGTGAGTAGATCAGCTCACCAGCAAGTGGTCAAAGACCGAAAATCCCATTCACTGCATCCATGCGGATACACACATCGACAGCAAACATTCTCTCCATACCGTCAACTAATGAGTGTTCTCTCTGTGTTGACGATAAGGATATGTGTCGTATACTGAGACTCAACGCCGATAGAGGCTACTAGTAAGGAAGAGAGATGAAGCTTATGCACTTTGCTTCCCATCCAGATGGATGCTTTAGAACCCATCTGTCAATCATTGTGTTATTTTTGTCCTATACCTTCCTGTCCTCTTGACTACAGGAACAACCCAACGTATCTACTATAGTGCAGCAGAACAGAGCAGGTATGTGCCGGACAACATGTGCCATTCTTGAGGATCTATTCTTCATTGCTATCAGGTTCGGCCTCATTTTCTCTGTGCTGCACTGATGATTCCATGTAGGATGAAACAGCTCTGTCCGCAGCTTGAGTAACAACAAGTATACATACACATGCATCGTGCTTTACAGTTGGCGCAGTCGTGACAAGGTACAATGCAGGACAACTGTACTAAAAGAGATCCCTGCAGTGCATGCTATGGAGGCCATGATAAACTGAGTGCGAACATGGCCAATAGCTCGTGTGTAAATCTATGGTGCGCCAAGGTCTAATGTAACAGAGAAAGCAGAAAAAATAACCCCATCAATAACGGTCCATCCCCTCATCCCTCTCTCTCTCTCTCTCTCTCTCTCTCTCTGTGTGTGTGTGTGTGTGACAATAACTGCCTAGCGTAATCACTGGCACTTGCCTCTGGGAATTACCCACTCACATGCATCCACACGAAATATCCCGCTTGGATATGCACTAGATGTTACGGACTACCTTTTAACCCAATGGTGTGTGCTGTGTGATGCCTTCTTTGTTCTGTGTTATAGGTATGGAAGAATTCTGTCGATCAGTGATTGGAGGACCGTAGTATAAATCTTCAACTACCAGCATCTGATAGGCTACCCTTGAATCGATACTGAGAGTCTAGCTTTCTGTTTATCTTGACCTTATATGTTCATCTATGTTCAACGTCTTTTTGTTATAATATTTCTACTCCAAGATTGCTTATGTTATCAGAGTGGGAAAATTCAATTTAGAATGCTTACACCATTTCCACTATGAATTTAGTTGCTGAGATATACAGCCACATTCTTATTTTATTGATTTCTTGCCTTGAGTTTGGTCTTGTGCGTCTGGCGGACAAGTCGGATGAAGAAAACAATATCCTCGACAATGCCTGGTCATCCATTGGCACCCTACATGCCTACCTATCACTGTTCATCTATTTCACTTGATATGACAACATGAGCTTCAGTTGGATTATCTTTACAACTTGAATGCCGATGTAGTTACAAGGCCATGATATGGAATTTGTAATTTATTTCAATCGCACAAGCTTTAGCTGTGATGCGGAGATGAATTGCTGGTTTGCCCCAAGTGTCGGTGTTTGCATGAGAAGGCTCGCGAGTGTGAGCGCAGCGAGGGTTTTTGTGTGCTCATGCATTTCGTGTGCGCTTGTGGGTATGTGGTGGCGGAAAGGAGGCTCTTGACCGGCCCTGTACGCGAACCCGTGCAGTTTTGTGAGGAGCATCCATGTATGGGGCTGTACGTAGGTGTGGGTACTATATTGGGCTGAAAGGATCATCCATTTAGCCCAATCGATTACTCTTTATCATAACGATCGATTATTCGATTATAACCCTTAAGAGGCCGCACCTGGAATATGTACGTGGAATGGCCAAAAGTGGAAATATGTACAAAATCTTACCCAAAAAAGTGATATGTATGTTGACCGGACGCGACCTTCACCTTCGAGCTGCATGCTCCAGCTTCGTTGTACTATACAGCATTTTACAAGGCGAGGCGCGCGTGCAGTGTGTATACATGTAGTAGATGTACTGTGTACTACCGGGGGTATCATACTCTTTGCTGCATGCACTGCGCGTATAAGAAATTAAAAATTTAAAACACGCAGAATAATCGTAATCGGTAATCTAAACGATTGCTCGATCGTTAGAGTTATCAACCGAGTACTCGATTATTCGGTATAATCGTTTCAGCCCTAATATTATGCTCATGTGTGTGGTGTAGTTTATGCCGATATTTACATGTAGGGACTTGTATGATCACCCTTATACGTTTGGTTATGGCGTACAAAAGCCGACTAGTTGATTACCATGCACCAATGTGCGGCGATCCTTTGCCTGGTTCCAGTGGTCATTCCCTTACACTCTGGTCGGTTGACTGTGTAGCAAAATACTGCTTTGGGAACTAGGCGTTCTTCCGTGTGTCTGGGAAAGTGTATGACCAGAGAGGAAGATCCTGGAACATGATGAACCAGACAGATAAAGGGGAATGGGAAGTGGAGAGTGCGTGAGAGAGAGAGAGATAGAGAGTGTGTGCAACTATACCATATTCCCGCACATATAAAGCCATGGCGTTATATCCGAATATAAGGCCACCCTCACTTATAAAGCTATGGCGTTATAAGTGAACAAAAGTCAATGTGGAGGAAATTGCATCTGGCGTTAAAAGTGAGTTCAGTTCTTTCAGTGAACCTACAGTAGCGGTGATTCTCTCTGCATGTACCCATCCCCACTGTCACATGCCACCTCGTAAACAAATGGTTCACAATTTGAAATTTTCAGGGAAAATTAGTACATGGATGCTCGACATGAACGTGCACCGGAGCCGTACGAGAGTACTCGAAGTTCATACTCTGCCGATTTTTTTGCATGTACGCGACTCTCACTTTTAGTGCCATGGTGTTAAACCCGAGGCTATTGTCTGTAAAAATTTGGTCCAAAACAGCGATGTTTCACCTATAACGCCATGGCTTTATATGCACGGAAATACGGTATGTGTGAGAGAAATAGAGCGAGAGAGAGCGAGAGAGAGAGAGAGAGAGAGATCATGAAGAGGAGCTATTCGCTGCAACTCTCAGATTCACACATGCTTAGAAGCTTAGAAGTGAGGGAATTTATTGCTCACTTGTTGTTTTCGTGCTACTTGTAGTAGTAAAATTATTGTTCCAATACTGGCTATCCATAGGATGCAGATAGTCACTAAAATGAGCCATTGGACTGATGATGAGGTAAAAATATCTGGAAGAGTAATAAAATCCAAAATTAAATAATTATGTGCTGTCACTAGGCAGCTGATAACGGTAAGAAGGCCGAGCAAACAAGTCTGGACTTTCAAACGAAACAAAAATTAAACTATGTCGCACTAGATTGTATGCTGTCAGGTCATTTATGGATAAGAGTGTGCCGTGTCGTCAGCGTTCAAGCCAATCTGGTTGTTGTGAGCCGATCCGGCAATGCTCATTGTCGTCTGGGCAGAACAAGGAGGGAACAGTCGAAAACAAGAATACCAAAAGTTTACAGCAGTCCCCCGTTTGCAGCATCATAGCTGAGTGATAGTGCCATAATAGTACTGTCGGTCGCCGAAGAATTGGGGGGGGGGGGGGGGGGGGAGGGTCAGCCTCCTTGCCTAGACCGTTCATATTTTCATGTAATACAGTCTGTGCACAGTTGAGCCACCATGTATGCATTGGTATGCTGTGTTTGGTGAAATTCTAGCCTGGCCGTTCTACGGCGCTCCCTTCTTTGGCGGTCGATGGTGCAATAGTGCTCTGAAGAATGCTAGTGCCACAGGAAAGATTAGTTGATTCGCTAAATATGGGAATGGTCGGCTAAAGGGGACGATGAAGATGTTTCTTTCGAAAAATATCGGTATTTACGGATAGTCCCTTACACACTGTTGGGTTGAGCTTTTCAACTGTGATGGAAGGTGGATGGGCGGATGGGTTGAAAATCTGAAAACAAGCGGCAATAATGTTTACTACAGACAGGGTGAGGTGGGGAATTTTAACACGACAAGCACACAGGACAGTACATACCTCAAATGTATTTCCAGTGATGACAGCCCGCGCTAGAGTAGAACCCAGTGACACATGTTTGCTGTCTTTAGTCTTCTTCATAAAGTCACAACCCTGCACTATCAAACTACAGAACACAAGAGGAGAATACAAAACGCAATGAATCAGTTCATTTTGATATACTAGTAATGCTAGTACAGTCAACTTCGCATATAACGACACTCGGCGGGGCATCAGATAAGTGTCCTTTTTCGCGAAGTGTCGTTACACCTTAAGTCTCATTTATGTATTACAGTTGGATTGAACTTTGCTCTGGGCCTGGAAATTCTGTCGTTATTCGCGAATTGTCGTTATATCCGCAGTCGTTATAAGCGAAGTTGACTGTAGGTGGGGAGATCAGCTACTGTAAGTCTTGCTTGCTCTCCCTTATGTTCAGGCTGCCCGTTTTGGAGCTATCACTTGCCTGGTGATTGTAGTAATATGTGAAATTCAGAGTTGCGACACAGCTTCCAATCTCTCTTGTGTACTGTGAGTCTATAAATTTCGGAGGGTTTAAATTTCGTCACTTTAGGGCTGGAACACATTCCGGCAACATTAAAATGTTCTGCCATTGCTGCTGCTGCCTGCATGACACTCTCACACTGAACGGTGCAAAAGAGAATTTTGGCAGCAACACATTTTCGGCCGAAAATTTCCAGGCCGAAAACAGTCGAAAATAAAATATGCGCCGAATATTTGTTGACCTAGAGCTACAAACTCTATTTCAAACTCCGCAGAGTGATGCATTGTCGCTATAGCAACGGAAACCACACTGATGATGTTCAATGATCAGACAAGTGTTGATATTTATGGACACAATCAAGAGTAGATAAACAAGAGCGTGCAACTCGCGGATTGGTTGGCCCACGACGGAAATTTTTGTTGACGTAATCTTTTCTACGACGCACACGCTACGAGTCTTTTGGGAAGTTTTGCCTCGTGCACTTGGCCGGGCTTTACATTACAAGGTGGCTACCCAGCACGTGCTCTCATACTGCTCTGCGACAAAATGAGCGTGCTCTGTAAAAAGGTGACGTAAAAAAATTCCGCCATGGACCATGGTCTCTGCAGATTGTGCAGGAGAGATGCCGAGTTGCATATCCTTGTTTATATACTCTTGACACTATGATATACAGTAAGAAGTCTGGAATATTTTTTAAGCTCAGGGAGTATATCAGGTCAGGCCAGGAAGGATAGCCGTACGCGACACTGAGCGGTTTGTGGGCATTTGGATAGTTGCATGTATGCGGCACAGGTGTGAATGGGTCAAAAATGGCAATATCAATAACGCAATGGCCGCGGAGACCATGGTTGGTTTTTTTCAAGTCTAAACGGATACTGTAAAGCAACCCGGGAATTTTATATGGTGTAATATTTTCTGTATTTCCCACAATCAAAAGTTCGGTAGCGTGAAAATTTCAGTAAACCAGTTTTCCATACTGCAGTTGGCATGCATGTATTCGTAGGTGTATTTTCGGGGCGCTTTACTTTACTTTCAAGTCGGCAGGAAAAGCGTGAGCTCCCATGTAGGGAGCAACACAGGCGTTTTACTTTAGGTGAAAAATACCTCTACCGAAGTTTCCGAAAATATATATCTCCGCCAAAATTTTCCGGTTTTAAAGTATTACAGATCATTCAGCAGGCTTTGAAAGATCTGTATCCCGAAAGATTTCCAGAATTCAATCAAAACAAACCCAAAGTCTAGATTGCTAGCTGTCAGAGGAATTTACAACATATCTTTTCTTTTCTTCTCTTCTTCCGTGGTTGGTCTCACCCTCTCCTGAATTCAATTGGCTGTCTTGACATGCTACGAGGTGCAGAAATAAATAAATAAATAAATTGTCTCCGCCGCACTTACTTTCCTGTTCCGCCGACGACTTCAATCGCGGGGTGGTGCTGCACCATAGCATCAAAGCAGACAGAAAATTGTAGTCTTGTACAATCAGTGCACAGTTAAGCTGTGGAGACTGTCAGCCTGATCATGTTTGACAGTGATTGTCTGCATGCATACGGCAAAGGCTGAAGAATTTGAGCAACGCAGCTATGGATGAGCTCTACAGTACAATTTACTTGTTCTTTTAAATGAGCACACATACACTTACATGTGCACACTGACTCACACACACCATTTGACCATTTGACGCCCATCGCCGGAGGCGATGATAGCGATGCTACAGCAGAAGCCTTAGCAACTTGTGCTGGGACCGCACCATTCAACAGCTTGCAAGGCTGAAGAATTGACCGCCATAGCTCAAACACACACAAACACACACGCACACACGCACGCACGCGCACACACACACACACACACACACACACACAAACAAACACCCCCCCCCCCCCACCCCACCCACACACACATAACACATGCATAGAGACAGACACTCACACAGGAAAGTACCACCATGCCGTATACATACCAGCTTTGCAGCATCCCAGTCCACAAGCGTACAGCCCATGAAACCCACCGTTCCAGAACCAGATATCTACCGGAAAAGAAGCCAGAAAAGTACAAGTTAGCTCTCGTAGGTATTAAAGGGGAAGTTAAAGGGGAAGTTAAGGCAAAAATTAAAATTTCACCAGTTGTAGTCTTCGGGGTGCTGAGTCGAATGGTCTTGGTCCGAGAAAGCTGAGACGCTCCCTTCCTACTTGAATCCCAATCGAACTCGCGCACTTCCACCGAAACTGGGTGACTGCGCCCTACGAGATGGGGATTTGTATGCAAAATGTCACTAAAAGCGCCATTTCGTTCTTATAAAAGCACGGATGACCGCGATTGGCCCATATGTTGTAGTCTTTTGGACGCTGAGTCGACTGGTTTTGGTCCGAAAAGGCTGCGATGCAGCGTTCCTCCTTTATTCCCAATCGAACATGGTTGAAGAAGTGGTCACGTGCTCCTGGGTGCCAAAATCACCTGGTCACCACGCCAGCAGGCGACAACTTTCACACCAAGGTTCAACTCGAGTGACAGGACTGCACCCAAAAAAGGTCAAAACAGGCTAGTAAGTTGTACCCTGCAGGCACGGTGACCAGGTGACTGGTGTACGCAGGAGCACGTGACCACTTGTTCAACCATGTTCGATTGGGAATTAGGGGCGAACGCTGCATCGCAGCCTTTTCGGACCAAAACCAGTCGACTCAGCGTCCAAAAGACTACAACATATGGGCCAATCGCGGTCATCCGTGCTTTTATAAGAACGAAATGGCGCTTTTAGTGACATTTTGCATACAAATCCCCATCTCGTAGGGCGCAGTCACCCAGTTTCGGTGGAAGTGCGCGAGTTCGATTGGGATTCAAGTAGGAAGGGAGCGTCTCAGCTTTCTCGGACCAAGACCATTCGACTCAGCACCCCGAAGACTACAACTGGTGAAATTTTGATTTTTGCCTTAACTTCCCCTTTAAGGCAAAAATTAAAATTTCACCAGTTGTAGTCTTCGGGGTGCTGAGTCGAATAGTCGTGGTCGGAGGAAGCTGAGACGCTCCCTTCCTACTTGAATCCCAATCGAACTCGCGCACTTCCACCGAAACTGGGTGACTGCGCCCTACGAGATGGGGATTTGTATGCAAAATGTCACTAAAAGCGCCATTTCGTTCTTATAAAAGCACGGATGACCGCGATTGGCCCATATGTTGTAGTCTTTTGGACGCTGAGTCGACTGGTTTTGGTCCGAAAAGGCTGCGATGCAGCGTTCCGCCTTTATTCCCAATCGAACATGGTTGAACAAGCGGTCACGTGCTCCTGCGTACGCCAGTCACCTGGTCACCGTGCCTGCAGGGTACAACTTACTAGCCTGTTTGACCTTTTTTGGGTGCAGTCCTGTCACTCGAGTTGAACTCGAGTTGAACCTTGGTGTGAAAGTTGTCACCTGCTGCCGTGGTGACCAGGTTATTTGGGCACCCAGGAGCACGTGACCACTTGTTCAACCATGTTCGATTGGGAATAAAGGAGGAACGCTGCATCGCAGCCTTTTCGGACCAAAACCAGTCGACTCAGCGTCCAAAAGACTACAACATATGGGCCAATCGCGGTCATCCGTGCTTTTATAAGAACGAAATGGCGCTTTTAGTGACATTTTGCATACAAATCCCCATCTCGTAGGGCGCAGTCACCCAGTTTCGGTGGAAGTGCGCGAGTTCGATTGGGATTCAAGTAGGAAGGGAGCGTCTCAGCTTCCTCGGACCAAGACCATTCGACTCAGCACCCCGAAGACTACTGGTGAAATTTTAATTTTTGCCTTAACTTCCCCTTTAACAGCGGATGTACAGGGACAGCACACATCATACTTGGTCCGGCTCATCGCAATTGTCGCTTATCTTTCGCCTCTAAGAACAGGAGTTTTTTTACCGCTCTGTAAAATTTCCAACAGGCATAGTGAGGAAGCATGATACATGAATACTCTCCGCCACAAGAAAAAAAATCAGCAATGGAATCAGGTGAAGCGAGTCAAAGAAAGGAAGCAAGGTAAGCAAAATGCACGAAATATATCAGGGAAAGAGCGCGTTCTTGCACTCACACTAGTAATACAGGTCCAGAGTTCACTCAAATCTGCATCTCTCGAGCCGCGTCGTTACATGAGCTGACATTTGCTGGTGTCTAGCTGCTGGCGTAGACTGGTAGAGTATCTCTTGCGTTCAAAGGCCTGTCGTATGGCAGCAATGGGAAAGGAACAGTTGTGGCTGTCACTTCGGTGCTTGAAGGAACCGTGGGCAGTGTGACCTGTGTGTCACCACAGTGTGTTTCAACAAAGCTTTCGAATGATGCATACAGGCCATGCCTGTCACGCTCTCCAGGTCAGGATGTCAGTTGTCCCTGCTACAGTTCCGGTCTTCGGGTCGCTAGCGCTGCGCTTGGCTTTTGGCAACACAGACAGTGAATGGCCAGATTCTCACTTCCCAAAAAAGTCGAATACATCGCGATTCAAAGCGCTAGTCGCGATCATTCTTTGGTACCTCCTTTGATCTTGCCATCACGACCTCCCAAGCAAAAGTAAGTAAGATATTGTGATTGGACTGGGTTTTACCTGCCAAAAAGTGCGTGGGGGATAAGCGACAATTGCTATGAGCCGGACCAAGTAGGACAGAAAAATAGTGTTCAGCCAAGGCCGCTGTTGGCACTTACGTGTTGGACATTGGTTAGACGGATTTCTATACTACAGACGTCACCAAAAATCCAGCCATTGCCTATGCCATGTACATGTTCTATACAATGGAATGGAACGGTACGTGTTCGCCGGCGGGGCTTCATGGTGGCTTGGTGGCCTGCATTCATCTACTGAGTCTGTACCAGTGCAGCATGCACTGAACAGTCTGTACCAGCGCAGCATGCACTGAACAGTCTGTACCAGCGCAGCATGCACTGAACAGTCTGTACCAGCGCAGCATGCACTGAACAGTCTGTACCAGCGCAGCATGCACTGAACAGTCTGTACCAGCGCAGCATGCACTGAACAGTCTGTACCAGCGCAGCATGCACTGAACAGTCTGTACCAGCGCAGCATGCACTGAACAGTCTGTACCAGTGCAGCATGCACTGAACAGTCTGTACCAGCGCAGCATGCACTGAACAGTCTGTACCAGCGCGGCATGCACTGAACAGTCTGTACCAGCGCAGCATGCACTGAACAGTCTGTACCAGCGCAGCATGCACTGAACAGTCTGCTCTGACAGCAGTCGAGCACTGCACACTCAGTTTATGCAGGCCATGCAGGCCCGGCAGCAGGGCATAGGCAGCGCATATGCCTTGCGCTGGTGGTAGTGGATACGGTCCGTGTACAGCTAGCATAGCATTGGCCAGTTCAAACTTCTTAGAAAACTATTGGACTTCATATTCTACTCAATACAATGGTCAGGTAAATCCTGCTGATGGTTGCTTTGTGTAAAATAAATTCACTGTTCGCATGAGACTCGGCTTGAAGCCGAGATTTCCGCATCCGTAGGAACGCCACCACCCTCTGAGATCAATGCGTAGATACAGCTCCTAAAGCGGTGGGAGGTGAGTAGATCAGACCCACCACAAGTGGTCAAGACCGAAAATCTCATTCACTGCATTCATGTTTTATTACATGAAACTTTAATCTAGAAAGAGACGGCGAGAGGGAGAGAGGGAAAGAGAGAGAGAGAGAGAGAGAGAGAGAGAGAGAGAGAAAGAGATATAGAGAGAGAAAGAGAGAGAGAAAGAGAGACGGAGAGAGAGAGAGAGAGAGAGAGAGAGAGAGAGAGAGAGAGACTGAGAGTACTATTTGATATAATCATTGGACAGAAGGTATGTTGAAACATTATAGCTCCAGGTATATCTGAAGACAATTAGACACACACTACTATACAATACACACTACTATACAATAAAAACAATAACTTACTTTGGCAACTTGGTAGGATGGACCCCAGAACGCTGTGTTGCTCAAGCGAACAGCACCCGTGTTGGAAGGCGACACAAGGATCTGCGTCGGCTCCGCATACTGCAATGCAATACAGGGAAAATATGTAGAAATAAATGTCGTGCGAAGACGAGAAGCAATGCGATCAAAAGTCTGGGCGTAACAAAATTCCACTTCTCGTAATGACTGGCATATTTATAATTATGGGCATGGGTCTACATGTATATGCAGGTGTGTGCACACCCTCATACAGGTGCATGCTATTGGGTACTGACGCCATCAACATGTTCTCGTGAAATGTCCCATTCCATCCTGGTACACGTGTAATTTGCAAGCGCATGCGCGAGTATAGTTATGTGAGAACATAAAAAGTAAATCATTGTGTCCGTTCCCAAAGGGAACTCACAGACGGCCTCTAACACCCGGTCAACCCTAGCGGCAGATGCAGCGCCTAACGGTGGGGGTGCGTGGATAAGTCTCACAACCACTGGCACAAGTGCCGATAACGACGCCATTAGCTGCATCCATGTACCCCTTGTGCCTGGCCACAAGTTCCCAGTAAACTGTGGGTAGCAGCACGGCTGGAACAACCGCTCCAAGGCAGGACTTGAACCAGGTACCTCTCGTATCTCAATCATGGTCTTTGACCAACCCACTGTGCCTGTCCGGTACATGGGACGTACATAATCTTAGAGGTATGGCAAAAAATCTCACGTCAAAGTGCGGGGGCTTTTGTGTGTGTCATCATTGTGTACTGTCTACATACTACACACCTGTTTGCCCCAGCTCTTGCTGATGAACGACGTGAATTCACCGTTTGTGATCAGAATCCCTTCGCCTTGCGCTGCATCCACCTGCACTGAGGCATTGGCCTGGAGACCGGGGATTGCATGCATACACACCAACAGAGATTGAGTATAGAAATCAGAAAAAATGCTCATCCTCTGCTCGCTGGCCAGCTGCATCAATAATATGCCGGCATTGGTGAATATAGCCATACCCTAGTTATCCGGACACCCAAATTACGGGCACTTCGGTCTACCGGGTGTGAGGTTAAATGGTAATATTACAAATCTTTTGTCACTTTTTCCAGAAATAGTAACGTCATGCGCCATATCTATGGCCTTTCCCCATCCATTGTTATTACTAATTTATTAGACTTTAGAGCAAGGACACTTAGCAGACTCAGCGGAGAGCAAGGACACTTTGTTGACAGATTGTTTACACCTCTTTGACTGTTCACCAAAAGACTACAGTATGCATAGTGCAGTCCTGTTTCACTTACCACCATGTCTGCTCCTGTCACATTAGAGCGACATCACATCCCAAAACAGTGCCATCGCGGTCGCCACCAGCAACAGTGACATCACCATCAGCAACAGTGACATCACCACCAACAACGATGACATCACCACCAGCAACAGTGACACCACCACCAGCAACAGTGACATCACCACCAGCAACAATGACATCACCACCAGCAACAGTGACATCGCCACCAGCAACAGTGGCATCACCACCAGAAAGAAGTGACATTACCGCCAGGAACACAACCACAATGAAAGGACGAGTGCAGAAACAAGAGACAAAAAGAAATTGTGCCCCAAAACAGAGAGATATTCATTTCATTAGCGCACAGATAATGACTGCCACTCACTACGAATAACTTGTTCGGAACGTGTGCTTTGCAAAATCGTGCATTCAATGATGATGAGGGGCTGCAGATGTTATGCAAATGACATCATCATAACATGGGCTGTGTTGAGCGACAGCGAACCTAAGAGCTTTCCTAACACGCTTAGCGAATCAACAACACTTCAAGGCAGCATGTGGAAGTATGTGCAGTTTTCGGAGAAAGAAATTGGCATTGTTGATGTCCACCTCAGAATCCCCATCACGCAATTTCTCAGAACTTGTTTCAACAGCCCTGACTGGTTGATCTGACAAGACGTTTGTGTTTGTGGAGGAAATAAAAGAGCACCTCATGTGAGTGGGTATTTGGAGAACCTTTCAAGTTTAACATAGCTGCCTGCAGGAATGACTACACGGGGAAGTGTGCTTTGAACCAAACTGGACAAGTGTACAGGCGTTTCCGGAGTGTAAACACCAGTGATTTACCAAAGAGGTCGCTGCGGCTTCTACTTCGACAATGAAATAAACGGTGGGTAGATGTCTGTATTTCGGCACATAGAATCTGGGCACAGTTTGAAGGGGAAGTTAAGGCAAAAATCAAAATTTCACCAGTTGTAGTCTTCGGGGTGCTGAGTCGAATGGTCTTGGTCCGAGAAAGCTGAGACGTTCCCTTCCTACTTGAATCCCAATCGAACTCGCGCACTTCCACCAGTCACCTGGTCACCGTGCCTGCAGGGTACAACTTACTAGCCTGTTTGACCTTTTTTTGGGTGCAGTCCTGTCACTCGAGTTGAACCATGGTGTGAAAGTTGTCGCCTGCTGGCGTGGTGACCAGGTGATTTGGGCACCCAGGAGCACGTGACCGCTTGTTCGACCATGTTCGATTGGGAATAAAGGAGGAACGCTGCATCGCAGCCTTTTCGGACCAAAACCAGTCGACTCAGCGTCCAAAAGACTACAACATATGGGCCAATCGCGGTCATCCGTGCTTTTATAAGAACGAAATGGCGCTTTTAGTGACATTTTGCATACAAATCCCCATCTAGTAGGGCGCAGTCACCCAGTTTCGGTGGAAGTGCGCGAGTTCGATTGAGATTCAAGTAGGAAGGGAGCATCTCAGCTTTCTCGGACCAAGACCATTCGACTCAGCACCCCGAAGACTACAACTGGTGAAATTTTGATTTTTGCCTTAACTTCCCCTTTAACTTCGCTAGTACAGCACAGCCTGTCAAGGCGACCACTCGGATAAGGCGACCACCTGTCCTAGAAGACCACCACAACCAGGACCGAGGGATGCTATTTCCAGTCAAATGAACCTGGATGAAGCGACCACCTGGTTACAGAGACCACATTTTGAAGATCCCTTGAGGGATCGTCTCACACTGGTCTCACTGTACTCCGGAAAGTACGGGTACTCATTGACGAAGGTCATTACCAAACATGACTATCTATGAAGATAGAACAGGAAAGAGGGAATTCTATCAACTTACCTATTCCAAGGAAGTTGCCATTGCAAGCTCCTGTAGGGCTCTCGATAAACCTGTAGCCGACTGCATAAGCAAAGGCGAAGGTGTTGAAGACGTACTCCCAATCGGTGCGCGCAAAGACGAACGACTGGCCGTGCAACATCTGCCACGCTACGTACTCTGGATGCGAGCTGTACCTGCGTGCTCGGAATTTGGCAAGCACCAAAGCACATGCAAGCGGACACAAACACAGGCAGACCGACAAATACGCATACATGCATGCACACAAACACACACACACATACACATTCACATACAAAATCACACGGAAATTCACATGCATGGAAACAAGACCACTGGTATCAACACACGTATATTCATACACGCATGTGGTCAATAGACCTCCACTGGAGACTATCTCGTCTACAAAGTCTAGATATGTACTGGCTCCGGATGTGCGCTATCTTAAACGAAACCTAACTGTAATTGGCCGTCAGAAGACTAGTGCAAACTTCTTACCAGGGATTGAAGTGGACATCTTCAATACGCCCAATGTCATATGTCTGGTCCACGAAGATGCCCTGGTGCACACAAAATTACACACATGATAGAGCACGGTGAATAGGTCGCACCCAGAGTCCGTCCAAACCACAGTGCACAGCTCTGATTGGTTGCGAAAATCCGTGATTACATCAATATAGTGATGTAGTGCGTACAAGCAGGATTCAAGCATGTCTCTTTCTGCACAACTACAGCTCAGTTGTACGCACTACGCCATTTCACGCCTCAGATCTGCGGCAAATATGCTGTAATCACGGAATTCCGCCGTGATAGACACCCATAGTAGAAAAAGCCCCAAACTGCACACTCCGGCTTTCATGTACTAGACATGAGGCGATTGACCGAGATTTTCAGTCACGAATATGCAGTACGGAGACGAAATTATGATAACTTCATCAACGGTGAGAGAATTTGAAAATCTGCTCCCGAAATCCTACAGGCGAACCTAAACAGTTCCTCACCATATTTATCGGTTGCCCCTGGATACGGGCAATGTAATGGCGGTGAGCCTGCACCGCCCGGACAGCATTCCAGCAGTTCAAACACTCCACATCCGTCACCGCCGCATTAATGCCATTCAAACATACAGACCTATAATTATAGTGAAATGGCGACAAAAAAACAACAAACAAAAAACAAGAAACAAGTACTAGTACCTAATAAAAGCATGGACTGATCCTGTTTCCAAGACTAAACAGATCTGTTCGCAGTTAAAAATGCAACAGCTGCTTGGAACGCCTCTCGACATCGCCCCACACGCAAGCGGAACATGTCCGACACGCAAATAGACAGACACACGCGTACAGACACACACGTACAGACACAAACGTGCAGATACAGATGGTCAATGGCTGGCAGATAGGAACACTGTCACAGATTCAGACCCCCCCCCCCCACACACACATAAACACACTTGCGCTCATACCCGAGCACCTGCTTGCAGGCCAGCCTTAATGCGCCCACAAGCTGGCACGCTCACCCGTAAAATCCCACCCAGCATACACAAGAGAGCACCCCACTCCCGGCACACACGCCCATGAACAGACACGAGAATGCAAAGACACAGCACACACACACACACACACACACACACACACACACACACACACACACACACACACACACACACACACACACACACACACACACACACACACACACACACACAGCACTCAAAGCCTGCATGCCTCAATGCCCTTACAGACATACATGTACTAACATACATACTAACATTGCAGATACCCGCCTTATAGTAACCCTTGCCCACACCCACATCCACAGACATGTACGTGTACATACACAGACAAACACACACACACACACACATGCACACACACACACACTTACACACACAAACAAATACACATACACACACACACCTCAGACCTCAGCCAGCGATGGTAGCGAACAGCTATGTTAGACATAGCAACTTGTGCACACACACACACACACACACACACACACACACACACACACACACACACACACACACACACATACGTGCACAAAGTCACACACCCTCACCATGGGTAGGGTACCGGTGGCTTGTCTGGTACTTGCTCCGGATAATAGATGGTAAATCC